AAAAGAAGGTGGAGAAAGACGTGCTCGTGTTAACAGTGCAGATTCTGTCACCAGTGAGATTTCATACACAGTTTGATTATCAAACAGCCCATCTGTACAAACAGCCACATCCTATGCATCCTGGGCCAGAAATCCTCACACAAACGCACACACAGGTTGTGAGGAGAACAACACACACAAGCTGGAGCGATACATGCGTGTGTTTGCCATAAAAATGATTAATGAGCTGAAGAAAAGCGCTGTTTGCTTAAGAGTTGTACTGCGGGCAGCGTGGCAAGGACTGGGTGACTGTGGGAAAGTCGAATGACGACTGTTCTGAACCATCGGTCTGATCCGAGGAACCGCGTGCCGCTTCATCCTGAGTAAACAGTCAGCAGGTTTCAGCTCAGATGTTACATTTGTTGGCTCATTTCAACAAGGAAGACGACGGAGCAGGTTTCTGCTAGTCTGTGTGTGACCTGAAGGTGACAGATGGCGCTCGTCACATCTTCGGTGGTTGCAAAGCGTTTTACCCAGGAGACTGCTCTCCGGGTTTGTTTTGGTGCGACCGAGCGCCAAAAAGATATCGAATTACCACTTATCCATCGACCTAAAATGGATCCGCCAAATCCTCCCGTCTCTTTGCAGATTGTCCATCTCCAACATAAACACTCCCCCTGCTTTATTCACAAGCCCACTCTTGTGTTTCCACCAAGATAAACACATATTTTGTTCCTCGTTTTTGCTCTTCTTAAGTCTCTGTTTGGGGCATGTTTTCCCTGTCATACAGCACACGGGGTGTGTGGTCGCTTCCTGAGCGCAGACACTGTTGCCGACAGATGTGAAGGCAGTAGTGCGAGGAGAAAGGAGGGGACTGCATGTATTAAAATAATGACAACAGAGAGGAGCAACACATCCAGGAACAATCCCTACACTTTGACTGGTTCAAATAAAAGTTCAAACTCAAAATGATAAATATTTTACTGCACCCCTGTCTGACTTCTTCAGTTGTGTCCTGATGACAAAATCCGTCCACACACAAACCCACAACAGAAGTCTCCACGTCTGAATCTGTGCTTGATCTCACCAAAACGCACAATGACAAGCTGAAAACATTACCAGCTATGCTACAGTGCCTGATACAAATGGGAGCAAAAGGTCAAACCTGAGGAGAGATTCTGATAAGCAGCTTCTGTTTTCACTCATGTGCAGGTTGGACTTTCAAACGGGTCCACATGCGTAAAGAAGACAACCTGGTGTGAGCTATTTTAAGTGATCCTTAGATAAGTGTCGAACTGAAGATGGCATGGCTTTCATCTACATCACACACAACCATAGCTCTCTGAAGTGGTCCTGATAGGAAAGCATGAGAGGCTCCACATGTGTGTTTATTTCTGCTGTTACAAACTTTAAGTTTAATTTAAGGGTCAGTTAGTTTCGGTGGCCATCTTGAAGTTCATTATTTGTAGATGCACATCCGATGATTGTTTCCTGAAAGTTCCATTAAAATAAGTCTAAATATTCATGACAACCGCACAGAGGCAGAAACACTACCGTCTGTTTTTGCCTTTTGGCAGCAGGCGTTAATGAGATCGCACACACGAGAATCCACTCATGACCCTTCGTTGTTGTGTCATGAATGTCATCCAACTGTTATCAGCTTTCCTGGGAGTAAGCTGCGTTTTCCTGTGCTGCTCAGCGACTCTTCCCACAGTCTTGTGTTTATTCTGTCGTCTTTAGACAGCGCCGCTCAGCTGCAACACTTCATATAAAGTCACTCGGCCGTTCAACATGTTTTTATTCTTGTCTGAAAACAGTTTGAGATGGATTAGAAACTTTTCTTTTCTCACACGCTGGAGCAAAAGATACTCAGGAATTTGTCTGACTTGCTTTCGAGTCAATGATGGTGTATACAGTCAGAGTCAGAGTTTCTTTATTGTCATTCGCACCTCATGTGGTACATGTGGTGGAGCGAAATTATGTACACGGGGTCCCAGTTACATCCAACAATAAAATGTCTAAGAAAAACAGTAATAACATCTAAGATATGAACTAAGAAAAACATCAACTAAATATACACTAAGCACTCATAACATAAAACATTGAACATCAGCACAAACATGAACATGAGTCTGTGAGCAGATGTGCACGCATGAACACATCAACATTGAAACAGATCAGCAGCAACATGCAGGTGCTGGTCATAAAATTAGAATATCATGAAAAAGTTGATTTATTTCAGTAATTCCATTCAAAAAGTGAAACTTGTATATTATATTCATTCAGTACACACAGACTGATATATTTCAAATGTATATTTATTTTAATGTTGACTATTATAACTCAAAACTAATAAAAAACCCAAATTCAGTATCTCAGAAAATGAGAATATTGTGAAAAGTTTTAATATTGAAGACACCTGGTGTCACACTTTAATCATCTAACTCCAAACACCTGCAAAGGCCTTTAAATGGTCTCTCAGTCTAGTTCTGTAGGCTACACAATCATGGGGAAGACTGCTGACTTGACAGTTGTCCAAAATACGACCATTGACACCTTGCACAAGGAGGGCAAGACACAAAAGGTAATTGTTAAAGAGGCTGGCTGTTCACAGAGCTCTGTGTCCAAGCACATTAATAGAGAAGTGAAGGGAAGGAAACAATGTGGTAGAAAAAAGTGTACAAGCAATAGGGATAACCACACCCTGGAGAGGATGGTGAAACAAAACCCATTCCAAAATGTGGGGGAGATACACAAAGAGTGGACTGCAGCTGGAGTCAGTACTTCAAGAACCATCACGCACAGACGTATGCAAGACATGGGTTTCAGCTGCTGCATTCCTTGTGTCAAGCCACTCTTGAACAAGAGACAGCATCAGAAGCGTCTCGCCTGGGCTAAAGACAAAAACGACTGGACTGCTACCGAGTGGTCCAAAGTAATGTTCTCTGATGAAAGTAAATTTTGCATTTCCTTTGGAAATCAATGTTCCAAAGTCTGGAGGAAGAGAAGAGAGGAACAGAATCCACATTGCTTGAGTTCTAGTGTCAAGTTTCCACAGTCAGTGATGGTTTGGGGTACCATGTCATCTACTGGTGTTGGTCCACTGTGTTTTCTAAGGTCCAAGGTCAACGCAGCCGTCTACCAGGAAGTTTTAGAGCACTTCATGCTTCCTGCTGCTGACCAACTTTATGGAGATACAGATTTCATTTCCCAACAGGACTTGGCACCTGCACACAGTTCCAAAGCTACCAGTACCTGGTTTGAGGACCATGGTATCCCTGTTCTTAATTGGCCAGCAAACTAGTCTGACCTTAACCCCATAGAAAATCTATGGGGTATTGTGAAGAGGAAGATGTGATACATCAGACCCAACAATTCAGAAGAGCTGAAGGTCACTATCAAAGCAACCTGGGCTCTCATAACACCTGAGCAGTGCTCGGACTGATCAACTCCATGCCACGCCGCATTGCTGCAGTAATCCAGGCAAAACGAGTCCCAACTAAGTATTGAATCCTGTACATGCTCATATTTTTTATGTTCATAATTTTCAGTTTGTCAACATTTCTAAAAATCCTTTTTTTTTAATTGGTCTTAAGTAATATTCTAATTTTCTGAGATATTGAATTTGGGGTTTTCATGAGTTGTCAGTTATAATCATCAACATTAAAATAGATAAACTTTTGAAAAATATCAGTCTGTGTGTAATGAATGAATATAATATACAAGTTTCACTTCTTGAATGGAATTACTGAAATAAAGCAACTTTTTCAAGATATTCTAATTTTATGGCCAGCGCCTGTATTTAACCTCTGCATTTGCCGTTTATCGTCTATTCAGGCCAAAACGTCTGCTTTTCAAGTCAACAACATTACAGACAGCTAACCTTGAACTGCATTCAATCAAACAAAGCAGACTACAAAATTGCTAATCATATTAGGATTGATCAGATTACAACGTTAACAGCATTTTCTTTCACATATTTGTGCTGACTGTATGGAGAACTTTAGATCTTAAGTGTCCTAATTGCCTTAAAGTTTAATATTCACCCAGCCTAACCTAATTTGAATTTCCATTTGTGCCCCATGTCTGGATTTTGACCAGCAGCTCAAAGTCTGGAAACCTTGAGGCGTTATCTTTAATAAGCATGAAAGTGCAAAATTTCTCAAGTAGCCCATTTATCAGAGTGAGGCCCATTTATCAGAGTGAGGCAAGAGTCAGAAATAATGATGGGGTAAAGGTGTTCAGCTAATTGTATAATTACAACCAAGTTGAAATAAGTTTACACTTAAAATTAGATCCCCTGTTGACCATATAACAGGATCACGCTGCAGACTAATACTTCACAAGCTCTCAGTCCGAGACGCCCACCAGCTGAGAAATGAGCACAGACGTCTGTCCTTTTACTGTTAACACACACTTAGGGTCCACAAACCTATGTTCACACACAATTATAGACAGGGTTGTATTTTATATCTAGGAAGATATAATCCCCAACTTTCACATAATAAATGCAGAAACATGAACACGCTGGGACTTTCTTAGAAATTGTGTGCAAGGAAACACATGACAGCAATGAAGCCGTCTTGGCCAATTGGTCACACATGAAACCTAAATACAAAGAATGCATAAGTGAGGCTAAAAGAATTAAGAAAATTAAATTTACAGACAAGGAAAGACTCAGTTCTTGATCTAAATAGTAACATGAACGCATATGATACGTACAAACTGCTGGCATTTAACTAGAAATAGATCCGACCAGGAGCGACATAGATCAGTGACAGCATGAAACTGTACTATTCTCCGAAAGGAGGGTGCGGGGGGGGACATCAGAGACTTTAATTACCTGCACCTGTGAACACACAAAGAGCCACACCCACCAATCTGGCTGCAGACCACACCCTGGTTCTCACGGTAAACTGCTGAAGACCCCACCACAGAACTTCCTCCCTCGAGAACGCTCGCACAAAGTCCCCGAGTTTAAAACAAAGAAGAGGAGGAAAAAAAAGGAGAGGGACACTCACATCAAGGGAGTCTTCGTTGACGATAATGAGGGACATGCCGTGTGTCACCAGACGACAGGAGTAACCTGAGGGACAACATGGATCTGGATATGAGACTGTGATGCAAAGTTGAAATTTAACACAAAAAAAATGCAACTTGTGGAAACTCTGGACGTCACTTTGCTCTCAGGCATGTTCAAAACAAGACGATCAGTAAAGTACAGTCTCTGAGGGTTTTTGACTTTAATTTAGCGTGACAAGCGTCAGCTCAAGTTTTTCTTTTAGAAACCTGGACACCTTGACACCTGCCCATAGTCTTTTTTCACAGCTGCCAAGAAACCAAACACATGTCACTGCAATCCCCTGATATGTCGGACTTTTTAAACGAACAGTGACAGCTTTCTCCTCCAAGAATCCTTTGAAAGCATCACTAACTTTTTTACACCTTTTTACACTTAAAAAAAATCATAGTCATAGTATTCCCCCCCCCCCCCCCCCATCTCACCTATGTTGATGGCAGTCTCTTGCTTGTCTCCTGTAAGGACCCAGATCTTAATGTCGGCTCTCATCAGAGTGGCAATCGTGTCTGGGACGCCAGCCTGGAGACGGTCCTCTATGGCTGTGGCGCCCAGCAGCATTAAATTCTGTTGGTGGGACAAAGAAAGCGTGATTATTTGAGGAAAGTACAACATAATGTTTCTTTTTTAAATAAATAAATAAAAATCTAATGAAGTTAGCCAGCTACCCCTTTCTTTTATTGTTTGTGAGCACCCTTCCATTAGACATATCTAATTTAAGGATGTGAGCGATGCCAGAGGGCTCGGTTCAGACGGAAAAGCAGCTCAGTTTAGACCTCTGTACTAGCTCTGTTTCGTCATGCCAAAAAGTAAGCCATTACCTTTTCCCCCTGCTTGCTTTAATTTGTTCAGCATTTAAATGCATGTGTGACCTCATTAGACTCCCACACAGACACACAAGTTAACACAACTGTGTTGTTGACTCCAGTTTTATGGGGCTTTTGGCAGACTGGTGCAGGTAATTACCCTTGTGGTCTCCCAGTCAGAGCTCTCCTCCTCACATACTTTTCTCACTTCAACTCCTTCTTTCAAGTTTTATTTTATATATAATTTCAGCTCTACAGAATGCACTAACATTTACTTTTTAACTACATATATTACCAACAAGGACGTTCACCAAGCATAAATCAGGTATGGTAAAAGAAAAAAAACTAAACAAATCATTTGAAAAAAAGGTTATTTTAACTTTGCTTTGCAATCCAAGGATGTAGAGGGACTCAATGGTGCAACTCTGCCCCCAGCTGGCAACCAAAGCAGTTTGTTGCTCTTTTTAAAAGATGCATCAAATACAAATAAATGTATATTTAAAAAAAGGCCCCACAAAAAATAAAATAAAATAAAAAGACATCACCAAAAATCTAAAACAGAGATATTTTAAGACATGCAGAAGTTTAATATTTAACGTGTCACTTAAAAATATCAGCCAGATACAGCGATCATTAATATTATTTTTACCTTTTCCAGTATTTCATATATCTCTTCTAGTTTTTGAGCACGGTCTTTGAGTTCAATGCTGACACGGCTGTACTCTTTCAACCACTCCTGGTAGGCGCCTTCTTCCAGGTCCACATACGCAAAACAGAGTGTCCTCAGACCTGAGTGAATAGATGAAGTAAATAATTAAAAATATGAATAAATAACTGAAGGTACGGAGCAGATAGTGTTTTATTTACAAGGTAGTAAACAATAAAATTTAACTTAACCCTGTCTTTGTCTTTATTATTAGAACTGTGCAAAGTTACAATACAAAACTGTGTGTATTGTAATTGGGGTGGCTGTGGCTGAGTGGTTAGAGCAGTCGTCCTCCAATGCGAGAGCTGTGGGTTCGATTCCACCAGCAGTCAGATGCTGAAGTGTCCCTGGGCAAGACACTGAACCCCTCATTGCCTCTGATGTGTGTCCCATCGGTGTAGGAATGTGATAAAGCTCTGATTATTTTTTGTAAAGATATATTAAGAGTGCTGAATGAATGGATAAATGAGGGCACAGATAGTGTAAAGAGCTTTGAGTATCTTGATAAAATAGAAAGGTGCTATATAAGTACAGTCTGTGTACCATTTACAAAATAGATTTGCACATTAGATTATGTAGAAAAAAATTACTAGATTATTAAATAAATTAAAGATTGCCTTCACACTCTGAAGGATTTTTGACAAGGGCGTGAGTATTTTAAAGAGTTTCAGAAAAGAAAAAAATAAGTTAAAGGGTGCATCAACGACTCAATACATCACAAAAAGCCTGCAGACACACAACTTTTTAAACTGAGACCAACGAGGAAAATAGACCCCTGAAGAAACACGCTGAAATTAAAGTTCCATTTTCTATCCATGTTCATAAAAAAAGATTAAAAGCAAGACAAAATATGTCCAAAATAAATTGATTTAGAAAGAAATCAACAGAAATGAACCCCACACAGCTCCTTCCCACTCTTGGGTTTTACCTTCAGTAGCGAACTGCTCCAGATGAGCAACAGTTATTTCTTTGTATTGAGAGGTTTCGTGCAGACGTTCAAAAATAACATTATCCTGAAAAAGAAAAGACATTCTACATTATATCAACAATTTGTGACGAGATTTAGGACTGATGGTGACAACGACGTAAACGTACAGCTCCTTTGCAGTAAAGCCGCAGCTTCCCGCTGGGCGTCCTGACCACCACAGACATACGCTTGCGGTTACTGTGAAAGAAAAAGTAATTCTAGCTTCAAGACACGACTTAAGCCACGACTTATTTAAAATTATGGAGCTAACAATACAGGAAGGATTACCTGGAAAACTCAAGCACATTCAGCAGCTCATAGCTCATCTCTTTTCCTCTCTGAAACACAGCAAAAAATAAAAATCAACCACCTTAAACAGAGAAATTTAGACAAATTTTACACACTTACAGCGTCAATGATGACAGAATCAGGGGTCCTAGCAGTGAAAACAAAACCAAGTCCTTTAGCAGCTTTGACCAGCGCTCCTTCATCAGGTGATGATGCTTGGTAGATGATCTGGTTATCCTCCCTCTCTGGTACGACCGTGTGACACACTGCCATCATCGTCAGGAACTCGCAGATCTGTGGCGATGTAGGCTGGAAGCATACAGAGAAGTTGAAAGATTTAAACTGCAATATTAGCACATTCTGAAACATTAAAACTTTAGCTAAAATGGTTCACCCACATGGTTCTTTTCTATGTTCTGAATGAGGGTCGGGTCGTCAAACTCTGTGGAGTTATGACTGCTGGACGGCAGATTACTGAAAGACAAAAATGTCATTTCACTTAACGAGTGGGGGGGGGGGGGGACAACAATTATAAACTCTTTGTTGAAAGCCTGCACACATTCAATTAATTTAGAAAATGCACAAAGCAGAAAAAAAAGAAACCACACCAGAAGGGGAAAGATGGAGGACAGGAAAGAAGATCGCTAACCTGAAGTCCTCCATTGAACGATCACAGTCAAGATCAGGGAAGTGGCTGCAGGTACAGTTCAGGTAGAAATGCAAATGGAATAAGTTCAAAATTATTTGATCAGTTTCTTTGATTAGCAGGAAGTTAAATGAGTAAGTTGTGATTAAGACTTTGTTACAAGGTTTAGAAATGGACTGCAGACATGCATTTAAAAGCAATCAGAGTTCTTATTTCATTAATACAGAGATGCTTTAGAGGTATTTAAACAAAAAATGACTGACCCATATGTGATCCCTGCAATGGTACACTTCTTAAAGTGCATGATGTTACAGGTGAGAGTGCCTGTCTTGTCAGAAAAGAGGTATTTCACCTGGAAAAGTCAGAAAACATACCATGTTTTATTAGTCTTGTATTAACATGCAATGGTCATTATGCATTCATTATTCAGAAGAACTGACCTGGCCCAGTTCTTCGTTGAGATTAGATGTTCGAGCCATGGCTGGTGTGTCTGTCTCCGCGTAATACATCTCCACGTCCTGAAGACAAGCAAACACGATCCTTAAAAATATTTATTCCTTATACAAATAATGCTTATATGAGAAGACATGTTAAAATAAAGATTTGTACCCAGTTGATGAAGAGGGCCTGTGTGAATTTCACCACCTCCAAAGTGACCAGAAGACTGATGGGGATCAGGTTGTTGTAGAGGATGATAAATGTCAGCAGGTTATATGCAAAGTTGGTGGAGATGTCCCCTGATATCACGAGAAATGTCCTCAATTAGTATCCGTGAGATTCCTCGCCGTGACAAAACTGAATCCACCCGTCATGAAGTATTTTGTGTCTGTGCTCTCACCTGCCCTGGACAGGTACCAACAGGCTTCATCTGTGTGCTCTCTGTTCCAGATGGCTGCGCCCACAGAGCTGACCAGCGCCATAACCAGCAGGATCCCGAACAGAACCAGGATCTGCATGTTGGTCACCCGCTCCACATTAGAGCGCTTCAGTGGTGCCTTTGTAGAGTTCTGAAAAATGGACGAGTCAAAAAATAAAAATAAAAACAGGTGTTTTTATACAGAGAGGAAAAGTCCAGCAACAAATTATCTATTTCTGTTTTACTGAGTCAATCATTTTTTAAATCAGACAAATTGCATACATTACAGTAAAATGTTATTTTTAGCAGAACAATGTGCAAGAAATCAGAACAGCATGTGCATAGATTTGACACTCTTTAGTTTGGATGTATGAAAGTCTTAAATAAAGGTAATGATGACATAAAACTCAGCTCGAAAGGCCTTTTTCGAAGACATTTAAATCCAGAACTTACTTTTTTTTTTAATATAAAATTTATTGTCTTCAGACAAGAGCTATACCTGCATAAGTTTGGAGTCATGGCCAGTGTAGACGACAATTCCCAGAACCCATTGTGTGTTCCTGAGCTGAGCGCCTCGTAGCAGTACCTGGTCTGGACCCAGAGGAGCTGGACTGAGGTGAAAAAACAACAAAACAATGAAAAATAATAATAATAATAAATGAATGCAGATTTCTAGAATTTAAACTGAGCATTGTTAGCATATTTTTTAAGCTTTTTTTGGTCAAAAATCCTTTAATTTTTGTTACCAAAATCTTAAATCTTTCTTTAAGGACATGTTTTCTAATTTAAAGTAGACGAAGTATCCATTAATTTAAAACCCGTTGAGTCATTGTGCATTTTTAACACATATTTCATGCACAATTTTATTGAGACGCGGTGTTTTAAGAAAAGAGAAAAAAAATCTGAATTGATTATTTTAATTAATCCTGGCAGTACAAATACTGCTAAAAACTCTAAGTCTTACTTTTGGTTCTCTAGCCGCAGCGTGCCGCTGAAGTCGTACAAGTGTCTGTTGGGTCCCTCACACTCCAAACGACCAGACAGCGCCATCAAATCCTCTACGGTCTGAAGACCAGCTGTGACTGAAAGACCCTGGAGACACAAAACCAACAAGAAAAGTCGAGCAAGATTTTTTTTATTATTATTATTAACCAAAAGAAAACAGAACAGCAAACAACTTTCTGAAAATACAACTCAAAGAGACGCAATCAAGTGTCAAAGTTCCTGTCTGAGTTTGCGTACGGTCCACAAAGATTTCCCACCTGTCTGATCTTCAGGTTGGTTTCTCCATCCAGATTAGAGGTCTCAATGTAGCACATGGCCTGAGGCTCGCTGCAGAAAGGAAACAAATGATGCATTTAATAGCCAACTATTTAGATTTCTCAGATAACTCATGTATTCTCCATTTCCTTCTTTAGATAACTTTGACTTTACTTGTCTACATCATAATAAAAGTATTAGTTGAAAAAATTTAATTTGAAGCAAATGATTGGATTATATTAATGGGACATAGTGTTTTAAGACACGCATATAATTCATGTTCATGCATAGTCTGGTAAAACAGAGTCTGACCTGGAGGAAACTATAACCATGTCAGCTGGAAGGTGCTGGCCATTGGTCACCTTCACTATGTCTCCTACTGCCACCTAATGGCCAGGATGCAGCCGTGCAACAGCGTGAGGGAGGGAAACGAGGTGAAAAGGAGGTAAAAAGAGGGGGAGTTAAAGAGGGGGTGTAAAGGAGAGTTACAGAATTAAGAGAAATAAATAACAGGCAGGTTAATCAGTGAGCAGAAGGAATGCAGCCATCAGATAACGTGACAAAGCACAGCAGTGCATCACTTTTAACTCTCATTAGGCGACAAAAGAAAAAGTGTGTGGCTTTAAAAAACAACAAGAGTACAAAAAATATTCATTAGAATCAATCAGACATGGCACAGCAGTCTAAAATGCACAAAAATAAAACTGCAGAAGATCTTGCAGTCAAAGTTTTGAATAGTAAAAACCCACAACCTGTTTATGAGTTCAAAAACAAAGTTCTGGAAAAGCACGTGGACAAGTTAAAACATGACGTGAAGCAGGACCAACAAGCACAAGAACAAGTTCTCTTTAGGAAAACAACAACCAAAGGATAAAACGACAAGAAAACTCAATTCTAGTTTGATCAATTCCTAATAAGAAATTAAAAATTGTATGCAAACATGCACATTATAATTATTAATCAAATGCAAGTCTGTGCATTTTCAGACTAATAGTTTTATATTTCAGTACACAGAAAAAATAATCTAAGTTTATACCATTAGCTAAAAAAAAAGTACAAAATTCAAATCTTGTCATGAAAGATTAGGAAGAAAACTGAGAAGACCTGACTAATGAGTTTAAATGTCAGCCGGAACAAATTCCCTCACCTGTCATGATGAGGGAGCTTAGATCTTAAAGAAATAAATCAATCAGCCATGTCACCCATTTCACAAGAACTCAAATTTGACTTGATTCAAACTAATGGAGCGAGAATGTACACAGCTGGGCTTCGTTAATGAGTACATTCAATAAGGACCTAAAGGAAACGGTTACACTTTGCAGTCTGACAACCTGGAGTTCATTCGGCTCGGCTTGAGCAGCATTTATCCTGATCCACCGACATCTATTATATACATTTGTTGTATTGCTTTTGTTTTGGTTGTTTATGTGAATTCTAATCCAGCTTTTAGACTGTTTTCTTCCATTATTTTGTTCTGCAATCTACCGTATTTTAAGGCGTATAAGTCGCAGTTTTTTTGCATAGATTTGCCAGTCCTGCAACTTATACGCCGAAGTGACTTATGTACGGGTTTTTTTTCATATTCACAACGCAATTTTTGACTGACGCTTTAAATGTTCATTCATACTGATATGAACCAGAGTAAACATTACCATTTGCAGCCGCTATAGGCATGAGAGTGCCCTCAAGGCTTTTGAAACTACCGGTAGGCGTATATGTTGTTCCTGTACCGCTGCCTCCGCCGCCCCCCCGCGATTTTTAAGCCGAAGCAACTTAGATGCCAGAAAATACGGTACTTCTGCCTATTTTAGGCATTAATATTTCAAATTATTGCAAGTCAGAGCACCCAGCTCTGACTTTAGGTTTTTAGAACTTTGGTAATTTTTGAAATATCAATCATTCGATCAATTAATCAAACTTTATAGTCCATAACATTGCATGAAATATTGAAGTTTATTTACAAAACTTTCTCCCCTAGAAATAAAATGAGATCACTTCAGTTCCTTCCAAAACAATGCTCTTTTTGAAATCGGCTTCAGAATACGCACTTATTTTTTGTCTTTTTCTGTTACTTTCAGATTTATAGTCAGACTTGGTTTTATTTTTTTTAAGTGAGCCGTTTTAGCTACTTTGAGCTAATGTTTTTGCTACTTTTAGCTTTTTGCTAGTGTTCTGCTTCTCCAGCAGACTCATTCAGCAATCTGTGTCCTCACTGCATTTTCACAGATGATACAATGTGTCCAATTTTGTTTCAGCTGCACATTTGTATTCACGTGCCAATAATCCCCAAAAAAGCGTATGATACATGAACTGTAAAAGAATAAAATAAACTGGAGCGATACAGAAAGCAGCAGAGTTGAAGGATGAGATGAAAATGATACCTGCTTCCAGATGATGGTCTGCCAAGCTCCGTTCCGCAGCACTGAGAGACAAGCACAACACAGCCCTCAGTCAGCCTATAGATCAGGTCTCATACAGTATTCATGGCCTCTAAAAACTTTTGTCTGTTTGTCTGCCACTGAGTGGCCCGCACTATATTGACATAGACAGCAGCCATTCATCCAGCCATGAAAGGAAAACAAAACCCAAGCAAATAGAGGCAAGCACATCCAAAAGGACAGTTAATGCACTTTTAACAAGCACTCTCAGTACCTGTTGTCTTCTTCTTGTTTACTGTATTGTCTGCTTTGTGTCTTTTCTGTAAAGAGGAGGGAGAAAATCATTAACTTTTAAGATAACCATATCTTTTACTTTCAAGAATAAAAAAAAAAGGATGATTAAAAAGCCAAACCTGACTTCTGTTACTCACATAATCCTCTATGATTTCTTTAATCCCGGCCACAGTGAGGATGAAGATGAGCGGGACCAGTGTGGTGTAGCGACCGGTTGGAGACACGTCAGGGATTTGCTGAGGAGAAACAAAAGAATCACCTCTCTGAAATCCCAAATCTCTGAAGCCTTCAAGAATGATTTGTTCAGTTTCAACACTGATTATGGCATGAGGAATAATAAGAAGGTAATGAAGTAGAAGAAAATGTGACAAGAAAAAAGATAAACAAGACGCATCTACCATTCATGAAAAATCCAGTGCTAGTTAACTGTAAAGAGGAAACTACAGCACAATATATACAAGTGCTTCCAATATTTAAACTTTAACATTTTCACATATTAAAATCTAAAAGCTGTGAAAGAATTAGTTAAACATGTAATGCACCTGAAGTGACCAGTGTATAATATTAACTATTAATATAAAAACATTTGTTTACCATTTATTGTTACATTGGTGCAAATGCATGTGTGGACTTTTGTCAGTAAGTTTTCACATTATGCAGAGTACTTCTCCAGCAAAAAAATATTTAATTGATAGGGAGGTAAAGGAAGAACTTAGAAGCTTTAAATGAGCAGGTCAAATGAACAAACTTAAAGGGATAGTGCAGATCTTTTGATTGACAAATATTTACTGGTTGTTGACAAATCTTTGAAACTCACTTAGGCAAAATAAAGTTTATATCCGACTGGATTGACGACCCATTGGTCATAAAGACCAAAGTGGACAGCTGCCGTCTTCTGTCTCTAACATTTTGTAGCTGCTCATACAAACTTACACTGGTGTTCATTTGTTTGTGTTAAAGCAATGAGTTTGACCAGTGGTGGGTCTGCTTCCGCTAAACAGCTAATCCCCTAATAGCGGAACTAACTTTCCATGTAGCAGATTAGCATTTTCACTAACTTCGAAAACTTTTAGCGGAATTAGCCCCTGCTATATTTAAAGGCTGTAAATTCAAGGTTGCTGATTTTTTTAAAGGCAGTTCTTCACACCAAAAATCATACAGGAGAATGGCGATTTACATGGAGCCATGCTATGCTATGCAACGCTATGCAGAATTAAGCAAAGCTAGGTGCCACACGGTATTGTCACCATCCTTGACCCCCACCCCCACCCCATATTTACCGCAAACAGTCTCTGACTCGTAGTGTCAGTTTAGAACCAATAACAGAGACTTTAACATCAATACCAAACCAGATGGGTTTGGTAACTGGGTGTAACTGGGACCTTGAGTACACAATTTCATTCCATCTCATGTATCACATGTGATGCGAATGACAAAAACACTTGAACAGGAACATAACATGAAAAACCCATTTTCACTCTCAGAAACATTGTAAATAGTCAGAAACATTGCACACAATTCCTACCCAGCATGCTTTGCAACACTCGCACCGTCTCTGGGACGTGACTCTCACACACATTTCACACATCTTTACTTTAAAACAAATAGATTTATTACCGAGAGAATATTAATGATGCACATCAACTTTGTAGTTAGTTTATAAAAGTAGTTAACCACAAAGAGGACCATCAAAGTAAGTTAACTCATTGCGGTAAATGGCATGAGGAGACGACCGACACACATTGAACGCATCGCTCTGCTCCAGCACAGCAGAGTTCTTCTTCGCCTCTTTGGTTCTGATGGACCAGTTAAATTTCTGAAAGCTCACCTTTGAACGAGACATGGATGCTATACCTGTGATTTATGAACCATTTTGAGTTGTGTTCACTTACAACGTTGTCACATTACAGACAGACTTACAGTATCAGTGACAGCAATGTGTGATAAAAGCTAGTGCTTTAGCCTTGGCAGGCTGCTTATTTATTTTTTTTATCCGTTTAGCACTTTAGCATTAGCTTCTGATATTTTTTTTTTATCCATTTAGCAGTTTAATGTAAATACTTGTGAAATAAAAGTGCTCACATGAACCATAAAATTTTTTAGGTATCTAATGAAGGCCATTTTATAAAGGATTTATTAATTTTTCATCTAAATTGTTTTCATACAATATTAAAAATAAAATATAAATCAGTTATTAAAACACTGTTTTTGATTATGTTATATAAAGTGTTTACAAACTCAAATATATCATTAATATAACCTTAATAAAATGTCTCTTTTTAGGAAATGGTATCAAAACGTTTGACAACACAAACTGAATGGTTTAAGCCCTTCTAGGATTAGCTCTTAGCTTGTCAATCTGGTCAGAACAAACTCTTTGTCCAAACTGAGGTCATTCAAAGAGCCATCTACAACAGGTAATATATTAATTATTCATAATCTTTCCATAGAAACTAACTAAGATCTGAGCTACAGCTTTAATCAAGTCTTAAACTTTAAAAACCAAAAGCACCACTTTCAAAAAATCTATAACATAACACCAAAAGCAAAGGAAACGCCGTGTAAACCTAAGATTATTTTCAAATAGACTTTTCAGAACGTCTCATACAGAGGGCAGGGTAAACGAAACATGAGATAAGACCCATTGTGCTTGGGTTTACCTGCATGAGTGCGATGAACAAGAAGAAGGCATTGGCCGCCCGCCTGATCTGCTCATAGAGAAACCGGGGCAGAAAGGTGAGGATTCCATACTTGGTGGTACTGCAAAGAAAGGCGGGAACAAAAGAGAGGTCAGTCAGAGTTTATGTCCAGACAGAGTAAAGTGGAGGAAAGTAATGCATTAGTAAATGCAGGAATTCATGTATAAATTGTGTGCTAATAGCTTTTTGAAACTAACATTCTCAGGGGCATTGCTTTAAAGGCTGAATAACACTTTTGAGTTTTAATGCTGCAGCAGTTAAAAATCTATTAGGAACACTTTACTGTGCTCAGAGAGGGCAAGCAGAGTCAATACAGGCTGCACGCACATCACACCTAAAAATAGAGACTTTCTAAATCCCAAAACACTAAACTTAGACTAAAATCTACAGGAAATAGGTGCAAGAAACCTTGGCAGCCTATATCTGTCTGTCAGTCAGCTGTATTGATCAGACAGCTGTATTGATTAGCCTTGATATAGCCATTAGCTACAGTAAGAGCTTTTACAAAGGCTAAAAATAAACACAAATAAACATAACTAAATACATAAACAAAAAAAAACTACAAAGCCAAGGTCTGTTTTTCTTGCGTTCAATGTTTTTCTTGTGTGGCCTAAGTGGAAAGTAAGAGCAACTGCTATGAATTTTCATTAATGGACAGAGCATGTTTGCTTGAGTGGGTGCACAGAGTGCATGCACCACATGACGAAGCACATCCATCCACTGCAGCTCACAATCTCCAAGGAGATGAACTCAGAGCAGCTCTCTGCCCATCTGCCTTTTCCGCACACAGACACAAATTACAGAGAGCAGGACATTACATGGAAAAAGACAGCAGCTCAACAGCTGCTGGGCTGTCACACGGACACGCAACATCCTGACCCTGATGCCACGGAAACCTCAGAGCTGGTGATACTACACCTGTGTTCCAGTAGATAAAGTTGCCTTGATCTAATCAAAGACGAGTGTTACCAGACTCCAAAAACGGCAACGCGCACAGGTTTCCACTGTTTCAGAATTACAACAAAACACCCACAGCATCTGGATGTGGTATTTTTCATAGTATAGATGTCAAAAAAGTCTGGAGGCGTCAACAGCTGTTTGCAGCAGGGGAGATGCTCTCCTGCAGTGATGGTGTTTGTACTCCAAACAAATGTTTCTAATACCTTAAAGGCTGAAAATGGGAGTCCAGCTTGCTTGTGAGACTTATATTTTTATTGTCCCACTATCTGTCAAACTTAATTATTGTAAAAGAAAAGACAAATTTTAAGTAAAAAAAAACACTGCTTGTGTTTGTAAACTAATTATTTTATAAACTTGCACAAATATCCCTTGATTTCCACTAACAGACCCAGAAGGCCCTGCAATATGATGCTATTTTAAGTGAAAATGTACAAGCTTTGTTATGAACAGTCAAAATGTTAAATTCTTCCAGAAGATTAGATGTTATTGATAGAAATTGAAAATTAACCAATCGAAAATGGCCATAACAACTAAACCATTACCAGCATAGAAGCTTGACCGTGGAAGAGCTGGGAAATAGAGACGAGCATTTATACAGATGAAAGCTATAACGCTTTAATCTCTGGGGAAAAAAAAAATAAAAAATCAATGTCTATTGAACTGTTAAAACACAACTTGGAGAGTTACAGGAATACAAGGATATCAAAAGCCTTTCCTCTTGGAGCAGGAGTGCTCCTGCTTCACCAGCCGACACAAACAAGAGGCAAAGTGCCACACGGGACCATCCAATCCGTCTATCTGATGAGGAGCCACCTTAATCTCATTTGCAAAGCTGATATGGGTTCCTTTAAAAGTGAAACTGAATGAGCAACAACAATGGCATGAGTGCTGAATTAACAGCATTCCTTTTAATCACAAAACACAAGACTAGTTTGTACAATACCAAGCTAATAAAATGTCTAATTCACTTTGTAGCCGAGTCAATAACATGTGCTGATGACAGCTGGGATGATGCTGATCCAGGTTATGCTGTGTGGTCCTGTCAGTGACATATAATTACACACTATTTAGTAATTCAGCCAAAAATACAAAAGGAACTAAAGAAGAAGTGAGATTTTATCCTCTGAAACGCCAAAATAACTCCTCGCAATTTCTCAAACACACCTTGGAGAAAGTGAGCCCAGCTAAGGTGCCTTCTGTAATTTATGGAAACGAGCGTAAATTAAATGGAGCTGCTTTGATTTCACCGGCACTCAAATATTCATAAGGACATATTGATTAGGCAATGTTACGCTGTTAAGCAAAGCACTTTTTACACAGTAGACATGTTAGCCTCACCCCCTCGGGACACCTTACTGGATTTTCAGCTGTAGTAATAAACATTTACAAACAAAGCACATGTTTCTAGTTGGAGAGGAAACAAAGGTCCAAAGTCTATTGACACACAGGCTGTCAGAGATCGTCCTTCAACCCAACATAGTGGATATAATGCTTCATTTGGCAAACATCAGGATCGCCCTTTAGGCATTCATCTTTAACTAAATCTAAAAGATGGGTTATAAATTTCTACAAAGTGAGGCTATTCTTTCTAAATAAGCTTGGTGCAGTTTTCTCCTAAAATAGTAAAAAAAATAAAAAATTCAATTAAATGGCAGGTGTGTACAAGTAGAAATGTGGATCTCTGCGGTGGCACCTACCTGACATGGTTGTCGCAGAACTTGGTGCTCTGGGGCCGGTGGAGCAGCACCGTCCGCGCCGAGGCGTCTACCGGCTCCGCCTGGGAAGTGGTCCCGGACATCTCGTCATCTGCCTTGCGGTAGCCGGCGGACGAACCAGAAGGTCCTGTGCAGGTTGATGGGAGAGAGGTGAGGCTGAGTGAAGGGAGGGGGGGGGGGGAACACACACGCGCGCACGCACACACACAGGCTGGAGTTTACAGTTCAAAAGCGACCAATTACGAGCAGGGGAGCCGGTGGGGTCGATTCAATTGTGCTTATATTAAAAAATAAATAAATAAATAAATAATAACTCTGTTCTGAATGCACACGCGCGTGCTCCTCCTGACGCCCACGGGACCCCCCCTGCGCATAATAATGGATGTGCTGAGGGATGCACAATGGCGCACAAACACCGGGTTCAGTCCGCTTCTATCAGCAGCTCATTCATGGGCTGGCCGCGCACAGAATATCCAGTAAAGTGTCAGTCCCGTCTCCTCCTTCTCCTCCTCCTCCTCCTCCTGCAGGGTCGCTGCCTCCCCGCCCGCCTGGCTTTGTCATCTCCGAGAGGAAGCGCCGTGATCTCCGCTCATTCACCCCGGCAGGAGCTGCAGGAGCCGGGCCATTTCTCCCGCAGATCACCGCCAACAGATCCCCGGTGCCTGGTTCAACCTCCGGGCTTCCCCCGCGCCTTCTTCGGCTTACATGGAAGCCATCTGCGGGTCGGGTTTCATCCGCGCGTGCACCCTTCGTGCCTGCTAGCCTCTTTATCCAGCGTGTTTCAGACGCACCCCTCCCTCCAATGTGATGCCCCAGCTGCAACGAGGGGAAGCCGTGGAGCATAAATATGGAGCTCCGTAAGTGCCGCCGGGATTTCCGCTTTTAAAGGGCCAGAAAAAGCTGAGTCCAGAAAACTATAAAGTAAGGACACTATTTATAATCTTATCTCTGTGAGGAAACAATTTAAAATAAAAGGTACTTACTGCAAACTCTAAAATTTAAAAAGGTTATTCTAAATATCTGATGGTACATCTTGAAATAGTTTACATTCAAAAATGCAGGTATGCGCTCAATATAAACAAAGCAAAACAAGTGGAAGCTTAAGTCACATGTTTGACCTACTGGCTTTAGTCCATGTAAACAAATATGGCAGAACCGGACAAGCGAAGAGTCTCAGGGAAGAAATATGTTTATGTTAAGCTAAAGTAAATTTGCTGCTAAGTGCAAAAGATAACAAAGGAATCACTTAAGACAACTGTCGAGAATAAATATTATGGATCAAACAGGGAGGAGCGCCATAAAGACGGAGTGCGGCATTCTTGACGAAACTTATTTTAGACAAGTTAGCCGTTTTAACATTAATTCAACTCTAGTCCAACAATGAACTTTAATCAACAAATATAAAACATCCAAATGATTCTTCAATGAACGTTGTGACCTATAAATAAAATAGTAATAATCTTCTAAACGAAACACACGCCAGTCATCAATTTTGCTTCCAAATTTTAAAATTTAAAAAAACATTGTGCAGATTTTGTTTATTTTAAAAATGTGTTGTTTTTGTTTGCATTGGGAACCTTAAAGAATTGATAAATACAAAGCTCAGGTCTAACTTTGTGGTTTTTCTTTATGAATGCACAGGAAAATATGAGTGAATGCAAATTTATTTATTCTTTTCTGGTTGAGAATACATGAAGTACTAGTAGTTGTGCATGAGCTCTTTCAACTTAAAGAAACAACAGAATAAAAAAAAACTGGGTAATATTCAACAGTTCATATAAAATGTACATTATTAAGATACATGATTACTGTACATAATAAAAAATGGTGCTATTAAGTAAAAAAAAAAACATGCACAACTATGGTATTGATGTATCTTTGCATTTGTTTTAACTGCACACTTCCCTTTGTATTCAGAAAAGGGGAGAAATGCTAACTTTGTATTTAAAAGTTGTTAAAGTTTTAACTTTTTAAGCTGCATTCTCACAGAGAAAATACACACTACAAGTTTAAATAATTTGACTTATTCAAGAGTTTACATGCAGAACTATCTGACTGATGTTTACACATTTTTACTTATAAATTCACTTTTTTTTAAATCCCGTACAGGAGCCTCATATCACCTTAAGGTCTTGTAGTCGGGCACAGAAGGGTCAAATGTCATCCAAGAGTCATCTACCAAACATCTCTCCATGTCGTTTTTCTTCACCGTGATGCCTCTGCCAAAAGCAGACGTCAAGTTCTCCATGAGACTTCTCTACTATTTCAAAACATAGTCCCACATTTGTCTGGAAAATCCCCAGATCGCATTGTTACAAGGCTTAAAAGTGAGGCAACGAGATTGGTTACATCACAAAGCCCAAGATTTGTTATCCGATATCATTCTTCGGAACGCTGAGCGAGTCGGCGAGCGAAAACATCAACAGCCTAATTGCATGAATAATTTAAAAAATAGAATAAGCACTTGCAGTGTTCCGGCAGATTGAATTTCCACAGTACTGAAACCCCATTTCTGCAGCGCCACAAGCCCCTAACAGCTGTCCTCCCCTCATCAATAACCCAAATTGACTTAATGTTATTATATCCCACTCCAGCACGGGATTCTGGGAGATGAGAATCGTAAAGGTGAAGGGAAGTGAAGCAGGCTATAACGTCTCATGGCACATCAGATCCATTTTTCCATGGGAAGAGATGCTGCGTGTGTAAACTTGGATTAATGAGAAGTGCATTATTTAAAGTTTTTATCAAAATGCACGTTCCCTTTGCTTTTAACTTCTTGGGAGCTCAAAGATGTTCCCTAACCAGCCCACAAAACGTGCAGAGCAAAGGTCAAAGTCTTTTCAAGCTTTCTGATAACAAACAGCCTATCTGCATTCTCTAGATCTTTGACCGAGGTCTTGTAACAAAACTGAAAGGTGTGTTGCAATCCCCACTGAGAACATTGATAATTGTACAAAAGTGGATATTGCAGAGATAATGTTAAAACGTAAGGAAGGCCAATGCCTTTGTCGTCAAGCTACTTTACATGTTTTTATATTGCATAAAAGTCTATTTTTATCTCTGCGTGTGTGGAAAGTTTGACTTTATCCTCTTGTTTTTTTAACCCCAGCAGGCTCAAGCTTTCCAAAAAAAAAATCAATAGCAGCTTCCTCAGCACACCACTTCAGCTCTAATTCATTTCTGGGGCAGATCAATGCTTCAGTTACTCGTCTCGGATGGAACAGAGGCGTGCTTGCCTCCGTAACTCAGTACTGATGCACCACTGATGAGTCAGCAGAAGGCAGCAGCAACGCAAAGCAAGGTCAGTTGCACGTGAAGATTTCAGGATGTCCACAAAAAGGTTACTCAAGTCGAGATAACCAGCAGCGAGAACAGGTAATACTAATCCACAAACACCCTGATCCCAAACCCTGAAAGCAAGATTCAGACAGTTACCCGTTTGATTGCTAAGCCTTAAATATCTTAATTCATAAACAGACTCAGACTCTGGAAAATCTCCAAATTCTAGACTAGTTAAGACTCATAAATCCCTAACCAGGATAACTACTGTAATTTTTTTTATTGTAATTTATCTTTTTTTTTTTTAGAAGAAAGAAAAATCACTGTAATGCCACTTTAATTGGTGATATGCGACTTGTCTGTGCTGCTGATTAGGGCTGTCACGATAAACGATAAATCAATTAATCTCATGATAAATGAAAATTATCAACCTCGTTTTCATTTATCGGCTTTATCGTTTCTTCGTGTCTCTCTTTCTAGTGAAGACACTGGATGACAAAAGGCTCAACTCTGGTGTTCTTCACTGACCTCTCCCTTTCACTTTCTCTTTAAAATCCTTGTAACCGTCCAAAATCGTGTTTTTGGATCGTCAAGAGCAGCTAAGCTGAGAAGCTTAGCTACGAGCTAAGCTAACAGGCCAACCTCGGGAAAAAACCTCCGTCTTGTCGATTCTCCAAAATTCACGGTTGAAACCCGTGCCTTCGTGTAAAAAGTTGTTTTTCTCTGCAAAAAGAAGCTGAGAACTTGTTTACTGATTTTTTTTATTAAAAGCTTTGTGTGAAAAATGCTATGCTAAAGAGCTCAAACCACACCAAGCGTCTGCCATTTTAAGAACCGAAAAACAGGAAGGAGAGACAGTCAAGTTTTTGGGAAATTGCAGCAAATATGCAATAGTTGTCTTGGTTTTTATTAGTACTATTATTTTATTGATATTTTGCGTTAAATTTTATTATACTTATACTATAACATAACAGTCTTATACTGCCATCCAGTGGTCAAAAAAGGTACTACACCCAAAACTAAACGTTTCTTCTCAAATTTCAAACAATATTATAGTTTATCGCAATAATTTCTGAGACAATCGCCCAGCAAAATTTATTGTGACAGGCTTACTGCTGATCTCATGCTGCTGTATTCATCATACCCATCTGCTCACCACAAACTCATGTTCGGGCTGCTGTTGTTACGCCGTATTTTTTTTACATTATTAGTGTTTAGCGTGTATCTTAGATCTTTAGCGTACCGTTTAGCGTTTGTTTAGTGTATATCTTAGCTCCTTGTATACCGTTTCTTTTTATACTTTACACTTTGCTACTTTTGGGTGTAACTGGGACCCTGTGTACATAATTTCGTTCCACCTCATGTACCACATGTGATGGAAACGACAGTAAAGTTGACTTGAACTTGAGCTTCTGTCTTGAAAACATGCAGCTAAAATTTACTTAAACACCTAATGTCAACTACATCATATGATTTTTAAAACATCCGGAGGCAAAGCTAGGTCTAAAAGGTCATTAAGTTCAATGAGCAAAAAGTATTACATGCTACATCATGTATTTTTAGGATTAAACTTGTTCCCAAAATTTCAGTGTTAAACAACAGCCTGCTGAATAATGTATTATCAGGAGCTGCATAATTCAACTACATTTTCCAATATGGCAGCGCATATTTCACCTCGGTGCTCAGTCTGTGCTTTCACTCTCGATGGCCTTCCTCTGAAGTGTATTTTATGTGGTGCAAATGTAGCTTCAGAGGTGCATGCACATTTAATCCAATCATGCAGCTCAGAGATGAAATGAGCCAAAAAGGTAATAGCTACTAATCATAAAGACAGTTATAGCAGGACTGATAAAATTATACCCAGATGTTAAACCCCTCCACAAGCCACACTTGGGACATACGCTCTGGAAGATTTTGTTTTTATTATCTGGAAAAAAATTAAGTTTATTTAAATCCCACCTGGATGTATGAAGTAAATCAGAGTATTTATCACAGCGTGTTTGACTCAGACACTTTAACGGGAACGTTTTGGGAGTCTGTTCACAGCAGAGCTGTTTTAATCTTCTGACAGCAGAAGCTAAAGCACAACCATCCACTTGAACAGTCAAGTTCTTTACATAATCACTTGATCTCAAGTGAATTATTAGAAACATCTCTCTCATTTAAAAATGTGGATGATAAAAACATTATTTCTTTTTTTTTTTTACAACTACATCAGTTTGCACATCAAATCTATTCATGACAACAAATGTTCATCTCAACTTTTAGGACAAAAAAAAAAAAAAAAAGACACGTAGACAAAACAAATTGATCAAAAAATGAACCAAAAAGTAAGCAACTGCAAAGCCTGAACAACTGAGCACAGGAAGACGTTACCAACAGAGCATCGTCTGCCTTGGCGACCCTTACGTCCCATTGGGGCCCTGGTCTCCTAGACGACCAGCAGGCCCTATTTCCGGATCCTGGTTAACATGGATGCTATTGATCTCTGTAGGTCCATTTGCCACCGTACCGGAGTAGGGAGTAACGATGGAAAGCCTCTTAGGCATGGAGTGAACGAGCATGATAATCCTTTCTGTGTCTGTTCTGCAACTTCCCCTGCTGCTAATCCATAACCTGTTAATCCTACAAGACTGTACACTCCAACATAAATTACACTATTGTATCAGCATGCAAAAAAACATACCCTGATACACAGTCTTAATATTTACTACATTTACTAAATAATTATTTAAACCAGAAAACGTGAATGACATGAACATGCAGCTACTTTCCTGTACTCCATGCGTTGGTGTTCCTCCTAGGCCTGTCACCATAAACAATAATCAATTAATCACATGATAAATGAAAATTATCTACATCGTTTTCATTTATCGGCTTTATAGTTTCTTCGTGTCTCTCTCTTTCTACTGAAGACACTGGATGACAAAAAGTTCAACTCCGGTGTTCTTCACAGACCCCTCCCTTTCTCTTTAAAATCCGTTTTAACCGTCCAAAATCATGTTTTTGGATGGTTAAAAGCAGCTAAGCTGAGAAGCTAAGCTACGAGCTAAGCTAACAGGTCGACCTCGGGGAAAAAACCTCCGCCTTGTCGAAGCTCCAAAATTCACGGATGAAACCCATGCCTTCATGTAAAAAGTTGCTTTTCTCTGCAAAAAGAAGCTGAGAACTTGTTAATTGTTTTTTTTTTATTAAAGAATTGTGTGACAAATGCTATGTTAAAGATCCTGATACAGGCGCAATGCTATGCTATAGCTAGCTATACTAAAGAGCTAAAACCACACAGTGTCCACCATTTCAAGAACCAAAAAACAAGAACGAGAGACAGCCCACGTCACGTCAAGGGGCCTCCCTCTCATTTTTCTTAAAGAGACACGCTGCTCGCTCCCTCACTATCCATCCTTTGGTTCAAACCGTTTTATACTGCCATCCAGTGGTAAAAAAAATACACTACACACAAAATTAACCAGCATTTCTTCATAAATTTGACAATTACTACTTATTGTCAAATTTCAAACAATATTATCGTTTATCGCAATAATTTCTGAGACAATTAATCGCCCAGCAAAATTTGTTATCATGACAGGCCTAGTTCCTCCTCTGATCACACGTGCCATATGCATACATGCATGTGTTGTACTTTTAAGCATGCATATTAATACTGAAAGCTTACCTATACAACCCCAATTCCTAAAAAAATTGGGACCTTGTGCAAAATGTAAATAAAGAGTGCAATGATTTGCATATCTCAAATCCATATTTCATATATTTATATATATAAATAAAGGAACTAGGTTAAAAAAAAAAGTACATATGGGAAGTATAGGTTTATGAGATTTGCAAATCGTTGCACTTTGTTTGAATTTACCTTTAACACAGCTCAACTTTTTTTAAACTGGGTTGTATTTATCAGTCTTCAACCAACCTGGTCTGGTGCTTGTAGTTTCTACTGCCTTCAAGCACATGCAGGGAGGAGGTGAATCCTGTACAGCATTCATCACTCCAGACCCCAAGGAGCTACTGATTACGCCAACAATCTGTATTCACCTTTTCTGCTGTAAACAGAAATAGTAGCTCTTGAGGGCCAGGGGTTTTGGAGACCCCCCACTCCTTCAGTATCTGCTGGCTCATGCACCATTTTGGGGCTGCGGACAGAAACGGGGCATCATCCAGCCTAGTTTGAGCAAACTCACTTTTGTCAAACCTGTGTGTGAGGCGGACACGCATGGTGGCACCCTCGTCCTGCAGCTCAGAAGCCTCCTGCCTAATGGTGGTCAACACTAACTGCTCTGTGGGTGCAAAAAGTAGCCGCAGCGAGAAAAAAATAAAAATACAACACAAAAAACAGCAAGTCAATATACATGTGCTGTACCGCACACAGCGCTTGTAGATGGCAATGACAGAGCTGTAAATGTGTCTGAGTAATTTACATTTACAGTGACATGAGATTAAAAAGAAAGATGACTTCACCAAAACCATTTAGATTGTCCAGGAGTGCCCCCTTGTGGCTCGCACAGGTAAATACATAGTTCTGTAATTTATCTCCCAAACTGCATCTTCAGTATAAAGGCACTGGCAGGCATGGCAACCAGTCATTATCTCAGTAAAACAGAGTTGAAAGCAGGCTGATCTGCGTGACTCATGCAAATTAGACCCCAACTATGATGCAAGACGTGGCTTTACATCAAAACACAAATTATGTCAATCTGAGACAACAGAATCCATTATGTGCTTTTCTGAACCAGTGTTGCTTTATGGAGTTGTTTTAGTATCAATTCTCAAAAGATAAAAAAGCAGTTTCTATTACAAACTTATTTCTGATAAATAAAATGTCAGGTCTGCACGTGAAAATTGGGAATAAATGTGACAGGCTGCAGACGTAAGCACCTGAGATGTGGCAGCTTGCTAATTGGAGCAAAGCGCCGTCGGGTCAGGCTCCAAGAGATTAGAGTGAGAAAAGATGAAAAAACCAGGAGATAATGTGTATATGCTTTAAATTTTAAGCATTTTTAAAAGTTGTGAAGATTGTAAAGCCCATAAAAATGCTGGTGTTTATTCTGACAAAATTGTCTTGGAGAACCAAACACTAAAAATCTTCTAAATAACTTGTGGCTTTAAGCCTGCACGTCCCATTTGACACGTATTTATGCACAATTTGCCTTGCTTTTTGTTTGAGAACTACAAGAAGCACAATAACACAGAAAACAGCCTGAGAGTTGTCATTCAAAATGCTTTTCATTTCCAAAATGATCTAATTAAACATCGGTTTGCAATCGTCTACCGTATTTTTTGGACTATAAAGGCACACTTAAAATCCTTTAATTTTATCAACAATCAACAGTGAGCCTTGTGTATTAATTCTGGTTGTGCTTAATGAACTTGAACCAATTTTATGTGGTACACGGCGCTAAAAAATCTGTCAAAATGTTTTAGTTTCGCTTAATGTGCCTTATGTATGAAAACAGACATTGATATTGCGCCTTATAGTCCGAAATAGACTTTGCACTGCACCCACCTTTAAACCATCCATAACTTCTCTTCAGCTTCCATTATAAAATGACTAATAAATCAAAAAGATATTACCTTAAACTGAGCATGTGGGCTATGGAAAATGAACGCAACAAGGTTTAAATAAGGCCTTAAGGTGAGGAAGCAGGCTCAGGAGGTGCTCCTTCATTCATGGTCATGTGGTTTTTAAGTCTGGAGGTAATAGGCTGTTATTGGATTGGTTCTGCAGGTGCTGGATTTGGACGTTTGAACACACAAAAAAGACCTAATCAAGACCATTTGTACCTATTTTGTTATGAACCACCTTAAAAACACACAAATGTTGACCTAGCTGTGAAGCTTCACAAAATATCCATAATAAAAAGCCTGAATAGATTGTAAGAGATAAAAAGTAGAGATAAAATAAAATTACATAAAATCATAATTGTGTTATGGATGTCGTGTGAGAGGTTTAATTTCATTTTATCCAGAGGTCGTATTTTCCATGTGATAACACCAGGCAGCCTAGAAGATTAAAAGGCAGGCTGTCTCCCCTGCGTGTCCTTGCATGTCAAGGTGCCAATAAAAAATAAAAACAAAAACATGAATGAATGAAAAAAAAAATGGTGGTTTAGTAAAAAAAAAAAGCTGCCGTCCTTGACAATTTCACAGTTCCGTTTAAATTATGCTAAATAATACGGGTCCCAAACGGGTCGTTGTATTCGGAAGTGACAGGCCTGATAATGAGATAACAAAATGTTGGGTCGAATGACCCGGAGCGGGTGAATATCGGTGAATTTAGGCGGGGCTTTGATCTCTTACCTCCCTCGCTGTGTATCTTCTTAGCTCTTCGGTTGAAATACATCTTGCTGGTGGCGGGGGGTGAGACTCGGTGAGGCTGGGACGAGGAGGAGGCCGGAGCGGTGACATGCTCACGGCTCACCGACAGGCTGCCAGGAAGATGCTCCGGGCCCGGGCTGCGGTTGCAGTTCCTGCTTTGGCTGCTCGGTAATCATAATTTCGCTCTTGGACATCCGAGGTTACGATGGACGGTGTCGGCTTCTGTCAGCTTCAAGGTAAACGGAAGTGAGGGGGTTATACTTCCGGTAGGTTCTTTCAAAATAAAAGTGAACCAGGAAGTGCGTAGCTTCAGACACTTTCATTTGTTCAACATTAATTTGTAGAATGTTCTCATGCTGTAATATTTTTGGTCGGATTTGCAAAGGCTCCTTACAGAAAAAGTTGGAAATAATATTGTATAATCAAAATTTTAAACATTGCTCAGCTTTAACAATTCAGCCTTTTCTTCAGATGAAAGAAATATATATATATATATATATATATATATATATATATATATATATATAATCTAATTATTAAACAATTTATATGTTTAAAAAATATGATTAAGTTAAAATTGTTAGGAAAGTATGACACCATGTGAAGAATGCCTGATCGCTTTGGGGATTGTTCAAGCCTGTGGTTTGTTTAGATATTTTTTTTAGAGGCAGATATAAGAAATTTCTTCTTCTTTCTGCACCCTTTTCATTAAATCTTTTGGTTTTTTTTATGAATTTGTTTTGTTTCTTTTAAATGAATGAATAAATGAAATAAAAATAAGAAATCCTGGCAAAATGTTATGTCCACAAGATGGAATGGAAAAAAATCCCCTCATTTAATAATTTAAAAGAAACTGACTTGAAAACATATATTGACTTTGTTGAAAACTTAATTTAAATAATCAGAAACTTGTAAAAAATAACTCTTCTTAAAAAGTTTAACTTTTGTCTCATACAGACCACTTTGGTATTTTTTTTATTTTTATTTCTGCTGTAACAGACTCTATTATATGAATTTGAGGATTTGAATGCATCGTTGTGCATTTGTTAAGAAAATAGTAGTGTTTGTAAAGTACACATTTTATTTTACACATTTATGTATAATTATTTTTATTTTTTTTTACTTTGTAGACTGCAAGACCTTAATACCAATATTGCCAATGTCTGTGGTTATTTTATATTATTTATATATCATTATTCCTGTTTATTTTTTCTTTAATGTTATCTGATATTATTGTGTTGAATATATTTATATGTAATGTTGTTTGAAATAAAGTACATTTTGAAGGAAAAAAACTTTCATTTTTTTCATTTTCAATAAATAAAAAAAACAAATTTGTGTCAACGTTTTGAACTGAAGACACTTTTTTTCTCTTTGGCTTTTAACTGAGCTTGAAATTGTTTTTACTGTTTTATAATTTTGGCAGTTCATTACTTTTACGGCATCAGTTGATTTTATGGTTTTTATTCTTGCTTGTATGTGTTGGTGTACAGCACTTTGGCTAGCAGTGTTTTTCGTAAAGTGCGTTGTAAATAAAGTTGTAATTGTAAAATGTAGGCACTATTAGTACTCTAATAAAACTGTATTTAGGATTTACAAACTAAATTATTCCTTTTCTGTTCTTAGTCATATTCAGCTTGTATTAATTTAAAAATCAGATTCAACAGCTGTTTATGTTTAAAACTGAATTTGAAAAGGCAAATTATATTTTAATGTAGTTTTGCAGGTCCTTTGGGTCTAATTAGTTTCATCACATGTAACGAATCATTTTGTAAAAAAAGATTATTCCAACAAATTTAGAAACATTTAAGGTGCATCTTTTTCTAATTAATTTTTAGGACATTTCAGAGAAACAGTGATGGATCCTACATGTTTATTTTATTAAATAATATATTGCATAAAAAGTATTTTAAGTATATTTCTCCCTTGTTAATTAAGGTTTTACATTAGTGCTTTACAGCTAAGCAATGAATGCAGTGATTTGTGGCCCCAGGCACAAAACTGGTTTCCAAGAGTCCCCAATCTCAAGATTGAGGAAGCACAAGGCCATGAAGCATTTGCCAATGGTCCAAGCTTCTATAGTTACAATATCAAATATGGCAAGCAGCAAAAAGAAACTTGCGTTGGTAATAAGGACAACAGAACAAAGATTAAAGGAATTACGGTAATGCAGTAACACTTTGAACAAACTTTTAGGTTGGACTTGTGTGTCCAAAGTACAATTGCCACAGCATGCTTCATACAAGAGGTTCATCGACTAGAACAGTGAACTGGTAACACCTTTGTCTTTTTTATTAAGCTAAACACATACACTCCAAAGGTATTTTCGGGTATAACAAAGCAGCATTTTACAGTTTTTAAGGAGCAGAGAATAAAACCGGTCTTACATCATCATATGTTAATTTTAGCCGTTTAATTTACTCTCTTTACATTGCAACATATAGCATTTCATATTTTAAAGGCCGATTTTCATCTTATTAAATAGGAACAGAAAAAAAAAATATGTCTGTGTCCACAAAGACTCCAAAATGGACATTCATTGAACAGAGGGACTGTCAGAACCAGGTTGAAGATGAAGCCAGCAGGCCTGCCCTTCTAACATGGATTTGCAGGTAAACCAAGCACACTTAAAATACTCACACATCCCTACATATTATACGGCATACGAGATGTTGTAATTGGTGTGTACTGAACTGTAAATAAAGTGACTGGTGGGAAACCATCTCTTTTGCTCTAGAAATAAATTATCTATGCACCTAAATTATAAAAAAATAAATTTAAATACAAATCTAAAAAGAAGAAAAAAGGAAATTATATTTATCAGCATCTGATGCAATAAATTGTTCTTCACTCTGAAGTATTGTAGTTGAACAAATGTAAAATCTAAATTGTTTCACTTCAACACCATCTCCCAGGTTTTCACTCAGATGTATTGAGTTGCAGCAGTGGATGTGAATGAGCAACAGTAACTGAGGACACGATAACTTTAAACATAACAGGACTTCGTTTTAAACTGGAAATGACAATTGGGCATTACAATGTAAACATCAATGAACAGCACGTCAATACTTCCTTCTTTTGATATTGCACAACTCCTTGCCAACAAGTCTGAATCCCTGATTATCACATGCCTTCGGAAATTTTTTGGAACTGTGCTGACCATTCAGATAGTTTCTAATTCCAAAGTGGCAGGCTGTAGTGGAGGGTGGTGTTTTCTACTTGGCTTTAACAAAAACCAGTAGATGTACTGTATATAACTTTTTCCAAAGTAAATATCAAGCTCATTTTACATGTCTTGATAAGCTGCAGATACATTTTGAATAAATCTGAGGGTTGAAAGAAGTAAATGTAAAAAAAAAAAGGGGGGGGGGTGGCTCCTTCCATTGTGAGCAGATGTGTTTGTAGCATCTTAATTCAGAAATCTTACAGGCAGTGCAGAATTATTTACAGATTACACCATTAAAACTGAGTTTAGTGATCTGTGTAGTCCAGCTGTAAAAAAAAAAAAAAAAACGCCACATGTATCAGACTTAAAACTGGTAATGGAAAACATATTCAGCATTGGCTACAAAATCTCCTTAAGCATTAATGTTATCTGTTAACATAACGACCTCTGAAGCTTTATGAAAATAGTAGCAACAAAATCACAGAAGAGGAAAATTAAATGCTGAAAACGAAGCATCTAAAAAAATAGTTTTGTTAATTTTCTGCATTTATAGTTTCTTTCACACTTTTGGTTCAACACAATAGATGTTTAAATGAGATCAGAGCACAAAAGCAATATGTACATGCCAAGCTCACTTGGGTTTGCTCCATTCAGCCAGCCATGAGCGCTTTAGTTATGTCTGAAAGCAAAGATGTCAATCGTGATGCACAGAGAGCACAGGCTGCCTGCAGATAGGGCAGGTGTTGTTTTCAGAAAGCCAGCGGTCAATGCAGTGGATGTGGAATTCATGGGAGCAGGGCAGACGGCGCAACTTGTTGCCTTGAGCGTATTCATTGATGCAAACACTACATGCACGACCCATTTCCCCCTCCAGGCTGGCCTGACCGTATGTACGTGTGGAGAGATTGTCAATTTGCTCTTTGGTCAGGCCCCTGGGATGTTCTTCGTCGTCCTCATCATTGAGCAAAAAGAAGTGAGCCAGCCGCAGAATAGGTAGAGTGCCATTTTCTACCAAGTTGTTTGTGTCCCTACTGCTTGCCCGTCCATCAGTGGTGCCAACTCCTCCACCCTGAAGCCCGGCCTGTCCACTTTGCTCTTCCTCACGCCCCACCAGCCTCTCCCTCTCCAACACCACCTCACCTGGACCATCCTGGCCAGAAACACTCTCATTTGAATGTAGATGACTGGTCGGGTTGGTGTTACCATTTGTCCCTGTAACATCTGCATGGCTAGGTGCAACAGTTTCAGAACTAGCCTCTGTCTCCATTAGAGAGCTAAGCTCCCCAAATCCAGTCATAATCTGGCGCAAGATGGAGCGTAAGGCAGTGGAGTTGGGTTCTCCCAGGCCTGTCTCACTGATGCGCCTCAGGGGAATCCGAATAGTGCTCACATAAGTGCGGATTCCAGCTCGCTCGGAACGGGAGATGGTGCGTCTAAATCCACCGCTATCGCTTTCAAACGTGACGGTATTCTCTGCGACCCGCGCGCGTGAACGTGTTCTGCTAGCAATGCTGTCCCGATCTCGGTTTTCCCCAGGTCGAATTCTTCTCACTTGCAGGTCCAACATGATGGTCGGGTGTCGTCTCACCGCTGAACCTCCTGCTCCTACTGTTTGCGATTCCCTCTCACGCTGTACAGCTTCCACAGCTGTCTCTGATAAAGCAGTAGGTTCTGATATAGGCTCCCCGGTCTCCATCGACACCGACGTTGTTACACTGGTTGGCTGAGTATGGATGGTAAAACCAATGGGCACACTGCTGGATGGTGGTGTGGTACTGATAATAGGTGTTCTGTGTAAAGGGGAACGACTTCGTCTTGACACACGAGACGAAACTCCACCTCCGGTTGCAGTCCTACGTGCACGACCTCGTGATCGAGTCCTACTGCTGCGAGATTCGTGTCCTGCAGCTGGAGCTTGTGATTCAGAATCGGGTAACACCCAAGGACAGTCTTGAGAAGCAGACATGTCATCATGCCCACGTTCAGCCTCTATATCCAGGAGCTGATGCTGAGAGGGTGTAGTTTGAGCAACAGGAGGATTGGGAACAGTGGGAGAAGGTGCTGATGAGTGCAAAGACGTAGCCCTCCTTTGAGTAGTAGCTGGGGTTGCTTCTGGAGGAAGAAGTACAGGGGGGCTTAGAGAAAGCGTGGTAGTGCTGCTGCGTGTACGTCGTGTCTCCATCCTTCTACTGTTGGTCTGACTGGGGGAGGGATAGGGGGCTGACCTTGGTGCAGTTGAAGGGCGAGGGCTGGAGAGTGAGGTACCAGTGCGTATAGAGGGTGCAGTTGTGTTTACAGGAGTAAGCTCTGCTGGATCTGCAGCGTTCACACTGTCATTTTGCTCTCCAGGCTCAGGCTGATCATGGTTTATGTTGATCTCCAGGCTAAAGCGAAATTCCCCACTGTTAGGATTGGTCCGGCTGACAGCCCTCCATGTCTGGTTGCCACTCTGCCCGCTCCGAGTAGCATTACCGGTGCGTCTAAATGTGTTAAGCCATTCAAGTAATGAATCACCATTAGACGACTCTGCTCCAGGTTCTGTATTCCCTGTTAAAATTTAATTAAAAAAAAGGGTAAAACTAAGTGACATAACATGTATTAAACATTTAAGAAAGCAGCATAAAATGTAACCCTTAGCGTTTTGTAATTATTAAGATCCACAGTTTATTCTAAAATAAAAATTTATCAAGTTTGAATAGCATACATTTGTCTGATTTGATCTTGATCAGTGATGTTATTTTTTTCATTATTTATCCATAAAAATCAAATTAACTAAAATCATACAACATTCTAATGACTAAAAAGCAAAATTTGGTAAGACCAGACAGAGACAAGAACCCTTCCCTCCATCCTACCTGCTCCTCCTCTTCCTCCTGCGCCTCTCTCCTCTCCCCCACTGCTACTGCTCTGCTGTTCTCCAGAGTAAGCAGTCTGTGAGCGTTGTTCGGTGTGGGGCTGAGACAATACACGCTCTTTTGCGCCATTCAGACGCTGCTGCAATTCATCTGCAGTTACCTCACCTGTGAAACATCCCGGACATGTTGGGGTTATGAGTTATGAGCAATTGAGAAACCATTCCTCTACCTTTTAGGGATTACATAAACAAACAAACTAAATTTTGAGGAAATTTTATTTTCTTTTTTTTTTAAACATCTGATATGGCATTTCTTAATTTGTTTGTAAGAAGAGGATACAGACGTTTGTTTGTTTGTTTACTTTAATTAGAAAATCTGCTATATTTACATAAAAAACACTCCTAAATAATTCTCCAAAACTGCATCACAGACACTTAAAAATACATCTCATAAGAGTTGTTGAAATCTTTTTTGCAACGTTGGCATTCAAGAACACTTGAAGGACAAAACATCAGGTAATGGTAAATGTACAACCACTGTTCTGTCTTAATCTAAACGATGTATGACCCTCCTCACCTGGAGTGCCCAGCAGGTTGCCGTCTCTCATGAGACGGTAGTCCTCTTCACTCAGTTCATTAATGAAGTGATAGTATGCCTCCTCGCGTCGAAGACGCTCTGCCTGCCTCCGTCGTTCGTCTCCCCCTCCAGGAGGGTCCATTACCATGGAAGGTGCTGGGAGAAAAATGAAGCAAATTGCGATGCAAATAACGGCCGCTCAGTTATTAAAAGGGGCGAATGTTAGACCAATGTCAACCATTTTCTATACTCAGCTACCATAATCTTGCTAAGATTTAGCATAAGCATTAGCGATAGAAATAATCTGTTTTAACGCGTAAACAAAAGCTCCGTTTACCGACAGTGCGAATCAGCAAACAAATGTTATAAAACCGATGAAGTCCTCATGAAAGCCAATATTAAACAAGTGAAAGTAGTACCTAGAGGAGGCTATGGTGAAGGGAGGCTAATGAAGCAACCAGACGGCCATCATCGTCATCGCCATCTTTGACCAATCAGCGGCCGAGTCTCACTGACTGACACGCCAGGCAGCTAATCGCTGCTCCGCAAGGGCGGGGCATAAGAGGCCAAACTAAGGCTTCTTCCATGTAAGCGCAGAGCGACGACGCAAAGACAAAGAATCCTTTCAGCATTATTGAACAGCAGAGTAATTAACATGTTTGCTCACGGCAGTAACATAATATCTCATCACCCAAACACACCAGTCCGCTTTGTGGACATTTTAAATCCAAGAAGCGTCATTTTGAATGCGCAACGTTTCGGGTGTTAACTGAGCATGTTAGCACAACCAGCAATCAGTCGATACCACCACAGTTAGCGCGAGAAAAAACCGTCCAATATTGCCACGAGTATCAATTTAATCAAGCAGGTAACGTACATAAAGCTTAATAATTGATTGAATCATACTTTCTTATATGATGACAGTAAGATTTAAAAGATGTAAATACCTGACAAAGCAGCTGTAATATGGACGTTTCGCTCTGCTCTCACCTCTCTCAACCAAGATGGGACCAGTGGTACAAACAATAAAACGTCCGTCAAAAACAACATTTCCAACTCGTTAGTTCCTAGGTAAAAACGTACAGAAAAGCCTTTGTTTGAGTGGCAGAACTGCATATCAAGAACATTATTAAGAGGATTTCTTCTTAAATAATAGACCCTCTCAAAATATTTATATAAAAACTATTTTAAAAGAATTTAGGTACAATTTTTATTTGTTGAGTTTTCAACCCTAGGTATAATAGCATAAATCAGTGAATCCCAAAAGGGTTGCAACCAGACATATACACTGTGGGTCATGAAGCACTGAGGTTGGAGGATGGGCACATTCAGTTTCAATTTAGTAAAATTCGATTTCAATTTAATGACATTCAATTTCAGTTTGTGCAATTCAAATTCAGTTCGGTGGCACAAGTTTCTGCCCATATTAGAGGGGTGAGGGTCTATAGATAATCTCCAAAACTAAATTAATTATAAAAAAAAGAATGTTATTGTACTTTTATTACTTTTTTCCACCAGAATCGTTACAAGAAATTGAAAATAGTATTCATAAAATTAAAAATCTGTGTTTTCATGTTTTAGTTGGCTTTTAAGAACAGTAGGTGGACATCAACTAGTGACAGCAACACAAGTCTATGTACCGGTAACTCTTGCTTTTTAAGCCAAAGGTTGATTTGATTTAAAGAAAAGAAAAAATACAATGAATAAATTTGCTGTCTGTTTTTTCTTGTTAAAATATTAACTTTATCATAAATGTATCTGTTTTTTAGACCATGACTTTAAACATTTGGCTCCTTTTTGTAAAGTACACAAAAAAGGTAATATAAATTAATGAATAAGTCTACAAAGCACATCGACCTAAAAATTGAGTGAGAAACAAGGAACTTTTAAAAAAAATATTCTCAGTCAACCTTGATACCATTGTAATCAAGAATTAAAAATTGTAAAATCTCAAGTGAGAAGGAACAATGTTGCATTTTTATCTGTATTCAGTATTCCAACACTTTTTAACTAATGTTGACCAACTGTCATGCTAAGACAGAGATATATCCTTGGGCCGCTAATGTAAAAGAATTGATATGTTATCATATCACTGCGGTATGACAGCGTATCAATTCTTTTACATGAGCGGCCCAATGATATATCATTCTGGATACTTAAATTTACCGTTATGAGAAAAAAATAAAACAATAATTGTTTCTTAAGTAAAACGGTAGATTTCATTCTAGTTCAACCAGCTTGTGTGATCATTTCCCTGCAACGACAACCAGGACAAAAACTGATCTTTATTGCATGTAAACACAAATGATGGCCATGTTGTGACTTCTTACAAAAAATGTAGATTAACAATAAACAACTGTCTCAAACACATCTATGAATGTTTGTATTTTACTGTCTTTTTAGTTCACCTCTGCAGCCTGGCATTTATTATCATATCTATTATCAATCAACCTTATTATGTTCATGGTAAGCTAAAACATTGATTTTCTTGAGAATCAGCTGCACTAATGCGGTATGTATTCCTCTACCAGATCATGTTTTGTGTAGATTTTCCTCAAGTATAATTTTCAAGTTAAAACATCAAAAGCATAATTACACTTATTATGTGTGACAGAGTGAATGGTTGTTTGTCTCTATGTGGCCCTGTGATGGACTTGCGACCTATCCAGGGTGTACTGTGATTGCTGGACATGAGCACCAGCGACCCCCGTGACCCAAAATGGAAGAAGCTGGTAAAAGATAATGGATGGATGGATGTTTATATTACTGAAAGACAGTCCTGCACATCAGAATGTGCAGCAAAACTGCTGGCATAGCCCTATAGAACCTCACTGATCTACACAAGGTGAAGTCAGTGAACAAGGCCAGGCTGATTCTGGCAGATCCTGATCATCCACTACATGGTGAATTCAGGTTGCTTCCATTTGGACGCAGGTATCTGCTGCCCAGATGTAGGACAGAATGAAAAATTCATTAATCCTTGTAGCGATCAGGCTTCTCAATGGACAGTGATGAGTTCATGTATAATTTTAATGTCTCAATGTCTTGTCTAGTATGGATGTTTTTCGTGACTACTGACTGTGAAACAAATTGCCCCTTGGGGATAATAAAGATTCTTGAACTTGAAATGTGTTAATTTAAAAGTGAATGTGTCTTGTTACTCCATTTTCTGTTTATTTTCAAAAATTATCCAATAAGTTGGGAAATATGCACCTATTGTAAATAGTAAAATGGACACTAGTTTGCTTGAAATCAAGTAAAGGGGAAAGTGTTGGATGTTTAAAACAAGTGACAATACGGCATGTTTTTCTCATTCAGAAAGAAGCTTCCTGTATGTAACAGAGTGACAAAATAAACATTTTTTCTACCATGTAAATCTATCATTATAGACTGAATTTATATCTCAGCTCTAACACGAATTTCCACGTGGTGGAACCTCAGCTGCCCATTTGCATTCCATCGTCTTTTCTGCGGGACCGACTTTACGACGTTTTACGACACTGCCGTCGTAACCGAGCGAAGTGCGTCTCTTTGGAGCAGATACCGGCTGGGAAGAAACGCAGCAACAACAGAAAGAAAAAAACACATTTGCGCTCGTTTTCACCCGGACTCTCTCCGAGCGCGCACCCCCGCTTCGTAGCATAAATTTGAGCCGAGAACTCGATGCGGAAGCCGGCTTTAAAGGAAGAGAAAGCCACGCTGGGGAAGGCAACTATCTGAGATACCAAAGCCCGAGCTCAGCTGCCTCCCAAGCGACGCTTTAAAAAAATAAAGGAAGGGCGCGCACACTTTTTAGCCCAAACCGAGGTGAAAATGGACTATGACTTTAAAGTGAAGCTGACCGACGAAAGGGAGCGTGTCGAGGACCTGTTTGAGTACGAAGGATGTAAAGTGGGAAGAGGCACCTACGGTCATGTTTACAAGGCGAAGAGAAAAGATGGGTGAGTTGAGCAGCAGGCCTCCAGCCAGCCCTCCTGACAACAAACACATTTAAAAGGACTTTCCCTACAGGCGTGCTGCTCTACATACTAAACTTGTCTACTATTATGCATTTATGTATTCAAATAGCGTCAGATGCGTTTGCTCTTGGACTTTAAATGAAGGTGAATAATTTGCTTCACTTCAAATGTAGCAGGTGCTTAAATGTGCACTTATTAATGATGATCCACTCTTTATGGGGATTTATTAAAGGCCATATACTTCTGCTTTGAGCTGGTTTATGTTTTCTCTAAGTGATATACTTGGAATAGCATTGTCTAAAACATCTACTTAAAGGGAGATAAAAGTCTTATTGTCCTTAGTCAGCATTCTCAGGATTGTTCCAAGAAGAGCTTAACCCATTGTGTTATTTGAGTGATGGATGCCTCAGTCCCTTGGAAAAATTTAAGGTTAATATTAGGGATGCACGATATTATCGGCATGGTATCGGTATCGGCCAATATTATCGATAAAGTTAAATATCGGACATCGACCTTTCCATCAAAATAACTTACCAATATAAAAGGCACTGTTTATATATATATATATATATATATATATATATATATATATATATATATATATACACATTAAAGGTGCTGTTTTTGTATGACCCAGTGACAAGGATGCCTGCAGCGCCAGCACAGCGTTATATCACGTGCGCAGTTAAGTTTAGATTTGTGAAAATTTACAAATGTGCACTGTTTGAGTGTGGTCATTGTGTTAGAGAGAGTAAATGTCATGAATAAATTTGTCATTAAACATAATCCAAGTTGAAGTGTTGCATCATTTTCAGCCTCCTTTTTGGCATCTGAATTTCGTAGCTGGCCAAATTGACAAAACCATGCAGAATAATGTATTTTAATTCCACAACAGAGAAAGCTGTGCAGTCTCTGTAAGTACGGTAGGTCTAGGAAAAAATATATATCGGTATTGGTATCGGTTATTGCCCAAAAAATCCAATATTGTGCATCCCTAGTTAATAATAATAAAGCGTTTAAATTAAAGAACTGTAATAATTTAGGGGGGGTTTCTAATACTTTTTTTGTGATGCTCTATCCCTGGAAAGTTGTAATATTTTCTCAAGTGGCCAAAATCTCCCAGTTTTATAAGATGGTTTAGTCCCGCGAATGTGTGTATATAAATGTTAATTCAACAGGAGAAGCGGTTTGATGCGTCCTCATTTAGGTTGGGGAAATGTTTCATCATTTTGAAGCATATCCACTAAATACAGGATGAACATATCAATCAATATCAATATATCTCACTCATACACTGATGAGCATTTTGGGGCCAGTCTGAGGTTACTGTATGTGTCTTGCCCAAGGACACTTTGTCACACTGCAGGGACTGGAGTTCGGACCTCCAACCCTCTGACTGGAGTGGACTCTACCCACTGGGCCAAGCGGGCAGGTGTCTTTTATTTGTGATTGAAAATGTCCCCAATAAAAGTGAGGAAAAGGCTGTACCCTCACTATGGTTTATTGTAAACCTGAGGTGATTGCCAGCAGCCCATTTATAACATAAATATTCTAAAACACATACAAAAAACAAGTATTTTCCATCAATCAATCATCTGCTTTTTCTGAAGTGGAGTCACGGGGTAGTAGCTTGAGCAGGGAGGCCCGGACATCTCTTTCAACAGCCACTTCTTCCAGCTCTTCTGGGAGGACTCCAAGGCGTTCCCAGGCCAACTGAGAGATAGTCTCTCCAGCATGTCCTGGGTCTCCTACCTGTTGGACGTGCCCAAAGCACCTCCCTAGGGAGGCGCCAAGGGAGCATCCTTAACAAATGCTCGAACCACCTCAACTGGCTCCTCTCGATATGGAGGAGCAGCGGTTCTACTCCGAGTCTCTCCTGGATAAATGAACTTCTCACCCTATTTCTAAGGGAGAGTCCAGCTACCCTGCGGAGACTACTCATTTTAACTTCCTGTATCCGCAATCTCATTCTTTTTTGTTACTACCCAGAGTTTGTGGACATAGGTGAGGGTAGGAGCGTAGACCGACTAGTAAATGGAGCGCTTCACCTTACAGCGCTGGTCCCTCGTCACCACAACAGACCGGCACAGCGTCCGCAGTACTGCAGACGCTGCACCAATCCATCTTAGTCTCACGCTCCATTCTTCCCTCACTCGTGAACAAAACCTCAAGGTACTTGAACTCCTCTATACAGAAGTAATAAATGCATACAACTACTTTAATAGGTTTTGAATGCTTTCAAATCTGCCATTGAATCAATACAATAGTTCATGTCACAAGTCTCTGATGGTATTTTGTTTATAAGAACCTGAAAAGTGTGGGAACTGCCTTGTCATGCGCTTCTATATCAGACTGTCACCTTACCTTACTTTCTAAAAAACTCCTGGTGTTTCTTAATACGATCTGTGTAAGACTCTTGGCTGCATCAGGACCAAAGCTGGGAGGAACATGATCCACCAACCCCATGCAAGATGCTTTATGGCAGCCTGGACTGTAGAACCAGCAGAAACCATTAAGAAAAGCCTGGCTGTGTTGCTGCTGTTTATGAGACTCTATGAGTGAAGTTCTGCTGCCACATTTGGCCGAGGCCCGAGGAGTCACAAAACATGGGTTTATGGAATAATTTAGGCTTTGAGTTGGGCAGGTAGGAGGGGTTTTTACCAATTTATTCAAGTGAGAGCCAGTCCCCATGCTCTGTTTGTCTCTTACCAGCTGCCAGACAGAGACTGTTTTCTCCCCCTTCTTATTGTTTCGAGCCTCAGAGGTGAGCTTGATTACACAGATCTGGAGGTAATGCAACTTGGCCTCTTCTCTGGGTCTCTGTGCCAGCTGCCAAGTTCCCCCCACCCCCCAGCTTTAGTTCTGTTGCTGTGCACACAGCTCTCCAGGGGCCTGCAGTCTGGTCTGGTGTTGATGTTGCTCTACCTCTTTCTGTGCTTGTAGGAAGGATGATAAGGACTACGCCCTCAAGCAGATTGAAGGCACCGGTATCTCCATGTCAGCCTGCAGAGAGATTGCTGTAAGAGCTGCTTTGCTTACTGACTTTTCTCTTGTTTGGTTTGTGAGGAATAGCTTACAGTTCGATTAGTCAACTGGAAGCAACAGATGTGCAATTTAGAGGTTGCAAATCATAAGTTTTATGATGAAATACATGCATTTGTTGCAACTTCTTTATATTTAGGATTATATGTGCCGTTATTCCTTATTTGTAGATACAAATTTGCCTTTTCATTCATTGTTTCTGCTGAGATGTTGTGTAGTTGTTTGTCTGAATGAGTTTATATGTTGCAGCTGCTGCGGGAGTTAAAACACCCCAACGTCATCTCACTGCAGAAGGTTTTCCTGTCACACGCAGATCGCAAAGTGTGGCTGCTCTTCGACTACGCAGAACATGATTTATGGGTAAACGCGCAAATATAACTCAAAACTTTATATGCTGTTGATGAGAAGAATCTACACTGGACAAAAACAAAAACGCGACAGTTGTGTCTTGTATGAACTCAAAAGATTTAAGACTTTCTACGTACACAATCTTTTTTTTTTCTCTCTCTCAAATATTCACAAATGTGTGTAAATCTATGTTAGGGAGCACTTCTCCTTGGGTGAGATAATCCATCCACCTCACAGGTGTGCCTTAGGCCGACCGCAATAAAAGGCCACTCTAAAATGTGCAGTTTTACTATATTGGGTCAGAAAAGCAGTCAGTGTGTGGTGTGGCCCTATCTGCCTCGTGCAGTGCAGCACACCTCCTTCACGTAGAGTTGGTCATGTTGTTGATTGTGGCCTGTGGTCGGTCCACTTCTCTTCAAGGCTGTGAAGTTGCTGGATATTGTCTGGAACTGGAACACGCTGTCGTATACGCTGATCCAGTGTGTCCTGAGCATGCTCAATGGGTGACATGGTGTCTGGTGAGTATGCTGGCCATGAAACAACTGGGATGTTTTCAGCTTCCAGGAATTGTGTACAGATCCTTCCAACATGGGGACGTGCATCATCATGTTACAACATGAGGTGGTGGTCGTGGATGAACGGCATATCTCGGCAAAGGAGAAGCGCTCACTGACACAGATTTACACAAATTTCTGGACAATATTTGAGAGATAAAGGCATTTTGTGTACATAGAAAGTCTTAGATGTTTGAGTTCAGCTCATAGAAAATTGAAACAAAAACTAAAATGTTGCGCTTATATTTTTGTTCAGTGGATGCTTTTTATATTGCTCATTTTAAACATTTAATTCTTTTTTAAGACAAAAACGTGTGAATATTATGTCATTTTTTAATTAAAATTTTGATTAGTACACATATTGATGGTCTACTGCAAAAAGACGAATGCAGATGTTTTTCCCATGTCCCCTTGTGTGTTTATGTGTCTGTTACCAAAATATCTCACGAACCCCTGGACAAATTCTGATGAAAGTTGCAGAAAATTATTACTGGATATACATCTCTGACTGATTAGTCTTTAAAATAAACCTGATGCAAGGTGCCTGCCACTGCCAGCTGACCTTGGAAATAAAAAATTGCTACAACTTAAGCAGGTCTGTAAACTCTGCCATGAAAGCCAATGGGTGATATAAAATATATTTACTGCTAAGTCTCAGTGAAATGCACACCAAATGGTATTCCGCATTTGGTAGTAAAACTTCTGTTCCATTACAGCCTGCTCTTACAACTGGCAACGTATCAGAGCAGAGTTCAGTTTTGTTTTCCACCACAGAGCTGCAACTCTTACAGTGCACACTGAAAAAGTGAAAACATGTGGCTCACACTTCAGCCCTACCCATCTTCTTTGTATGCGGACTTCATTCTGACCATTATCTTATTTTCTTGCAGCACATTATTAAGTTTCACAGAGCCTCCAAGGCCAACAAGAAGCCACTTCAGCTGCCTAGAGGAATGGTCAAGTCTTTGCTCTACCAGATTCTGGATGGCATCCATTACCTCCACGCCAACTGGGTCCTCCATAGAGACCTTGTAAGAAGATTGGGGTTTCGGAGGCTGAGAGGGGGAATGTTTTATTTTAGTTTTATTTTAATAAACGGGTGATTTAGATTAGACCGGTGTACAGTGGACCAGAAGCTGTGTCCATCTTCATGTGGTTAATATTTTTATTAATTGCTGACATGCTTGTTTTTCTACAGTACTGGTATTTTTTTTTATTAGTAGCACAATTTATTTAGTAAAAGACAAAAAAAAGTGAACAAAAGAATGCTGAGGAATAATTTGTCCACTAGAGGGCAGCAACAAATAGTTTAGATTCTATTGCTGTTAAAACGGTATGTGAGCTGTAGACGTGTTTTCATCACTTTATATGTCCTTACCTGTCACCATCAGAAACCAGCAAACATTTTAGTGATGGGAGAAGGACCTGAGAGGGGTAGAGTAAAGATTGGTATGTTTCATGTCTTTAATTTTTTCTTTTTTTAATTGTTTTGGTTCCATTTTACTTAATTGACTGGCATGTCTGCTCTGCAGCGGACATGGGGTTTGCTCGACTCTTCAATTCACCGCTGAAGCCTTTAGCTGATCTCGACCCCGTCGTGGTCACTTTCTGGTACCGAGCGCCTGAACTGCTGCTGGGAGCTCGGCACTACACCAAAGCTATCGGTGAGACTTTTAGACCCCTTCCTCTGCTCATGTGCAGGTAATTTATTTCTAACTTGAGTTATACATTTCTCTCAGACATCTGGGCGATTGGCTGCATTTTCGCGGAGCTGCTTACCTCTGAGCCCATATTCCACTGTCGCCAGGAGGACATCAAGACCAGTAACCCGTACCACCATGACCAATTGGACAGAATCTTTAACGTTATGGGCTTTCCAGCTGGTGAGAGACTTAAATTTGTAGAAAACGTTTTAGAAGAAAATAATGACAAATATAATTTTGATCCTACAAACTTTTTTCAGTTATTTTGTGTGTTCTGTGAATAAATGAGGAGAAACTCATCATTTCTGTTCTTGGCTGAGGCATGTTATTTCCTTGGTTTTTACTTGATGTGTTTCAGAGTTTAATAGTGTGGTTTGCAGATTCTGAACATCAAACCACAGGCTCCATGTTACCAAGTCACAAACACAGAAGTGTTTGCTTGCAGGCCTACATTTGGACCAATATTTTCCAGTTCACTTGAGTTGCTTCAGATATTTTTCTTCCTTTCTTCTCTCTGCTGCTCCACTTATTTAAGACACCAGTTAGTTTTAAGAATATGTATTTAAGACTACTATTTAAGATGTAGATTTAAGTTTCTTAAAAATGAAAGCCAAAAAAAAAGACGCGTCAATGAGTTATTTTCTGTACTACTGAAAAAGATTTGAACATTTATGTAATAGAGTGATTTGTTATGTTCACGCAAAGTTCCTTTAAAATATATGTCAGAGTCAGAGTTTCTTTATTGTCATTCGCACCTCATGTGGTACATGTGGTGGAGCGAAATTATGTACACGGAGTCCCAGTTACATCCAACAATAAAATGTATAAGAAAAACAGTAATAACATCTAAGATATGAACTAAGAAAAACATCAACTAAATATACACTAAGCACTCATAACATAAAACATTGAACATCAGCACAAACATGAACATGAGTCTGTGAGCAGATGTGCACGCATGAACACATCAACATTGAAACAGATCAGCAGCAACATGAAACAGATCAGCAGCAACATGAAACAGATCAGCAGCAACATGATGTGATTTTTTTCACAGTGATTATTCTAGTTAGAGATTCATGAGTCTAACAGCCTCAGGGTAGAAGCTGTTCCTCAGTCTAGTGGTTCTACACTTAATGCTCCTTAACCTCCTTCCTGAGGGGAGTGGGGCAAAAAGTGTGTGTGCTGGGTTTGTTGTAGGATGTTTATTGGATACAACCTAAATACTGTTTTCATTTTAAATTATGGCATACTGTAAGGTATTTTTATCTCTCTCATTTAATAGATAAAGACTGGGAGGACATCAAAAAGATGCCAGAGCACTCCACTCTGATGAAAGACTTTAGAAGGAACACGTGAGTCTGCAGACCAGCTCTGTCCCAGTTTGCTTTTAAGATTAAAAACAAAGTTAATAGCAAAGCTAAGTCTATCTGCAGGAAAAATACATATAGTAACGATGTAATACTCTGTATTACTATGCTGCCTCTTATTTAGACCGGTCCAAAGCTTTTGATACTGTAGACCATGACCTCTTATTCCATAAGTTCTCAGATGTTGGTTTCTCATATCACACTATCAGATGGTTTTCTAATTACCAGTATCTCTCTGGTCAAAGGCAACATGTTCAACACAATGGTACTTCTTCTAGCTATTTAACTGTCAATAATGGTGTACCACAAGGCTCAGTCTTAGGACACGCTCTTTACAATTAATATAAGTAATGTAGGTCAGAACATTCCTGACACCTCATTACATCTCTATGCCGACAATACAATTGTTTATTGTCAAACTAAAACAGTTGCTAAGGTTTTCCAGCTTCTACAGTTTGCATTCGACATCATTCTGTCAGATTTGTTCCGTCTCACACTGGCACTAAATGCTGATGAAGCCAAAGGCATGTTGTTTTCAGTGCAGTTACAGCGTGCACTCTCAGGCCATCATTACCTGCAGTGTTCCCTCAGTGCAGACTGAACTCAGCAAAAAGGTCTTTTTTTTTTTTTTACTCTGCTCCTGGAACACCTTGCAAAAACATCTGAAGTTGTCTACTTTGTTCTCTTTAAGGGATTTTAAACAAGTGATAAGGTCAAGAGAAAAAAGAAAGAAGGAAAATCAAAGCAAATATGTTCTTGTTTTTAGTATTTTACCTTGTTTTATATGGCATCTTGATTTTATTCTTTTATAACACTATTTATTTTAATTTTAATTTTATTGTTTATTGTCTGTACCTTATGTTGTTTGTCTAAAACAGGTCTCTCTTGTAAATGAGTCCTTGCGACTCAATGAGACTAACCTGTATAAATAAAGGGTGAATAAAAGAACACCTCTGTATTTCATATCACCTGTACTGTAAGTTGGAATGATATTGAAAGTGGAGTTTAACTATAAATGTCTCCCTTTTTTTACAGATACACAAACTGCAGCCTTATAAAGTACATGGAAAAACATAAAGTTAAACCAGACAGTAAAGCATTCCACTTGGTGAGTTCAAGTGCATCCGTACTCCTGCAGCATAGTTCTGGTCTTGTTTGGGACTAAAATTGTCATTTTTCTTCAGCTGCAAAAGCTACTGACCATGGACCCCATCCGTAGAATCACATCTGAGCAGGCGATGCAGGACCCCTACTTTTTAGAAGAACCTCTACCCACCTCTGAGTGAGCTACAGCAGATTGCACTCACTCCTACATTTATTATTGAACTCTTTGCTAATTAAATCTGAGTGATAAGAGTAAATGTTTAAAAAGGAATCATTAGTTTTTTTTTTTTTTCTCCTTAGCGTGTTTGCAGGTTGTCAGATTCCTTACCCCAAGAGAGAGTTCCTGACAGAGGAGGAGCCAGAGGACAAAGGAGACAAAGTAAACATTTTCTTTTCATACTCCTTTTATTAATTCCAGTATAGAGAAGGAATGTGAAACTAAAGGCCTCCCACATAATCGGGCATACGTCACTCTGCGGAGGTCCGCATGTACTCGAGGCGGACTCGAAGCGCACGTCCGCCGGACTAGTCCACGCAAAGATAAGTTTTTATGACCGTGTACGCGTACTCTGTGTCGCACAATAAACTGCCCGGCACTGTGTTCACATCGAACTGTTTTGTATGCGACACCAACCGCTCTCAGTGGAGGAAAACGGAGTCAAATTTTGAAGAGCGTGTCACAGAGATTAGAAAACGTAGAAATCTATATGATGCATCAATGAGAGAATATAACAGGGCTATTCAACTGCCGGCCCGTGGGCCATTTCCGGCTCGCGTGTGACTTCAGTTTGGCCCACTTAATTAAATATAATACCCCCCCTCCCCCAATTCTATTTTTGGTTCCGTTTATTGCATTTTTGATTCAATGCAATAAAATAAACTGATTTAAAATTTAGCAGATCATTGTAAACTTTGGTTTATTCTTATAATGACTTTAATCGCTGGATGTCCGGCCCCCGAGCTGTTGGCTTTTGGATATTGTGGCCCCCTGCGCGGTTTTGTTGAGTAGCCCTGGAATTTAAGGACTTTCAGAGAGCAAGAAATTTGTGGAAATAGCTCAGACCCTGGGTAAGGATGAGGCACTTTGTTGAGCTAAATGGAAACGCCTCAGGGACAGATTTGTTAAGGCAAGAAAGAAGATGAGAGGAAAAACGGGATGGGGCAAAGGGAGGTGTCCCACTGATTTTTTTTCTATGTTGTCTTGGCTGGACACGTGTAAAATGCTGGGAGACAGAGACAACTGTGCCTGCTGAAGTAAGTATTTGCTATTTTTAAGATGCTTAAGAATTTAAATAGCTAACCAAAAGTTGTCACACTTTATGAAATTGAATAACATTATGATCAAATAAATAAACAATACTTTAAATTAATTAATCATAAATTAATAGATTTTATGATTTATAGTCTGCCATCAATATTTAATCAATCTACATTGTGTACACATTTAGGTCTTCAATAGCAGTTCCAATGGGGCAACTTCACCTGCTGCTCCAGCAAGAACTCCACCCAAGGTGAGCCTTCTCCACCAGCCTGGTCCAGTGAGTCCCCTGCCTCAAGAGAGCCATCTCCACCAGGCACAAGAGCTCCGACCAGAACAAAGCAAGGAAGGAAGAGGCTGGAAGCCATTGACCAGTATAAAACGGAGAGAGTCCTGAAAGAGGATTCTGAGGCACGGCTTGCCTCTACAGCGACTGACATGCTCAGAAAATTACCTTCAGGTGTCAGGTCACGGGTGCAATTCTGAATACATGAGCTCCTTTTCCATACGGAGCAAGAATATGTGCATCAGCAAACCTTCTACACCTTAGAGCCACTGTAAGCTGTACAATGTTCAGTTCCATTTATGGAAAATGTTATAAATTTAAAAAGTTTTAAAAAAGTTGTTTTACATCAAATATTAGTGGGTTCATTATTTCATGAAGTCAAATGTGATTACCATTTATAATTTTTAAATAGCGTTATGATCAATTTCCTCTTAAATGTGTATTATGTTGCACATTGTTATGAATGTATACGTTAATGTAAATAAAAATTTCCCCATGCAAATATGTGTATTTTCTTTGTTTTAAATACACACAAACAAATTGATAGAAATTCAAATGTTCATTTTCGTAAAAAAAAAGAGACAAACTGTAAATTATCAGTTTATTGAAAGTAAATCACACAAACAACCTGCCTTTTCTTATTGTGGCTTGTTGCCAAGGCACAAGACCATGTGGTGATGAGAAGACGTCCTGCAGGTTGTTCCTCACTGCATAGACTGTTCTTTCCACATTCCTGGTGGCGTTTGTTCTTAATGAAGATTGCAGATCATTTTCTGAAACCTGCCTCCATTCTCCTATATGGATGGGAAACAAGAAAAACAAATGTTATGGTGGGTGGGGTGTGTTGTAGAGATGAGCTATAAACTGTACATTGTGTGTGTGTGTGCAATCACCTGGCAAGATGTCTCCTGATGGCGTGTCAGTGTCCACATAGTTTGTGGGGATGTACTATCTACAGTCATCAGTGTAGGCCAGCCAGTTGTGGAGCGCAACACATGCTTTGATGACATGGACTCTTTGGTGGATTATATTCAATCAGGTGGCCCAAGATCCACCATCTGGATGACGAGATGCCAAAGGCGTTCTCAAATGTTCTCCGAGCCCTGCTGTGATGGTAGTTGTACACCAGTTGCATGATAGAATATGAAAATTATTATGAATAGGACTAGTACCGTATTTTCCGCCCTATAAGTCGCATCAGTCCGAAAAGGTCTAATAATTTGGAAAAATCCATAAATAAGTGGCTTTGCCTTATAAGTCGCACCTGTTACGCGTCATCGCTGACAACCCAGAAACGTGGGCCGGTGTTGTGCCAGTAATCGATTGGCTGCCAAATGGCGGCCGCTGGAGCATGCACGGGAGGACTTTAACAAGAATTTAACAATATTAACACTTTATTTGCCAAAATTATGGCAAAGGTGTGTCTCAGTTGAACTTTTTCCTTAATAAATGCACTTTATTGGTCAAATCAGCTGCATTTCAAAAATCCATTTGCGGCTGCAGGAGCATGCAGAGGGAGGACTCTCTGTGCATTTCATCAAAATTTAACAAGATAACTACCTAAAAACAATTATTTGTTTGCTCAACATTATAGTAAAGGTGTGTCTCAGTTGAACTTTTCCTTAATAAATGCACTTTGATGGTCAAATCAGCTGCATTTCACCTGTGAGGTGTGGTGAAATGCAGCTGATTTGCCATTTGCTCCAGAAGCTCCAGAGCGAGACAAAGGTGGCTTGAATGGCAAGCCAAGTGTCTCATTAATAGCCACTTTTACCTATTAATGAGACACGTTGCTTGTCATATTAGTCGAGGGCGCTCTAGTAGCTGAAAATGGTAGTGTTCAATATTTTCCATGTCAGAACGAATGAAAACGTCAGATCTCAGCCAAAAATTGGGTTATAAATATGGGGGAAAACGTATATTAGTCGCTTCAGTGTATACGTCGCAGGACTTGCAAATTTATGCAACAAGGTGTGACTTATATAACGAAAAATACATTCATAGTAATAATAACAATACATTAAATAAAATGGGTAGACAAACAGCAGTCAGAGACTGAAAGACACAAACCGACCTACAAGGAGAGGAAAATCCCAGAGCTGCCAGAAGTCGCACACAATTGCAGTCCACTGGTGGCCAAGGGGGAAAGCTCCAAGCTCCGGCTGAAGACGCCTTCCATATGGCTTGACATACCTGAAGTAGCTTTTTACATATGACTCACTGGAATGAAGATTAGACATTTAACTAAGCATACTTTTAAATGAATTTAATAAGCTAGAAGTCTGGAAAACTATAGTTCAGTAGTAGTAGTTCCTCTACTGCTGCCTTTCCTAGTAGGCATCAGTACAAATCAGACCAAACATTTAAGTTAATTTATCCCAAAACTCGCCTCTGGCGTTATTTGTGACACAATTGATGTGACCAGGCGATATCTTGTAGCGACACTCCGTTCCGAGCAACCAGTCGCAAAGATGCGCAGCACGACTGCTGCTCTCTGCACTGCTGATAGGTGGAGCGATGGCTGCCCTGGTGGTGAACCACCCAACTAGTTCATCGAACTTTCTAGAATCCATTCGAAAATATTCAAAATGTTTCTCACTGTCCATCTTCATGTCCTTCACCAGTGTGTTAAATTCCCCTTCTTCATCCCTGATCTGGTTTAATGGCCTTATATACCACCTTCTTTTGTTTTAAAGCTGTGAGGCAAGCGATCTCTTCCTCCTCGTCCGTTGACGCCATGACTGAAATTGTGAAATCTGTACGCTCGAGTATGAAGTCTCAACCGTCTGCAGACAGTATACGCAGAGTCCGCGCGGCTCACTGAGTACGCACAGTCCGCCCGAGTATTTGGGGGCCTTAACTATGACAGTAAATGTACAAAAGAGCTGATTGTTCATTCCCAACAATTTGCACATCTAGAAACATCTTGTTTTTTTGTTTGGTTATTGTGTTTTTTTTTTAGAAGAACCAGCAGCAACAACAGGGAAACAACCACACAAATGGGGCAGGGCACACCGGTAACCCAGAAAATAGCCACGCCCAGGGCCCACCTCTGAAGAAAGTGCGAGTTGTCCCTCCTACCACTACCTCAGGTGGCCTCATAATGACCTCAGACTACCAGGTGAGCTCGTCTCTTGTTCCAGTGCATGTTTGGACACTCCTTGTGCCAAAAAGAAAAAAAAGCTAAATAATCTGGCTCAAAATGACACATTTGGTGTAAATTGTAGTAAATAGTTTTTAAAATTATTATTTTTCTTGTCTTTGCAGCGCTCTAATCCACTTGCTGCCTACCAGAACCCTGGACCAAGCACATCACTGCCCCAGAGCAGCATGGGATACTCCTCTACCTCCCAACAGCCGCCCCAGTACTCCCACCAGTCCCACCGTTACTAAAACTTCTCTTACAAGCATACACACATTTTAGACAAATGCACACACGGCCCCTTACCATGCCCATCTGAACGAATGTACCGAAGGATGTGGGGATGTCCCAGTGCAGCAAACCTTCCCAGCAACCAACAACTACCATCCCTCTGAGTTCAGAAAAGCAAGACTTCACCTGTTTCAGACTTCATACCACAATCCCAGTATTAGAAATACAGTTTAGAGCAGAGGATGTTCGGTAAAACACAAAGCAGGAGGGTAAAAAGAAAAGTGAACCTGCTTCTGTTAGACTAAATAAACACAGAAACAGTGGCTTGGTTTGGAGGACGCGCATTAACCTGTTGTCATTTCCTTTCCTCTGCTTCAGTTCCCCTCATCCTGTCAAAGCTTGGATGAGCTGCTATGTGACTGCCAGCGTTGACAGGATCTCAGTCTGTCAGTCCTTCTGTTTATTTTACGATGGGCCACAGCTGAGGACTAAACTGAGCTGCTAAGACGCATAAAAGGAGATTGCTGATCTCCCACAGCTGCGGAATGGAGGATTTTTCTTCAGAAAGGACAAAAAAATAATAATTTTAGTAGTTTATAATTTAATTTGTTGTCATGGTTTTGTTTTCATGACGAGAGTAGCATAGCAGCTTGTGTGAGTTGAGCACTTGGCTGATGTATGCTGAGGGTAAGCCTTACAACATGCTGACAAAACCAACCAATCGCATGGAGGATGGCAGATGGAACATGCATTGTACTGTACTGCATTGAAATATTTTACATGAAACGAGTATCCTGACAATAAAAGTGGAAAAGTTCATCATGTTTGTACTTTGGAGAAGTGTGTGTGTTTGGAATTGAACTAGTTTTATGTTTGTTACTCTATTCTGTAGTCTTGCAAGTCAGCTAGAGGAGGGGACACAATCTTTATAATGGTTAAATATATATACACAGTATAGTTCTCTCTTTAAATGCAAAACTTTTACACATAATTAAAGTGAAAAGGTTTTTTTTTCAAACAAATTAGATAAATGTAATGGGGCAGAATGTCAAAACAAACAGTTTGAGCAGTGCTATGTATTTAAACTAATTTATTCAGTTATGTAAAGTATATAAATCTGAAAATGAATTTTTACAGCATATTTGATTTTAAAAGTACTCGATGCAAAGATTTTAGCATCGCTCAGAAAATTATACATTATTTTTTCTCATGTCAATGGTTAATTTTCCTCTTAAAATTTATGAATGGCTGCTAATCACCATATGTACTTGTTTTATTTACACAAACAACCAAAGTGACTGAAAATAGGTCAACAGTGGTGACATCCATGGATGAGCTGTTTTGGGTCAAAAAGGGACAAATTTAGTGTATTGCTACTTATCAGATTTGCCAAGTAAAGTATGCAGCTGGATTTCAAACGAGTTTTAAACACTAACTAAAATTGATAAGAGTTGGAAAAATATGTTGAAACTAAACTTTGTTTACATTCAGTGCATACCTGCATTTCAAAATTGCCTATAAATATATTTGGAAAAATACAGGGGTCAACTGCATCATCTTCTATTCAGGATAAACTTTTTATATTTTGTTATTTTTTAATAAAGAGTACCTTTAAGTCAGAGCAACCTGTGATTCTCATCTGCCATTTATTTACCTTTACTTTGGTCTTTAATAAGTTCTCATGAACTTGCTGTTTTTATTTTTTATTTTTTTGTTGTTGTTTTTGAGAGCTCCCTACTATAGTACAAGAGTTATATAATGTTTATCTGCAAAGAAAGTACCAGAAGGTTTGATGGTACCCCATTAAACTAACGTACATCCTTTCCAGGTTTTAAAAACCCTTATTTTACAAAAATTCTGCCAGACGCAAACTCAGAATTTAAGGTTAATGCTAAAAATCCTGGCTTCAACTATACAAATATACTACACAACGTCTGATCATAATCGTCAGATTTGACTTCAGATTTGTTTTAATTTGTGCCAATATGTTAAAAACTGATTGCTTAACTAAATCCAAACCACCAGTAAAGAAGCTATTTACAGCTGGCATCCATAAAGTGCGCTAAGATTCATAAATAGCTGTAATTGCACCCTGTATTCACTGGTCAACTGGTCATCATTAACTTCACGTAGACTCTCCCATTGGTATATTTTCATCTTTAAATCACTTCTTAGTCTGCTGTCTTCATACATCTCCTACATGTCTCTGCGTGAGTGCAGCTACAGCGTGCACTCTCAGGACATTATTACCTGCAGTGTTCCCTCTGTGAGGACTGAACTAGGCAAAAGGGCCTTTACTCCACTCCTGTTTCCTGGAATATTTTGCAAAAAGATCTGAAGCTCTCAACCTTGACCTCTCTAAGTGGTTTCAAACATTGCTAAGGTCCTGGCAAAAACCAATGCTGACATGCTCCTGGTTTTAGTTTTCTTTGAGGTCCCATTAGTGCCAAAAATATGGTTATGTCTATGTAATGACCTGATAGTGGCTGAGTGGTTAGAGCAGTCATTCTCCAATGTAAGTTGGGGGTTTGATTCCACCAGCAGTCACATGCCGAAGTGTCCCTGAGCAAGACTCTAAACCCCTCATTGCCTCCGATGTGTGTCCCATCGGTGTATGAATGTGATAAAACATTGACTAATCTCTTTAAAATGATTTGTTCAGTTAGCTTTGTAGAGATCCAGAGTGCTGTATGAATGGGTAAATGAGGACACAGATTGTAGTGTAAAGGGCTTTGAGTGTCTTGATTAGATAGAAAGGTACTACAGTCCACTTACCATGCCTCCTTGACCCACACTGAACACAATATCTACATGGATGCAAGCCTAGACAGTAACAACGCATGGAGATACATAGATGTGTCCTACATGATCAGAAAACTGGACAAGGCTATTCTAAATGTACTTCCAGGTTTTCATGTACTGACTGGCTGTACAGCTACAATCATGAACAAGGGGAAGTTAAGGCCTTTCAATGTAATGGTATCAAACAAGAATTTTCTAGATGTCCTATAGCTGCACTGGGAACTGGCGAAGAAGTTGAATCACCCACACTTGCTAAATTTGAAGAATTTGTGAGTACACTCTATGGCCATAAGCAGCTGAAGTCTGTTAACATTGCACAGTTTGAATCATTTCACCTGCATTATGCCCCAAAGAAGAAAGATGCACCTCTGGATCCCATGTAAGGCATGCATTCATTCTCAATACGACCGTATGGAGCTGTATTAGAGAACAAGATCAAGAGAGAAAATAATGTGGCTAGAGTGTGGAAATGCTGACACAAAAAACTCTGCTAGTAAAACGAATCTCGAGCAATGTGGATGAGAAAAGGATGAGAATGGTTACCTATGCTGTATTTGTAATGAAAGATGTAATAAGAAACTGTTCATTAATATAACTTTAGTAAATATAGGATCATATCTGTAATCATGTACAGTTTTGTAGAATAAGCTTACCAGTATACAATGTAATATCCACATGTCTAACTTCATGTACTGGACAGTAAATTTAATTGACTCATCGGTTTCTTCGTCATCTGACTCATCACTACACACAGTCTCACCATAACGTACACCTGCATCCTCATCTTGCTGTTGTAGGCCAGAGGACTCTTTCTGTGGTATGTCAAGTATTTCCTTGGGGAGCTGTTCACAGTCTAGCTGGGAAAGAAACTCTAAAAGTAGAAGAAATACAATGTTCTTAAGTTCCTAAAATGGTTCATAAGAGCAATTTTATAATTTGTATGTACATAGATTTAATTAACATCTGTACCTTATTGGCTTAAAATGTACCTTAGAATACTTAAGTATGACTTAAATATGAAGCAACATGAAATAGGGCAATAATATGTAAAATGTGTCATAAATTATTTGTTTAGTGGGGTAGTCTTTTGCTGCCTGAGAATAGATGACATTGTACATTTAATCTTATATATTTTGATTATTAGTGTCTGAAAATACCTTTGGGGCAGTTTGGGAAATACTGAACGAACAGTGGTTGAAAGTGCATGAGAAATTGTTCAACATGAGCCTGATTTTTACACTTTTTGGCAATTTTTATGGATGTCAGCTGTAAATGGGTCTCACCCACCTCGAGTAGAAGGACTCCTACATCCATATGCTCTTTGTGAATGTCACGTCTGCCTTCAGTACCATGATCCCCCAAACCCTGATGGACAAACTACTCACACTACTAAGCCCCTCCATTTGCAACTGGGTCCTAGACTTCTTAACAAACAGACCTGTCAGTGAGGATCCATAATTTCTCTTCCTCCACCATAACCCTCAGCACTGGCTCCCCTCAGGGCTGTGTGCTGAGCCCTCTCCTGCTCACTCTGCTCACGTATGACTGTGCACCTACCCATCCAGGCTGTCAGATTGTAAAGTTTGCAGATGATACAATGGTGGTGTGCTGTATCACAAAACGATGAGTCCAGCTACAGGCGGGAGGTGGAAAACCTGGAGAGCTGGTGCAAGGAGAATAAGCTTCACATCAATGTGAAGAAGATAAAGGAGATGGTCATGGACTTCAGAAGGAACAAACATACCCCCCCCCCCCCCCCAGAACATAGGAGGATCTGCAGTGGAAGTGGTCTCCAGCTATAAGTACTTAGATGTGCACCTGAATGACAACCTCAGCTGGGGCAACAACACTACCAGCCTGATTAAGAAAGCTCATCAGAGACTCTACTTCCTCAGGCGGATGAGACGAGCTGGTCTGGGAAGCTCAGTCCTCACCTCCTTCTACAGGTGTGCAGTGGAGAGCATCCTGTGCTTCAGCATCAACGTGTGGCATGGAGGCTGCACAGCTGCAGAAAGAAAAGCTTTGCAGAGAGTGATGAAGGCTGCACAGAAGACTGTTGGAGTCAACCTCCCCACCATCACAGACATTTACATCTCCAGATGCAGGAAGAGGGCCACTTGCATCATGAAGGACCCCACTCACCCAGCACACACACTTTTTGCCCCGCTCCCCTCAGGAAGGAGGTTATGGAGCATTAAGTGTAGACCTAGACTGAGAAACAGCTTCTACCCTGAGGCTGTTATGAATATCTAACCAGGATAATCACTGTGAAAAATCACATCATGTTGCTGCTGATCTGTTTCATGTTGCTGTGTTCACACAGACTCCTGCCGCTGTTCAGCGTATTGTTTTTTTTATGCTGATAGTGCTTAGTGTATTTTTAGTTAAATTTTATTTTTAGTACATAACTTAGATCTTTTAACTGTTTTTCTTTTGCATTTTAATACTTTTGTTGGATAACTGGGACCCTGTGTACACAATTTCGTTCCACATGTGGTGTACAACAATTAAAAAAAAACTTGAATCCTTGAATAAAGAACCTTGAATCCTTGAATTCATCAGTTCAAAATTGGTTGTCTGGGTTTAGTTAAGCAATCAGTTTTTAACATTTTGAAACATTACAAAACAAATCTGAAGTGGACTGTGGTCAATCTGGCGATTGTGGTCAGATGTTATATTAATCATAGCCATCAATTGAAGGGTTTTTTAATACCTGGAAGGGGTGTAGTTTAATAGCAAGCCTTCTGGTACTTATTATGCAGATACACATGGTATCCTATCGCTTGGACTACAAACCTAACAGCATAATCTTGACAAGAAATGGGACCTGGCTAAATGATGGAAAGTCTTTCAGCAACGCCCAATCCGCCCCTTCCATTCTCAAAAGCGTTTTCTCCAGCTGGGGAGGTTCCCTCGCTGTTTTTCTTTTATAGCTCTACCATTGGTTGTTGAGGACGTCTGTCAAGCGCTAAATTCTCTATGCGCTGATATGATTGGTTCATAGGCGTGGTAGGCGTGTCTTCGTCCCCCCAAAGGTTTTTCACCGGAGTGGTCAGACTGGGTTGTGAAGGGGATACAGGATGGCAGAGCTAATATGAGTATCTAACGGTGCATTCGGACGAACTGATTTCTTCTAATAATTCAAGTACTGGTGAGGGCCCTTTGATACTTTTTACAACGAGAAGTAACACCTTATACAATAACTGTGACATTTGTGTGAATATTTCTGTTGACTCTTTTCTGATTTATTCAAATAAAGTAGTCGAATATATCGGACATTTAAGCTAGCTAACCGGTCAGTCAAGAGCGGACCCCCGGTCAGCGAGTGGAGGGTAAGACACGATGCCGAGGCGCTGAACATCACTATATAGGTCGCTTTGAAACATTTTAGACGGGGAATTATTACAGTCTGTGCATCGGTGGTTTTTAGGCAACTAAACCGATAATGGTTTGTTTAATTTTATATTGAAAATGGCGCAGAAAGTGGGGGAGCGAGGTGGACGAACAGATGTGGGTCAGTCCATCCGTAATGGGAGGCGATGGTGCGGAACACTGATCGATCGCGGTTACCATAAATTTATTCCTCCGTGTGGGGCTAAGCTGCTGTTTTTAAGGCATAATACTTTACAATAACAGTAAAATAAATTTTTTTTTACACCACTATCAATATAAGGTGTTAAATATTAACAATATAGTCATTATTTTTTAGAAAAAGTTAATGATATTATCGCATATTGTCAACTTACCATCATTGGACTGTCAAGCTAGTTGTGGAGTTAACTAAAGTATTACAAGTAAACACTCAGGAGTATGTGTGTGAACGACTCTCAGCTACTACTACATCAAATTTTAGTTCAATATTTGTATAATTGACTGAGTTATAGCCATTTCTGCGTTGGCTAATATCAGTAAGCTTCAGTGGCTATTTTAAATAGGATTTTCTCCAAAAGGTTAAACAGTTGTAGATGTACATTAAATTATCACTTCTAAGAAGTTCCCTGTGATTCATGACATATTTTGCTAACAGACAAACAGGGCTGCTTCCAAAAGTTACTGCTGAAATTTAAAGCAAAGTGTTGGTTTTGATGAGTAGAATGTGAAATAGCTGCAACGACAATAAATTTTAGTACAACGTCTGTGAAATTGACAGAATTACAACTGTTTTTATGTTTTCTAAGAGTAACAGACTGTGGCAGATATTTTGTGTTATGCTGGCTCCAAAAGGTAAAGAGTTATAGATGTATACCTAATGATTATTTCCAGAAAGTTTAATTAAAATCCCTCCAGTGGTTCATGAGCAGTTTTTTTCTAACAGATGGATAAAGTTGGCTGCAAACAATTCATGGCCAAATTTGAATCAAATATCTTGCACAATCTACTGAGACCAGTCACAGCCACTACCACAACAAATACATTATCTGTCAAATTGGATGAGAGATTTTTGTGCTTATTTATTCCATTTGGCTTAAAATATCTCTACTTGCTCATAAAATGGTTTGTTACCAAACACAACATGGATACATATAAGGACATAGATAGAAACCCCCTTATTTTTTACAGAATTTGTTGCAAAAAAGGTAAAATCAGTGAACGAGTTGCAGTTTTTCAACTCGTTTTATGTTTTATAAGTGAATAGTGTCCAAAATTTGAATAGTTTAACCATCTAGCCTGAAATAAATTAGCTCCTTAGCTGAATCGTTTATCCTTTGGGGATTATGTATAACACTTTTGGATCGTGTTTGGATTAAAAAGTCAGATATTTGAGCAAGAATAATCTTAAGGGTTTACTCAAAATATGCATTATTAAGTCTTAGTGGAAACGTAATATTTCCAGTGAAGCAGAAGTATTTAAAAAGTACACAAAGTCACAATAAATGATTAATTTGTGTTTATTTGTTGTTAAACTCCATGCTAAACTGAAAAGTCAGTAAAGTTTTACCCAGATGACATCACATATGTCTGAATACTGTTAAACTAAAGAGATGGTCATGAACTGTAAGAAGTCACTGCAGGTTTTTTTATACTTAAACATCATATTTAGGGCAGTGTGACCTGACGTAATCCAGGCTGCATTATTCAAAACATCAGACCAAGCAAAACAGCATCTGACACAAGAAGCTGTACTCTGCACATGAATTGGTAATGACTCCCCTCTTTCAGAACCTAATGGAGTTCTTCTATCTGTTGTAGTGAGGCCTCCTCCATCGCTGCTGCGTGTTGGTTTGGAGATGTGGGAGTTCTGCAGGGGATGTGTGTTTTAGTCCAGATGTCACGTCTCTGAAGATCAAATGTGTTTTTGCTGCTGATGTGCCAGTTTTCACACTGCTAATGGGACATTTGAGGGGCTACCTGGTGTGTTGTTGGACATTTTGTTTGGCTGAGTTGTGCTGTAATAATTAAAGGAAACACATGACCCTAAGGAGGAGTAAACATTAGAGTGAGAATGTGTTTCTGATTTGTCTCATCCTCCCTGAGAGTGAGGATGAAGGAGGAGTGCTTTCACTGCTTTATTAGGAAAGGGGGCCCTAAAGGAGGCGGGTGGTGGTGGGGGATTCGTGGGAGAGCTGGTGCTGTTGCCGTGTGAACGGAGCTCCATTGTCCCGGGAACCTTTCAGTGGCTTCCCTGAGGTCTCTGTTCGTACCCCTTCCCCCTCACTCGATCTACTTTTGCTCCCATCAAACACACATATACTCTGTATTTTCCACACACACACACCATCTTATTCACTGTATCTCATCTAGTCTCACTCTATCCCACTTGGTGTCTCCTCTGCCTTTCACGAGGCCCCGTCCCTCCTCCCTGCGTGTCGCCCCCCCCCCCCCTCCAGTCGCTCATTACTTCGCCCTCATCAGTGTGATTGTCATTCAAGACAGACAGTGCGGAGCGAAAACATGCAATCTTCTAATTTGCATCACCTCATTTTCTACACAAGAGAAAGCTCGGCGTTTCCAAAGCATTCACGCAGAAAGCTTTGTTTCTGGGGACAATTCAGTCCTTACGGGATGTTTTTGTTGTCCTTAGTGGCAACACATGATGGTGTAATTTCACACTTTGCTTTTGTCTTTTCTTGTTGGAAGGATGCTGCTGGATTTTGGAGGGGGGTCTCTAGCTAAGAAAAGAGAGTGAGAGGAGGACTCAGCTGGTGGAAATGACTGTGGGTGAAAAGAAGCATCTTTTCAGCTGTAATGCTGTGGTTTCCTGCTGGGACTGTTTGCAAAGTGTAGTTTTGCCTGAGAGAAATGATTAAAGATGGTTGCTTTAGTATAACGAGTTTATATTTGTTCTGTTTTTTTATGCTTGGTTTTGTGCTTCATACGCTTGCTATAATTAACCCTCTGTCAGGTTGCCAGATCTCCTGCCTTTTTCCAACCTGCTTCTTCTTTTGATGATTTCTGCCGTTTTTCTGTTCCACTTTTCTGCACAACAGCAACTCAAAAGCCCTGGAATCATATTTGAGAAACAGTGTGAGAACATTTCGATTGGGAAAAAGTTCTTGTCTGTCCTTTTGGTTTCTTCTTGAGCCGTAGCTGTATTGTTCTGGCCAAGTGTTTTTGGACAGGAAGGAGAGAAAGGACATTGAGGAAACAGGAGCCAGTTCCAGTTCCAAAACAGGATGCAGGAAGCGTCACTGATAAGAGGGCTGCTATGATGCTCCCTGACTTCTCTCCTGCTTTTTGCAATTGTCAGCAGTCCTTTGAACTAGAGTTTCTAATCAGAAGGAACTGAGGTTTAATTTAGACACTCCAGTTCAGAGCCTCAATGGGTGTGGGCAAAAGTACTCATCAGTACTGCTTATATTGTCTGAAAAAAAAGTCAGTCATGCCAGTTTTCCAGCTGGGCCTGTGACAATCTGGCCTGGGATTAGCTGGCACGCTGGATCTTCCTCTCCCTAATGCTTTAATCTCTCTGCTGGTCACCAGGAGTCTTCTGGCTTTGGCACCTCGTTGGTCATCAGCCTGATGAACGTCCAACCACGCATCAGTTGGTTGCCATGTAAAAGAAAGTGCACAAAAAGATGAAAAATGGGACTTTACTTTAAAATGCAACTCCCCTTTACTATGTCTTGCCAACACTTTCTTCACCTTTTTATGTTTTTTGTTCATAACTATGAGACATTTACAGATTTTGAGTAAATGTGAGATGACGCAGCTTCCAGAAACTTATTTAAAACATATTTCAGTGATTTTCGAATCGGGATAAGTGTGGAAAAATTATTCTTTAGTTCCTGTTTGACTGTTTCAAATATAAAAATCAAAACCCACCAAAAAAAACTTATCAAACAAGCAGAGCTTTTCACTTTACTGTTATTTAAAATATGAACTGAAGTTGTGAACAAATAATATATATTATGTTATGGAATTGTATAATATATGTGATATAATATATATGAATATTATATGTTATGGAATTGTTTTGTACTTTTTTAAAATGAATAAACTTCATACCATACCATACCATACCATATATAAAAAATAATATACCTAATTGCTAGAATTTATTAAGAAAAAACATCCATTGGTGTTAATCAGTAATGGTAAAGAAAATTAAACTAAACCACGCGGTTTTGTCTTTTGGGAATTAAGAGGTTGCCTTGCTCCACCTTTATAAATGACAGCATTAATCATGAAAGTAATTAGGAGTTTAATTGATGTCTTGCTCATTAACACTTTAGCAATTTAAGTCCTGAGCAGCTACAAGGGTGTTTGATTGGGTGTGTGTGCTCGTTCCTTGCTTTCCCCTCCAGTTTGTGTCGGGAGCGTGAGGCCTCGCCATGCCGCTGGTGAAGAGGAACATCGAGCCGCGTCACCTCTGCAGAGGAGCGCTGCCCGAGGGCATCGGCAGCGAGCTGGAGTGTGTGATGAACAACACGCTGTCTGCCATCATTCGCCAGCTCAGCAGCCTGAGTAAGATATGAACATACATTCCAGAAAACGAGTAAAAATCCCCAAATTTGGAAAAAATAAGTCAAATAAAACAACACAAAGTTTATTTTTGTGTCACACTAAAAACAGACTGAACTCACAGCATCCTCGGGGTAAGTTCCATATGATGATGGTTAAACTGCGTATAGCCTCTTTGTAGCAGATCACATGTTTTCCTCATTAATCCCAAAGCTGTGATTGATTTGGTCGTTGTCATGGTTACAGTCTCAGGGTCATAGGGCTTATTGCGGGCTTATAGCCGCCTCACACTGGAACACGGAGCATTGAAATGTAATCCTTTCAGACAGCGCAGCAAAAATGAACTTATCAGCCCGGCTGTGTGCACGTGACAGTGCAGCTCCACTGTGCATGTTAGAGTGTGTGAGAGCTGTTTGCATGTAGATCTGTCAATATTTTCGCTCACTGGAAACATACTTCACCGAGTTATTACTGGCAGAAGCAAACATCTCTCAGCCCATCATCAGCGCCTTAATGTGTTTTCACTTGGCAGCTACCTCACACTAATTCATCCTGAGCTGCACCCATTTTCCTGCTCTCACACTAACTGGGTTCAAGGTTTGTTGTGAACTTCAGTAGCATAAATTCAAACCAGTCCTTGTTGCTTTTTGGCTCAGCCCAATCGATTCTGTCTGGATCTTATTGTGTCAAGTTCCTGCCGTGGGAGTTGGCCTCTCAACAACAGCTGTGCGGGTTAAATATAAGTTCTTGCACAGGCCCGACGGAGGAAATCTACATGCTATGTATGCTGTGCATGTTTTTGTGGACATGTGTGCGAGTGGACCACTAGAGAGATGACGAGCCCTTCAACTCTGGCAGCCGGATCTGTGATTCTTCCTTCCTTTAAATGTTTTTTCTGCAGCCCATCCTGTCAGCAGGGAGAACAGAAATAACCCTGTGTTTGCCATTCTGCATATGACAAAGGACACTTTGTTCTATACTACTACACTTGTTAGAATCATACTGAAACTACTCTGTTTGGTTTCTGTTGTTTTATCTTGTCGCTGTCCCACAGCCCAGATTCACACTGCTGTGTCCACTAACTACTGGCTAAAATAATTATTTAACTCTTGCAAGCAACTTCTCTCTCAGCCTCTAAGTTTTCCAGTGCAGGGACATGATTCATTTGTCCTACAGGAGATGTTTCCAAAAACACCAGAACAGAAAACAGAGGCCAACAGGAGCATCACTTTGCACTAGAGATATAATCTGCTTTTTGGAAAAGTAAAAAGGACTAATCATTTTGGCTTTTATTTCTTTTAGCATGCAACATTTTTACCTTAAATTTGTCAGTATATTCTAAGACTGAATGCCCCACAGATTTGCATGAATTAGGATTTAGTTTACTTAACTTATCGCCGAGTTTTAATGTGTAAAAATAAAAAGATGTAAAGATAAAGTCAAATTCCTTAGCAATGATTGAATAGGGTGCAGTTCATAGTTATTCAAATCTGAGTTTCAAAAGCCAATTGATTGCATAACATAAAAATACTGACTTGTTTGTTACATGATTATTTTTTTGTTGATTGATCTAACTCTTAAAATGGTTAACTTGTTGAATGAAAGTAAAAATACACGCAAAAACTAATTTAATTTAGATTCATGGTGATGCATCGATAACTAAAAAGATAAATATTTACTAAAGAAAGTCCAGTTTGACCCACCCAGTTCGTATGAATCAGACACAGCCGAGTTAACGTCGCGACCCTTTAATAAGTTGCTTTAAAGTTTTTTGTTTTTTTTGGAGAAGCTGGTCAGAAACCTGTTTCTTCTTGCCTGAATTAAAGTGGTTAATGATTTTTTTTAGGCTTTGCACTACAAACCCTAAACTCATGAGTCTCCATTATTATCGAAGGCACCTTTAAAAATTTTAAAATATGTTATAACTTGATATAAATACCGCTGCTTTTGGTCAAAAGTACACAAAGTTCAATTTGGGTGATTTATATTTAGCAATTGTTCCATTATTCAAGAGGAAAGTTGTAATATGGTGCCGTATTAATTACCATTTCCAGCAAAGATCCTCAGATTCTAGTTTCGCCTTGTGTCACATTATCGCTGTATTGATCAGACTTCAGTCTCTGCAGGGATCTGCTTGGCTATAAACACTTTGCAGGAAGATTAAACTCCATTTATTTTTCTGTTTCTATTTTTGTTGTTCTTTTCGTAACTCCTTCCAAGGTAAACATGCAGAGGACATATTCGGCGAGCTGTTCAACGAGGCCAACAGCTTCTACCTTCGTGCCAACTCTCTGCAGGACCGCATCGACCGGCTCGCTGTCAAAGTCACACAGCTGGACTCCACTGTGGAGGAAGGTGGGTCCAAAGCCAGAAGCAAACCTTGAAACGTTACTGAAAAATTGCATCTTCTACCCACTTTTATATTTATTTTCATTCCCTTTCCTTTTAGCAAGACAGACTTTCATTATTTGCCATGTTTCTTTGTGTTCTCAGTGTCTCTGCAAGATATCAACATGAGGAAGGCCTTTAAGAGCTCCACCACTCAGGACCAGCAGGTGGTGTCCAAGAGCAGCGTGCCGAATCCAGTCAGAGAGATGTACAACGTGAGCGACAAGCCTCCCCCTCTCACCATCCTCACACCTTACAGGTTGGTGCTGTTGAAGAATGGACACTTTTACCAAACACGCAGATGTCCTGCACCCTTATTTAAAAGAACTATTTTAAATAAATAGACTTTTCTGAATTTACTGATGGTGTAAAGACAAACTGATATCCAATTGTTTCCAGAAAAAAAAATCTATGAAAATTGTTCATTTTTGTACACAATATTTGAAAAAATAAATGTTTTCTACATAAAACCATGAGAGTATAAAACACCATCAGCTTTTATATAAATTTATAGACAACTATAAAGAGCTAAAACATTTAATTTACTTTAAAAAGAGTCCTATACCGGTATATAAATAATTGTTTACAAATCTATCTTCAAAGATACATTGTTGTAAATTGTTTTAAATGACAGAAGTGTAAAATGCAGTTTCTTTAAAGTTAATTAAAAAATACAGACCTCATATAAACCATTTTTTAACATCACATAATCAGTTTTCCATCACATACTGCTTAAATGTTTCAGAAAATGTGTTGTAATGACATTTACCTTCATATTTCCAGTTGCTGATTTGAAAATTATTGCTTTTTTTAAAAGCTGTTATTGTAATTGTTTGACAGATTGTTACGTCTGTGTGGAAGCCCATTTCCGCCATGAAAGAAAAAGTAAAAGCCCAACAGGAAGTCATAATTTTGACTTTTAAAGTCATAATTTGGATTTTTATTCTCATAATTATGACATTAAAACTCGAAATTATGACTTTTATTCCAATAATTATGACTTTAAATGTCGAAATTATGACTTCCTGTTGGGCTTTTATTTTTTCTTTCATGACGGAAATGGGCTTTCATACGTCTGCTTCACTGACACTACAGCATTTAATTTAATAATAATAATTAAAAAAAGACAAATGCAGAGACATTAGGATGAAACGAAGTTCAGTTTCAGCCAGAGTACCACATTTCTTAATTTGCCTAAACAGAAATGTTTGTTTGAGAAGATTTTTGTAAATATAACCTTCTTGGTGTTTTTTCTGAAGGGATGATCATAAGGAAGCTCTTAAATTCTACACAGACCCCTCCTACTTTTTTGACTTGTGGAAAGAAAAGATGCTTCAGGACACTGAGGACAAGAGGAAAGAGAAGAGGAAGCAGAAGGTACAACTCTGACTCAGAGTATCTCACAGAACTTGCTGTGGTTTAATTTTCCTGATCACTTTAGTGTGGCTGATAATACAATTTTAATTGCCTGCCAGACACAATTTCCTCCCTGAGTTTCAAACACAAAACAAAATGTAATCTCAGTGGAATTCCTCCGTAGAAGAATGTAAATAAAGTGCTACCACAGCCGTAATTTATTTGTTGTTGGAACGGAGAAGGATCTAATTGCTCGTTTCTTTCCATTTACCGCAGGAGCAGAGGCGATGTGTGGATGGAACGTTGCAAAGGGAAGTTAAGAAGGTCCGCAAGGCGAGGAATCGTCGACAGGAGTGGAACATGATGGCTTTGGATAAAGAGCTGAGGCCAGACCATCGACATACCATACACCGAGACAGAGCAGCTTCCTCTGAGGGGTCCATGTCTCCGGAGAACAGGTAGTTACAAACAACGTTATTCATTGTCAACACAATAAACAGCTTTTTTTTTTTTTTTACATATAAAAAATATTCTTACCAGGGGTCACGGTGCAGAGCAGCATTATTACCCCAACAGTATGAACCATGCTGGCCACGCCCACACCTATTCTGGCCCGCCGCCCAGCGCGCTGGCTGCTCACATGGCGGCTGGACACGCCCCTCGTGGAGGAGCTGAACACGACAGCAGAGGCAGGACTATGCTGGCCTATCAGGGGGGCACGCTGGGTCGCTCTCACCACCACCAGGTCCCTCTGCCTCCTCCACCTGCTGATGCAATAAACGGGGGCTCTATGTCTCTCCCACCTGTAGAATACAGGTAAATACAGGTGTCACTTGCTGACTCATTTGTATCGATATTTTTTCCTAACAATAAGAAGAAAACATGAGAACTGTGCCTGTGTCTGCAGTAATGAGTTGACAAAGGCCGAGCTTCATTATTTCACACCTCTTTTTGATAGTTTATTTATTTCTTTAAATATGACATAATTTGTATATGTTATAATGTAAATCAAAGATAATATCATAAACCACAAAGGTGCTTGAATAAACTAATTAACTGGATTAATACTGCCACCTAGTGTAGCTAACTGCACATCTCTCTGATTTCTGTCCTGTCTTTCAGTATGGATGGCTATGCCAACACTGCTCCTCCTCCTCCCCCCGCACCTCTCATCCCTTCTGTTCAGACGGCCTTTGCCTTACCACCTGGAGGTCCAGTGCCTCCTGGTACAATGGCTGCTGGCGCCGGCGGATACGCTCCACCTCCACCACATGTATCTGGAGGCCCAGCAGTTCCTCCTCCTCCTGGTCCTCCACCTCTACCTGCTCCAGCTGGTGCCTCCCACTCCACAACTCACAAGATATTGTCCACTGCACCGGTTGAGAACACGGCGATCAGTGACGCTCGCAGTGATCTGCTGGCTGCTATACGTATGGGTAAAAGCTGTAGAATGTCAATATATATTTTTAGTTTTTCCTTTTCCTTCTGTTTATTATGAAACTCTTTAAATGTCGTTAAATTCTAATAAAATTATATGTATAGTAAGTTAGAAGCAACAAATGATTTGGATCAGCACACATTATTTCACCTGTTCTCTAGTTTATTAAAGACTTTATTTACAGTTGTAAAGTTATAAGTTTATATCTTAAAGCAGGAGTGTCCAAAGTGTGGCCCGGGGACCATTTGTGGCCCTTGGCATGATTTTGTGTGGCCCACAACTACAGTTTAAGGATGGAATAATTCTGACCCGTAGGTTTAAGAGAGTGATGTAGAACTTTTGCAAATTTAATGATAATTTTTTTATATAACTTTTTAGGTTCAACAGCAAAATGGATTAAAAAAAAATAAAATCTCAAAAATGAGCAATACTAAGTTTAATACAATCTTTTGGCAATAAATCAATAAAATCAAATACATTTAATTTAAGAAATAACTTTATTTTTTTTTATTTAATTAAACATGAAGCTTTTAATGTTTTGGATCTACAGTCAATTTAGAACACCTTTTCCACCAAAATAAGTAAATTTTGTCCGTTCCTCGAAATATTGTTTACAATGAGTTTAAAAAATCCACAAAAAATATGTACGCTTGTTATTATTCATTTATTTCACCTTTTTCTTTATTTTTAAATGTGGCTCGCGACTCCTTTCATCTTCAAGGTTTTGGCCCACATATGAAAATGTTTGGACACCCCTGTCTTAAAATAATACTCTATTTAATCCAATTCAGCACATAAGGCTTTATTTAATTATTTTTAAAAAAAGGGTCTTAATCGTTCTGTTTGGTAAAAACATTGTTTTTTCTCAGAGGTAAGGTACAAAAAGATGCAATAGACAAATATCACTGTTTTCTTCAATTCAAGATATTTTTTACAGTCGCCACGCTTTAAATTATTATAAAAAGACTTTCCCCATACATTTATTGAATTTTTCTTTTAAGTTTCTATGAATGCTAAAGAAGCACCAAAGTATTTTGTTTCAAAAATAAATTTTTCCATTTCCAGGCATCCAGCTGAAGAAGGTGCAGGAGCAACAAGAGCAGCAGGCCAAGAGAGAGCCGGTGGGAAACGACGTGGCCACCATCCTGTCCAGACGCATCGCCGTGGAATACTCGGACTCCGAGGACGACTCGGAGTTGGAGGAGAACGACTGGTCGGATTAACGCACGCACACCCACAGGCAAAACATAGGACAACTTCTGACACTGTTAGATTTGCAATCAGTTCATCTCACCTGGAAGAATGCTCACAGGTAATCACTGATTTTGTTGCTGAAGAACTCACGCGCTACACCTGCACACAATCACATGCAAAAAAAAAAAAACCTGAATGCTTCAAAACTGGGAATATATATATATATATATATGCAAACAATGCTGTACAAACTTGTAATAGACATTAATGCTGACCACTATAAACCACAAGTTGTGAATACACCCCTGTGAATGTGTCTCTACCTGTTATAACACTATAGACATAATGTGAAGGTGCTTCCTGAAGCTTGAGATTATTAGAATTATTACAAGCTTTCCTCTTGAGCTTATCTTTTTTATGTTTATACTAAAATACTTCTGTATGCTATAGATCATGAGTTTTTAATTTGTAGATGAATATAACTGGAAGAGTGGCCGATTAAAGCCACCGATGAAGCAACATGCTGTGGTGACATGATGTAAAAAAGTCTTAGTGTGATAACTGAGCCAGCTGCGTTTGCAATTGCTCTGTAACCTCTGACCCAGAAAGAAATAAAATCTTGACTGAAGGATCGCGGCCGTGTTGCCATGTCTTTTTAATGTCCCACTCATCGTACGGACGATACATACCTGCCTCTTGAGTCGTCAGTTTCCATAGTAACAGTGCAGCCATGAAAGGAGTTACCAAGGAAACAGGACTGCATAAAATGCAGGGCCACAGAAAAAAAAACACAACACAAAAAAAAATCAGTCAAGGCAGGAGTTTTATGCACAGCACGTTTGCATTTAATACAAAAATGAACTCAGTTGAGTGAAATAACCAAAGCAATAAAAAGTACAACTATATCACCTTGGAAAAATAGACGTCACGTTCACACAAATGTCTTTTTTTTTGTTTGTTCTTTACAATATCTCAGTTAAGTTAGTGCATGTTGATTATCATTTATACGTTTTATTTTGCAGATAATTAATTGTTGTGCCATTTTCATCACCCCCACACCCTCAATAAATAAAGTGCATTTCACATTGAAAACAAGATGTTGTTACTGTGACTTCACCTCATCTTCACGCACACTCTCACACACACACACACATTCACAGGCCCTTGAGTGTTGATATTTAGCTCTAAATTAGTAACCATCAGAACAGTCCGTCACTAGTATCAGAAAAAAAATTGCTTTGCACACATCTTTGTGAATTAAAACACTGCGAATCTATGGATAACAGATGTGTTTAAAGGTGAGTAATACATCCAACATCACAGTCCGTTCTCAAATAAAGCCCTTGTTCTACTGCTCAGCAAAGAAACTTTTTGAAATTCACATTCACTGGTGTTGAACTTCCTCAATTTGTTCAGGCCAAGTTTTCTCAGCCTTGACAAGCTGCCGCATCTAAAGCGAGGAAACCTGTCGACGTTAACCGCAGAGGTGGAAAAGCATTTAAAATAAAATAAAAAACTGGTGCGACCCAACCGATCCTTTAGACTGGCTTTGGTAGCACCATGCAACAGTGATGGGAAGTCCCTCCTCTTCAGCATGCCTAATTTACAGGAGAAAAACAACTCCCGAGGAGGAGAGTTTGATAAATACTACATTCAGAAAAAGGCGTTACAGCGCTGTTATCTCACACAACATCAGAATGTGAAAGAAGTCAGGTCAGGCTTAAAGTGGGGGGAAAATAGAGCTATTCACTTACTATAACAAAATAGACTTTTCTCCAAAAGTAAAATACCAGATTATGACGGTGCTCATCAAATTACTGTGCACAAGTTCACAGGCTACATTTTCATGCTTAGGAATGTTTACGATTTTGTTTTTTTCCCCATTTAGAAAATATTCTGCACCTGATCTGAGGCCGTGGAGATAAAAACCATGAGTCTGTGCGGCTCGGTGAGATGACAGGCAGCAGCAAAGCAAAAGAAGAAGCATCGTCTTTGTATTTGGAAGTAGTTGTTTTTAGCTCGTAGGATCATTCAGAGGTCACTTAACGGGCGCCTGCCTCGACCGTTTAAGGTGGAGTTTAATATCGATGACAGAAAATAGACGGCAGGACTAAGATTGCAGTTCGGTCGCAGTCCTTTTTTCACTTTGGCTTGAGTCGCTGGTCCCACCACAATACAAGAAGCTCCGCAAACATGAAAAACGAGGCCACTTCTCTCAGAATTGACAGGAAGACTGACAGCGTTATCGTCTAAGGTCAGGGTGTCAAACAGGACGCAGCACGAGGACACAGAAAATAGTCTGCACGTAACACTCACACCAAAACGCATGAAAACAGTGCCAAACCACACACTCTTCATTTAGGACACCCGGGACAGCTTGGGTCCTTGTGAAAGGCGGAACCCAGTTCTATGTTCTGTGAGAGCAGGCAGTGGTGGAGGAATAGTTTGATCTCGCCCAAGAGTGAGCATCTTATCACGTTAACGCATCGCCACCCGAACCGATGTTCCTGCGCTTCGCTCTGCTGGGAGAAGACGAGACGTGGATGTTATTGCTGTCCGAGTATTGCTTCACGGCTGATAAATAACCATTTGTAGGCTAGCTATTGCTGACATGATCTGTTTTTGGAGACCGATATGTTGGAGACGGTGACTCGAAACAGCTTAGATGTGATAGGACGCAAGCAGCCATACAGCACATATTAATACTGAAAATAAAAACATGTTTAAAACAAGAAGCATGGAGCTTCTTTGTATTAACTTTAGCTCTTATAATGCATTGCACGCGAGGTTCTTTCTACATAAACAAAATTATCGAGGTCATGACATCAGGCACATCACCTACAGCGACCTCAGTGACCCAACACCTGGATCTCGGGGAGGAAAATGGGCATTTGTGCTAATTAAATGCAAATGAAAGCCCATACGTTGATCTAAATCTGAAATAATGGGGATGATAAGATGCTGAGCAGGATAGATTTTCAGAAGAATCACTTTAAATTAATATTTACTGTTTTAAAGCGGTAAATCTTTTGGCGTGGGGTTCTGCTGAGAGATTATGAACAGTTAATATCTTACCTGTTGTAACTTGGAGAGAGACCTCAATTTGAAGAAACAGTTTTTTTTTGGTTTTGTTTTTTCTGTATATATAGGCCAAGCGGTGTCAAGATCGGAGTGGATTGCTGCCATCTTAAAACACTAATAAGAAAGATCTCAGCGGTTCATGCAAACACTTTTGTAAACCTTTACATTGCCGTAAACTTTACATTACGCAATTATCTATGTAAAATCGAGCTTGAAAAGTATGAATTGGAAGAAGAGTTTTGTTTTACTAGTTTCCAGGTGTGGATAAATGTGTGTGTGTGGGGGGGGGGGGGGTGTGGAAAAAAGCAAGTGTTTCTAGACTTTGATACTTTTTTGCGTTTGCTGAAACACAAAGCAAAAGGAATTTTACAAGTTGCTCAAATGAGCAGAATGTTTTTCTGCATTTATAATTTATTTAAAAAATAAAAATCAGCTCAACACTGTCACTGCATTATTCACTGTTTTTTTTTTGGTTGTTTTTTTTTTTACCAGTGGGGTCGACAAATATCAGAATCTAAAATAGGAATCATTGACCTTTTTGTTGTGGGATGCCCAATCTGTAAGGTTTTTGTTATATTTATTTTTATTTTATTTAACCTTTATTTATGCAGGTAGTCTCATTGAGTCACGAGGACTCATTTTCAAGAGGGACCTGTTTGGGAGCAGATTGTGGGGGTTAAGGGCCTTGCTCAAGGGCCAGAGTGGGGCTAATGAGGGTGGAGGCAGGTGTGCGTGTTTCACCTTGTCCACCCACATTTTGATGTTGTTGTCAGGGAGTCGAACAGGCGACCTTCCGATCACAGGCCCACCTTCTCTAAGCTCTGCACCACCACTCCCCATATTGATAGAAATTAATCAAATGAACACAAAGCAGTAAAATATGTGTTGTATAATAGAAAGCCTCTCTTTGAGTCAATGACCGTTTATCACTATAGGATGTTTGGTCAACCAGGTGAAAGAAACTTTTGTAACCGAAGAAAAAACTTTGCCACATCCAATAAATCTTCAAACTGTAAGCACGCAGATAACTAAACTTTATAAACTCAGTACATCGCAGTAAATTTCAGATGCTTTGGCATAAAAAAAAAATAATAATAATGTTAACATTTGAGTTTGGAGAGTTGTCTTATTTCAAAATGGAACGTGTGTAGGAACCCTGTCAAAGTTTGCGATTAGCTAACCTCTCAGAGAAATATAATATTTCTGCTGGAATAATTGTGCACCGTGAAACCGATAATCAATTAAAGGTTTTATAAATGTTTATGAGAACAGCTGTAAAACTTTTGACACAGGAGTTGTTTTAAAACGACAACAATCCACTTTGGTCTTGGCCCCACTCCAACTAGCCACCTCATCAATTTGGTCAGGATTCAGTTCTTAGAGCTATCTACAACAGGTAAGCTATTGATTGTTTATACTCTTTCCATAGAACCTTTAATTTGATTACAGGAGTTAACTGGATCTCCAATTATCTTTTAAGATTTTTAACAACATTGGGGGGGGAGTCGAAAACGGTTCGTAAAAGTCAAATAAAGTAGAATATAATGTAAGATTACATCATCAGCTAGGCCTCTGTTAGATGTTTCCATACTAACAAAATGCATACCTGGGGTGGGGGGGGGGGTCTGTTGGGGCACTGACAGCTTAAAGCAAAAAGTAAAGGAAAGATGGAATAGGCAAGGCGAAAGGGAGGCTAGGCTGTGGAGCGGATCAGAGAGCATCGGCTCTATTTATAGCTCTCCGCGGCTGTTCAGCTTTCGACACACGTTCAGAGTGCAGCAGCCGAGGCAGAGCGCTGCGATGCTGCTCCAGACGGGTATTTTCACTGTGGAAAAAACTTCATATTCAGCTCGGCATGGTGCAACACTGACGTGCAAATTGATTTCTTCCTTTTTCATAAAAACAACCAGAGCTACAGATGGTTATCCACAGCTGCTGCCTGTGACGTGTGACGCACTCAGCGCTTTCTGCAGACATGAGGGAAAGGTGAGCGGGATGCAGCCCGCTTACTGGGGAAGACAGGGAGACACCTTGCTCCAACAAAGAAAATAACACCATTTATCCATCCTTGTGGGTAAAACCCGAACAGCTTCTGCCAGTGGCACCTCCACCCGGAGCTGAAGCCACTTTCCCGCAGACTTCCCCTGCTCTTTGACACTGGACGAGTCCAGCAAGGAGCAGAGCTGACCCAGGTTGCCTCTTCTCTTCCCGCCTGCGTCTGCGCAGTCAGACGTCGCTAGGAGTCCGTGCCCGATGGGCCACGCTGGCTGGCACGCAGCCACAGCACACCAGCCACAGCGCCTTCTGTATCTCCTGGTTCCTGAAGGCGTAGATCACGGGGTTGATGACAGAGTTGTACGTGGCGGGCACCAGCGTGGCGTACGTATAGAGCGGCGGGTAGGTGTAGTCGGCGATGAGGGAGTAGACGGTGAACGGCATCCAGCAGGCAGCAAAGGTACCCAGAATGATGGCCAGGGTCGACACCCCCTTACGTGTTGTGACGTAGTGGGGCGTGGCGGCCAAGAAGTGGTGCTGAAGAGCGATCTGGTGAGCGTGGCGCATCACAATCTTGCAGATCTGAACATAGAGTTGCAGCATGAGTCCGAAAAGAAGCAGGAATGAGACGGACAGAACAGCTACGTTGTTCTTGGTCAGCGGTCGCACCACGCTGCATGTGGCCTCCTCTGCCAGGCAGTTAACCCCTGTGACTGGCAACAGTCCGAGACACAGGGACAGACCCCACAGCAGCACCAGCATGGTGTAGGTGAAGGCTGCCGTCCGCTCGGAGTTGTAGGTGAGGGCGTAGTACAGCGACAGGTAGCGGTCGATAGTGATGGCCAGCAAGCTGAAGACGGAGGCTGAGAACGAAGCCACCACCAAACCGACGGTCAGCAGCTGGGCAGAGTCAGACTGGAGCAAGTAGGCACAGGTGAAGTGAAGGACGAGTCCCAGACCGGCCAGCAGGTCTGCTAGAGCCAGGCTGCCAATCAGCAGGAACATGGGAGCTCTGAGAGCCGGGTTCTGCCAGATCACCAGCACCACCAGGGCGTTCTCACAGGCTATCAGAGACCCTGAGGAGCACAACACAATGTCCCAGGGGTTGACCAGCAGTGGCAGCTGGCTAGGCGGTAAGACGTCCTCTGTTGAAAACGTCCCAATGCTGGTGCTGTTGTCAATCTGTGCCCCACCTCCAGTTGCCCACTCTGTGGGGTCTGGGCTCAACCAGCCGGGGGAAGCTGGTGGCTCTTCACTCATTGTGCCCCCCGTCTGAAACAAAAGACACACAAAATGCACAAGTGTTAAAACTTAGCATCCATCCCCCCCATTCTTTACCTGCTTTTCTGTGCAGGTGTCAATATTCAGCGGTCATGGAGCGAAAGGTGGTGTCCACCCTGAACTGGTCACCAGTTTCTCACAGTGTCACAAACAGACAAATGAGATTCACACTCACTCCTGGTGTCAGTTTAGAGTTGTCAATTAAACGAACAAGAACTCAAAAAGGTTCATTTGAGGAAACTGGAGAAAACATACACATGCACAGAGAGAAGATGCAAACTCCACCCAGAAAGGTCCCTGACCGGGATTTGAACCGACAACCTGCTCGCTGAGAGGTGGTGGTAAAAACAATTGTATCCAGTTGTAGTCCTTGAGGGCCACCATATAGATCTCAGCTTTTACACCAGATTCAAATGAATGGAATCCATCCATCATCTGTACCCGCTTCTTCCTTTTCGGGTCATGGGGGTCACTGGTGCCCATGTCCAGCCATCACTGTGCGAGAGGTGGGGACACCCTGGACAGGTCTCCAGTCCATCGCAGGGACACAAACGAGACAAACATCCACTCACTCTCTCACTCACACCTGGACAATTTAGAGTTACCAGTCAGCCTAACATACATGTTTTTGGGGAGGAAACCGGAGCACCTGGAGAAAACCCACACATGCACGGACAGAACGTGCAAACTCCACCCTGAAAGGTCCCCGGCCAGAATTTGAACCGGCAACCTGCTCGCTGAGCGGCAGTGGTAAAAACAATGGTAACCAATTGTGGTCCTTGAGGGCCACCGTGTAGAAGATCTCGGCTTTTACACCAGATTCACATGAATGTAAGATTTACTTAAACGTATAGAACATTCTGAGGATGTAGTTCAACCACTGGGACCATTGAAGACATGCAGGATAGTGGTCCTTGAGGACCGGTAATGGACACCACTGGTTCAAAGGGACAGAATGTACCAGAAGTAAACCTCTTTTTGGTTGAACCTCAGAGTTTCTTGCACTGGAAGACAAAACCCGTTTCCTTCCTGTGCATCACTTATTGAACTGAAGCTGTTTTTAGAATATTCACTCCTTGCAGAAGACAGCTGTGCTTTTGTGCGTCTGGATATAGGCCTGTGAGCGCACGTTAAGCCGGTGCATGCTCCTCAGCTGGAAACAAAACCTCAAACTAAAAACTAATCTCCCTCCAAGCAATGAATGAAGCCGCCTCTGATTGGTAAAAGGGAATGAATGCATTCTGTTCGTGGGGGTTTAAAAAGGACTAAAGAGGTTCCCTCCACTGTTTCTGGTAATAATTCACAGAATAACGCGCCGCACCCGTCATGGAAGAGGCTCCCTGTCCGTCAGCGCGTGCACCCAGCTGCTTCGGACCCGGTTTGTCCCTGTGCACCTTGCGTACAAACCGGCTGCTCCTCCTCAAGACTGCTTTTATTTTCCCGTGCGTGCGTGCCATAAAGAAGAAAAGAAGATGCTCCAGTAATAATCCCTGCCCTACCTTGGCTCGGTGAGGTGAGGCTTCCCGTCTAGATGGAAGCGCGACAGCCTTGACTTCCCATGTCGTGGATGATGGACGGAGCTCGGAGAGAGAGGAGGAGGAGGAGGAGGAGGAGACGATGGAAGAAGAGGAGAAAGGAGCGCCAAGCATCACCCGTGGACTGCGGTTGTGCGAAAGGAGCAGCGGCGGAAGGGAGGAACAGGAGGTGTGGAGGGAGGGAGGGAGGGAGGGAGTCCATGATGATGATGATGATGATGAAGGAGGAGCCAGACTGCCAGAAACTGGTTGAACACCATGTCTGCTCCATCAAGGACAGCACGCGCTAATTTGTGCATGACCTAATTATTTATTTATTTATAATCTAATATTTGCAAAGCAACCATTTAAGGTGTTAGAGATGACCCATGTCCCTCAAATGAATCATAACGCACTTGATCTCGTGCGATTCGTTGGGGACGACTCTCCACTACTACCACACTAAATTTTAGCGTGATATGTGTAAAAGTGACCCTGTTAAAGCCTTTTGTGGGCTCTCTAAAATCAGTTGTCTGCTGCGGCCATGCTCCAAAAGTTAATCAGTTGTACTTGTACAGCTAATGGTTATTTGCTGAAAGGTTTGTTAAAATTTGACCAGTGATTCATGAGATATTTTGCTAACAGACAAGGTCAACTCCAACCGATTATGCCAATCTTAAGGGGAAAAATGTGTAACGCGTAGAGCTCAGATAATATAACTCGTGAATTAGTCTCAGCTACTACCACACCAAATTTTAGCTTAATATCTATCAAACTGATGAAGTTACAGCCATTTTTGTGTTTTCTAAAATCAGTTGGCTGTGGAGGCCATTTTTAAAAAGAGTGACTCTAAAAGTTAATCAGTTGTAGCTGTAAATCTAATAATTATTTTCTGTTTGTTTCTTTAAACGTTCTCCAGTAGTTCATGAGATATTTTGCTAACAGACAAGTTTGACCCGAAGAGTTATTAACGGCAAAGTTTTGATTAAAGACCTCCCATCAGTGCTCAGTGTGTCAGGGATTGACTCGCTTTCGGCTACTACTAAACCAAATTTCAGCTCAATTGCAAAATAAAGAGCTTTAGCTGCTTTTGTGTTTGTTATTGTCAGTTAGCTGTGGAAGCCATTTTTATTTGGGTTGACTCCTGAATAAAAATGCTTGTAGATGAAAAATTAAATGATTACTTTAAATTTTTTTTTATTATAATTCATCCTCTGGCCCATAAAAATGCACATTAACCCCAGCCTTTCAGCTCATTTCAGATTAACCGAACTCGCAGTTTGTCCAATTCAGGTGTTCAGATTTTCTTTTTTTTTGGTTTGACTCAAGTTTCAGTCATGAAGATGCTGGATCCAGAGGCTCACTTTCCTCCTGCGCCACCCTGCTATTCTGGTCCTGTCTGTGCTATTACCAGCATCCCTGATGCATCACCAGCCTCCTCCCTGTCCTCCATCTTCTCCGTCACGTGCTCCTACCCCCCCTCCAAGTACATTGTTGCATATTCAACCACATTAACTGAACAAACAAACATTTTTCCACCTGCCTCTTTTTAGTTTTAGTCCTAATACATTAATAACAGCTCCTGTTGCAAAAGCAGAACCCACCACTAAGAGGCGACATTGAGCATCTTCATGAGTCATTACCTGTGGGATAAAAGGAGAGCACACCACCCCTGAATCTTAAGTATTTATATATTTTTTTTATTGTTTTTCTCTTTAAAAACAGAAAATGATCGTTTCACAACAGGCCTTTTTCAAGCAACCCCTCACATCAAGCTTGCCAACACCTACAAAACAGTATCAAAAGTGCACCATAGTGTTAATACATCTTCTCAAGGTCTAACGTTTTCCAATGATAATATTATCTTGTAATATTTATACAAATACCATTCTGTACACTGTAGAAATACAACAGCCTGGGAGAAGGTACCCTACAAGCGGGGGTACCCAGCTCCTGTCCATCCTCCGTTACATCCAGGACCACAAACTGTCACAGTTTAGAATAATGTCATGGGAGGTGAAGACTCCAAGCCAATATTATATCATATGAATTAAATACCCACTCACCCCACACCCAAAGGCAAAAACTAAAACACCACTCGTACAAGCAATCAGCATCTGTACAACCCTCAGTCTTTTTTCTTTTTTAAAACGATCAGTTTCATTCATTATTTGTCCTCGCAGCAGCAGCGTGGATGAGGGGACAGGAAGGACATGGAGGCCAGTGGGGTCCATGGCTGAGCTGCAGCGCCGAGGGCGTAAAAAGCACAGGCATGAAATCCAGCTGTGCAGGCAGGTATGACACCCTGCGAGTGGCTGCGGTGTTTTTATTTGTATTTTTTTTTTCTTACAGTCTGCTGCTTTCCAACTAAATAGGGAGGAAAGCATCTCTCCATGTTTATGCGTTGAAGCGCTTGAGTCCATGTTTAGTCTCTGGACTGATAAAACAGGATGTAGCCCGACTCGGAGTTCTTGGAGATTTCAGAAGTGAGGCCGTAGAACTCTTCTATAGCCTGAGCATCGATTTTCTGCAGGAGAAGAAACGGAGAAAGAAGAAGTGTTAGAAAACAAAACCTGGAAAAGAAAAAGGTAACTGTTCATAGGCCTGTCGCAATAAACAATAAATCAATTAATTGCATGATAAATGAAAATTATCAACCTCATTTTCATTTATCGGCTTTATCGTTTCATCGAGTCTCTCTCTTTCTACTGAAGACACCGGAAGACAAAAGGTTCAACTCCGATGCTCTTCACTGACCCATCCCTTTCACTCTCTTTAAAATCTGTTTAAACAATCCAAAATCACGTTTTTGGATTGTTTAACGCAGTTAAGCTACGAGCTAAGCTAACAGGCCAACTGCAGGAAAAAACCTCCGTCTTGTCAAAGCTCCAAAATTCACAGTTGAAACTCGTGCCTTCGTCTAAAAAGTTGTTTTTCTCTGCAAAAAGAAGCTGAGAACTTGTTTACTGACTTTTTATTAAAAAGCTTTGTTTGAAAAATGCTATGCTAAAGAGCTCAAACCACACCAAGCGTCCGCCATTTTGAGAACCAAAAAATAGGAACGAGAGACAGCCCACGTCACGTCAAGGGGCCTCCCTCCCACTTTTCTTAAAGAGACACACTGCTCGCTCTCTCACTATCCATCCTTCGGTTCAAACAGTCTTATACTGCCATCCAGTGGTAAAAAAAAAAAAGATTCTACACACAAAATTAACCCACATTCTTCTTCAATTTGACAATTATTAATTATTGTCAAATTTCAAACAATATTATAGTTTATCGCAATAATTTCTGAGACGATTAGTCCCCCAGCAAAAATTTGTTATTGTGACAGGCATAACTGTTCATGCTTATTTTTGTAGAAAATACAGAGAATGATGAGCTGAATGAGTCTGCTGAAGTTGAAACGGAGCTGTTAAAGCGAAAGTCCAAACACGAGCCAGAAACAAACAGAACACCAATTAAAGCTATAAAAGCAAAGCACAAGCTGATACAGCAAAACCACTAGCTAAAAGTTAAAAGTAGCAAATGTCTAGCTGAGAACCTAAAAGCAAGTCTTGTTAAAAGCGAACAGTCGCAGAAAGCTAGCTAAAGGGAACAGCCTAGCTAAAAGTAGCAAAAATGGTAGCTGAAAGAAACAAAAGCCTAGATAAACATTCAAAGTAACAAAAGTCTAAGCAAGAAGCTAAAAGCAGAAACAAATGTAAAATCTGTCCTGGTTCATGTTCAGTAATCCAGGTAGATAAAGTTAACAAAGTTGAGTCAGGTCCTCTGAACGGGACCTTCCTGAAAGCAGGTAAGGAACACAAACAGGACTCCAAGCATCAGGTGAAAAGGAGGACCCCAGACCCAGACCAGTGGTCGTTCTGTATGTTGGCAGCGTTTCAGAGAAACTGAGACGTTTATTTTTTAATCATGACCTCCCCGTGGCTTTCAAACACCAAAATACATTACGGCAAAGACTGGTTCATCCCAAAGGTCTGGTCCCCTGGCACAAACAGAGTAATATTGTGTATGCTGGTCAGTGTCAGGAGGGTGATCAGTCTTACATTGGGGAAACTAAACAGCCACTGGCCAAAAGGATGGACCAGCACAGAAGATCAACATCATCAGACCAGGACTCTGCGGTCTACACTCATCTCCAGGCCAGCGGTCACTCTTTCAGGGATGAAGATGTTCACGTCCTTGATAAAGAGGAACGATGGTTTGAGAGAGGAGTAAAGGAGGCCATCTTTGCGAGGAGAACCCAACAGTTGTTAAACAGGGGCGGAGGCCTCAGTGTTCAACTGTCCCCCTCTTACAATGCTGTTATTGCTAGTATCACTCAGCCCCCTGTGAATAGCAAACAGCCATCAGAGCACTAACAATCAGCTGTTAGGCTAATGGTCCTCCTTTAGCATGTGAACAGCTAGTTTTGGTTGTCACCAGCAAACTGGTTGATCCACTATGAGAAGGTGCTGATAAGTCTGAAGAGCCCGGCATACTCCATCCAAAGCACCGAAATCGGCTCTCATCGTCGTAGTTGCGCGACAAAAATTGCGACATTTTCTTCACAGAGCAGCGTCGTCCGCCGATTCTCGAGACGAGCCTTGGCCGAACTTTTTCTCACAGGGGTCTGCGCCGAGTATTGTGCGACTGGTTAGAAGTTCGTGGGCGTGTTTGTTTATGCGGAAACACGCTCAGACAGCGATGTTGTCATTTCGCTTCAACTTCTCCACTGCAGCAACAGGTGAAGTGTCTCTCACCGCCGATCTTCCAGCATCCGTTGGACCAACTCTGAGCTCCTCCTGCTCAGCTCTGCTCCTATTCAGTGGCTGAACATGCCACCTACGTCGTCTTCTCCTTTTTATCGTTTTCAATAACACAAAGATTTTCCTGCTCATCCAACATTATTTCTTCTTCCTCCTCGCTTGTGAAATCATACACGTTTATCGCTGCCATGACCACAGGGTTTACTTTTGTCAGAAACACAGATATATGCTTGGGGCATGCTGTATACTGCAGCGGGAGGGGTTTCCCAGGGGCTCTGTGCCGTGAATCTCATGGACTAGGAAAGGTGTGCGCAAAAACGAAAATCCCGCAACCATGTGACCACACGTCGACTGTTCGGCTTCAGATGCATGCTGGGCCCTTGAGTTCGCGTGCAGCACCTCAGACTGATGAAGTCTTTTGGATTTAAAAAAATAACGAAACATTTCAACAAAGAAGAACCCGTCCAGAGGACCTTACTCAACCATGTTAGATTAGCTGAAAGCTAAAATTAACAAACCCGTTTTATCAATGAGCTGATATGTTTGATTTATGAAACTTTAAAATACCACAAAGTGTGCAGCACTTAGGTTTTCAAAAATGTTCTGGTGACAAACAAAAACAGGAAATTGTGTGAAAGGGAGCACAAAGTCTAGAAATTGTTGAGCTCAAACTCACTTACCTCCACAATGTCATCATCAAAGAGCAGCCAGAAGTCATGACTTTTCACAATGGCAATGTAGTGCCCCCTGTTTGGACCACTGAAAAGACAGAAGACATCGTCTTTGTCTGTTCACATCTTCAATACAAGGATCATGCTCCATTTGAACATGTTCATTTATAGAAAGCTAAAATATATTGAGGAAAATCTAGTTTTAAAGCAGAGTATATGTCATGTAAGATGGGAAATGAAGGGTTAAGGTTAAAACAATTAGTATCAATTTATTAAAAAAGTTTTTTAAAAAAAGGAGTCACGTGACCAATGATGGGCGCTTGAGACTTTGCTTTGTTCCATGCCCTGTATAATTACACATCTGTGTACATCTAAACTCAATACCTCCAGCCATATTGTAATTTAGAGATGCCTAGACCGCAACGGGACAAGGACTTCCCAATTTTTTCTACTCTGAGAGCTGCTGCTAAAAAGAAAGCTGCCCAACAAGTGGCTTCACGCGCTTCAAATGAAGCTAAGCTAATATCTCAGAGCCAAAGCTAGCTGAGCAAATAACTATGGAGCAGATCCTAGCTGTAATAAAGTCCAGTCTCTCAGGTGAACAACTCAATGTCTCAGTTGGTGCTCGACTGGATATTATTGACAGCTTGTTGAATAAAATATAAACTATCACGGCGGTGGAGAGCACTTTATCAGCAGTAACTAATCTGTTATGCAGGATACATAAAAGGTATATTTCTCCATTTATTTTGGTCATGTGACCACATCCAATCCTATTGGAAGGGGGTACATTCTGTAATCCAGGAAGTCACTGGTAAACAGTTTTCATTGTCTTTTAAAACACTTTTGAGAATCTTTTTGACGCAGCCACTAAATTTCTAACAACTTGTTTTGACAAAAAAAAATGTACGGTCAACACCCGAGGCTCCTACAGGTGACATGCGGTTTATGCAGATTTCCATTCTCATCCATCTTGAGAAGTTGACTTATGACCTAAATCACAAAGCCGATATTCTTTGTAGAATCTGGGAACCATTATACTGTTTCCTGCAGAAATAATGAGTCATCGGTCCCTGGAGTTGGAGAGTCAACTGTTCTTTGTTTTCTTATTTTGTATGTGCAGTTTAATTATGCTTCCTGTCATCTTTTAATTTATATATATCCAACGTGCATATATAACTGCGTTTGTGTAGCAGCGCTTGTTGTTTACTTTGAGATGGGATGTTTCTTTTTTTAAATTATGTTCTGTTAAGTTATTCTATTTACATTTGTAATATGCAAAATTAAAAAAGAAAGAAGTTTAAAAACTGCAAACTTAGATATAAAAACCAAAACAGTACAAATACCAATTAAATGTAAATTTATTTACATTATTTTGGGATTAGATCCTTTTGATCAGTTTCACACACTTCTCTCTTTGTAAGAGCCACATTTCAGAATAAAATCTATATTAAGATCTCAGGATAGATTCTGCTGATCATCAAATAAACTTTGGGGTTCATAAAATGGCAACCAGTTTCAATTTGTGTTATTTAGTTTGGAATTTAACTCAACAAAAGAGTCAACGGGAGTTTGGCTCAAAGAGAAGAGACATAATTTACTTGTCTCCAGCTCACTTGTGCTGCTCTAGACAAGCCTGACCTTTTTATTTCATTTTTCCTTCTTCATTGTCTCTTTGAGCTTCACGGAGAGCTCGCTGAAAAAGCAGGGAAACACCCTGAACAAACACCACACCACTACCGCACGAAGGTTTTCCATTTTCTCTCATGAGATGGATTTCGTTGAAACTCTGCTTCAAGCTGGTTAAAGTGAAGTTTGATGTTAGAACGTTACATCTGCTCGTCTCTGCTTGGCGTTGTACACTGTGTTTGCATATTCACCTCCCACAGTGCACCACTACGGCGACCAGGTCGTATAACCTCTCGGGGTTGGTGGCGTCCCCGGAGGTGTTGAAGAGACGGAGCTCCAGGGGGAAGACGACGCGATAAGACAGTTTGGTGTATCGCTGCAGCTGCTCCATGTACTTAAAACGCTTCAGGTGCAAAGCCAGGATCATCGGCAGCTTCTTTACACGCATCCTACATTTATAAATAAACAAAGAACAGCACGGTGACTCTAGGCAAAAAGAATAATTATTAATCATGAACAGTGACGTGTTGTACTGACCTCTTGTGTGCCTCCTGCTTGCTTCTACATTCCTCACAGTAGTATTTGTACTCGCTGCACAGTGTCTCCGTGTTACTGAAACCTCTGATGAAAAGCACAACAGCGGTTCAGTCTAAACGTCACATTTACAAAACGACACTCGTTTCCTGAAGCAGTTGGTAGAAATGAGTAAAACTTAAATCCAAGCTGGAGAATGAGTTTTCACTAAACTGTTTTAACTTTATGCACTGTCAATTTGATGCCCTTAAAGAGTTCTGGCAACATGTCTGCGGTGAGGAAACATAAAAAGTGAAAAAGAACAGCAGTCGAACAACTACCACATTTTCTGGCGTGTAAGTCGCAGTTTGTTGCATAAATTTGCAAGTCCTGCGACTTGTATACGTTTTTTTTTTCATATTCATAACGCAATTTTTGACTGACGCTTGAAATGTTCATTCATTCTGACATGAACCAGAGTAAAATTTACCATTTGCAGCCACTAAAGGCTATAATGTTGAGCAAAATAATTATTTTAAGTGTTAATCTTGTTAAATTCCGAAGAACTGCAACAACCAGTCCTCCCGTGTGCGCTCGCTTCACTCAGCTGGTGCAGGCGGAGGAACGCCAGCTCCGGAAACTGGCACACAGTAAAATAAAAAAAAACTAATTATTTTTCTTTTTTTAACTGGAATGAACAAGTGATCGATCAGGACATTGAATGCATCACTTTCATTGACTAGTCTCTGGCTGTACTTGAGAAAATAGATTTTTTAAAATCATTTGGAGCTGCTGAAGCCAAAGGAGGTCCTAATTCTCAACTAATCCCTGACACATTACTTGAGTGGCGGGAAGGAGATGTTAAATGAAAATGCAGGAAAGACAGTCTTAAGTGCCCACTTTTAAGAGACGTTAAAAAGATTTGATTCTGAATACAAACACGTCAGCTGGTTGGTATTACAGAGGGGCTCTAATTTGAACAACCATTATCAACTCAATGCAGCTGTGGTGAAGAACAGCACAATAATTTGACTGTTCTTTGGTATTAAAAAGGTACTAAAATGTTTTTAAAAAATCTTGCTCGACTGTCAAGGAATGAAGGGCTCACTCTGACCTGATCGCTTCCAAGGAGGCACTTTAGGTGATTTCTAAAAAATAATTTATTCATTTATTTGATGTTGATGTGAGGGAAACTGCCTCATGCTACACTAAAGGGATGTGAAAGCACAAAAGCAAGCAGGACCAGCTGCCATAAACTTTGCAGCGTACACAAAATAAAGTCTCAGCACTTTTGGAACAGTTGCTGTTACCCTATTAGAACATTATGTAAAAAACTGCTTTAGTAGCTCTATTAATGTTCAAACCATTACATAACCATTATTTTAAGCATTTGAAAAGAGTAAGAAATGTCGTACAATTCCTTAATACTCCTGTGAGGTTGTTATAAAACTACTTTTTGTCTTAGCAGCAGCTGTAAAGAAATTGCAGCCTTCAAATGTCATTTTTTTAATACAAATGGCTTCAGCCAATCAGCTGCCAACCCTGACACAGCTTCGTTTCGTGTCACTTTACCTGAGGCAGTGAGTGATGGAGGTATTCTGTTCCACGTCCACAGAAAGGTCCAGAAAGTCCTCATCTTTACTGCTTATCTGAAAAAATTTAAAAAAAACATAAATGAATCAAAAGCAACTACTTCAATGTGTTAACTCAAATAATTTGCAAGGACATTTTAATGTAAAAAAAAAAAAAAAATCCACTTTAAAACCATTTTTTGATTTTGTAAAAGCGTTCCCTTAAATGTTCAGCAGACTTTTTGACCTGCATAATTAGTACTTGAATGCATCGCACCGTTTCACAGGTGAGGCAGCGTGTCTCATTGGTCAGAGTGCCTTGGAAGATCTCGTGGACCCAGGTGGGAGCAGGTGTAGCATTGCTGTTATTGTTCTGGGAGTCCAATGTACCGTTGGCAAGGCGGCCATTGGTCTTTTCCTGCTTCCTCTCCTCTTGAAGCAGATCAGCGATGGTGTTGAGCAGGTAGTTCAAGAACTCATGAGCATCCTGCTGCATGTAGTTATCAAAAAGCTCTGTGGGACAAGCAGAATAGATACTTCGATGATGCAACAAGTTCTGCAAGGAGTCCTGATGTTCGGCTCAAGTTAGCACTAACCGTTCTCCTTGCGTAGCCGTGTGATGAACTTTTTGGGTGGGATGACACCTACTTTCCTCTTCTGGTTGGCAATACTGTGGAAAAGGTCAGCCAGGCAGGTGAGCAGGTTCTCCTTCCGCCGGGGCTGACTACGATATGCCAGGATCTTCTCCCGGAAGGGCCGGCAGAAGTAAAGAGCTTGGAGCACAGAGTTGCAGTAGCATGTGTTCCCAAACTAAATACCACACAAAATATAACAAATTAATTAATCAATTAACCAGATAATCCTTAGAAAAAAAGGAAGAGTTTCTCATTTAATCAGTGAAGTCCGCTGCCTCATATAATACTGAACTCGGCTGAGCAGTGCAAAAAAAACAACAGCAAATGTGCAATGCAAAACAAATACAAAGTCTTCACTGTAAGAAACTCCCTGACTACTTGCAAGTATTTTATTTGTCGCTGAAAATTAATAATTTCAATGTTTTGGATACTGTAAACAGTTCTTACCAAACAAGTTAAATAAGACAATTAAATAAATACTTCATAACACATATTTGAGATATATTTGGGTGTTTGATGTCATCAATAACTCAAAAATCAAAAACACAGACACTTTTCACCCCAAAGCACATCACTTAATGAGCCGTTTAAATCTGCAGTTTACTGTTCAGGTAACAGATCCAGGGAGTTGCAACATGAAGCAGACTGAATCTCCTCGCAAAGTAGCTTTAGGCCGAATTCCTGATTTTCAGAGTCACAAAACTGGTTCCATTCTTAAGACTATGTGTTACCATAACAAATTAAGGTGGAAATTTCTGCTGTGCTCCAGTAAGAGGCAGCACATGCATGAATTGGTTTTTAATCTTCATGTGTGTTTTAATGAGGTAGCAGTGATATCGATTAGCTTATTAACCTAAGCATTTCATGATTTTGATTGCTCCATTCATTTTTAATGACATGGGTTGGGGGGGGGGGGGTCAGACCAGATCACTCAAAGATAGCTTGAATATGTTGTGCCTGATTTCAAGCACCAGAGTTTAATTGTCTGACCTGCTCATCTTCCATCTCCTCACAGCTTAAAACTTAAATCTCACAGCATTTTATTTTGTCTATTAGCTGCAGCCTGACAGTTACTTCAGCGTTGCTATTTGCAGTTCATCATTTTAACAACATGACGCAAAATGAAACAGTGTCTAAGAGGTGTGTCAAAACCAGCAGTTTATAGAGCTGCAAAAAGAGGAAATGTGAGATTTGAGAGTAAAATATATGAATAAAAACAGCAAATAACCACCATCTGAGTGAGAACATCAGCCACTTACATTGACCAAGCCAAAGTAGTGCTCATTGACTGGAAACTGCTCAGATCCAATCTCTTTCTCCAGAGCAGAGGCATTGGCGCCCTGTACAAAGCACAAAAACACAACTTAACTCTTTCCTACTTATTATTACAAGCCTTTAAATGTTGTTTTAAAAATAATAGTAACACATTAGCTACACTTCTAAACCAGTATGCTGTTGTGAAAAACAATGGATTTCAACTGCTTGTTATTTCAAGGTCGTTTTATGAGTTAAAATGTAAACAAAAGATCAGGAGCAAGCATTTCCTCCAACACCTCACCTTGTTTTGTTTTTTTTTTGCCATTAAAACATGCATAATTTCTACTTTAAAGTAAAGGTGGTAAAGTATAAACATGTATTTGTGTGGATGACATTTATGCATGTAAAAACAGGTGATTACAGTTTAAACACGACCCAGGTGGATGTTTGTGTGGAAGATCTGATAAAGTTACAGTATGTGATACGTGGACACATCAGAGATGCACACAAACGAACCGCTCATGTTGAACAATGTCGTCATTATTAACCTTACTAGGTTATGGTTTATTTCAAAAGGACTTTGACATTTTCCCCTCCACACACACACACAACTCAGGACAACCGGTTCTTAGTCCAAACTCATCCATTACCCAGCTGTGTTACAGTTGTTGACAAGCACTGATTTTAGCTTAGCAAGCTAGCTTTGAATCCCAGCTTCGACAGGTGCACTGTCATCGTCCTCGAATAAGCTGTAATAAATATAAACTAATTGGGCTTTAAAGGTAAAGGTTAAAACCAGAAATATTTATTCGTGTGCCGTGAACAGCCATAGGGTGTAAAAAAAGAAGTGCGGAACATAGAGAAGGCGGTGGGTGGCTGCTCGCTTGGCTACATACCGAATCTTGCTTGCCTAGCACAATAACTGCTTTCATGTACGTTTCCGCGGTTTAAATAGCGAATATCAGTGTAGACGTGATTTCAGTATCACCCCGTAGTCTACAAAATGTCGACATGAGACCGCCGCGCACTCACCATGGTACAAAAAGAGGCAAATTTGGAGACTGTCATTAGGATTTCCATTCGGCTAACGCCATCTTCCACAACACAGCCGCGCGCTGACAGGACTGTACTGGTTCCCCTCGTGAGGACAAGCAGGCGACTCAGAGCTCGCGACTGCGGTCCTACAGCTCAAAAATACAAGAGCGTTCAAGGCCCGCTACTTCCTTCTTCGCTTTATGGTTACAAGGTATTATCTCTTTTTTTACGATTATCACACATTAAAACGGTTTCCATTACATAATATGGATTTCCTAGTAAATAAATAGCAGTATATGGTTTGATTTTTTTTTTGTTCCAAAGAACAGCATGCAGGCGGCTGCTTATCTAGAGACTGCGTCATACAGCTGAAAAATGCAAGAGTATTCCCTGTCTGCTACTTCCTTCTTCGCTTTGTCGCTAAAAGAGCGTCACACCTTCACACGAACCTTAAAATAGTATGGATTTCTGACATAAACAACAATATAATATTTGCGTTATATCCCATAGAACGGAAGGCTACATTGTAAATAAACCCCTAAAATTGATTTTTGAATAGGCTGTTTTGGAGGTGTGTTAAAATGAACATTTCATCTTACAATTAAAACGCATAACAGAAAAAAAGAGCACAGGAAAAATAAATGACATCACCTAAAAATAAATGCAATAAAAATAATAATATAGTAATGGGAAGATTAACATGATAAAAGCATGAAAAGTTGGACTTTTGGTTGACCCTCCTTTGCAACATTTTACTGATAAAAGCAATAAAATCCATCCATCCATCCATTTTCTTTACCCGTTTATTCCATTTTGGGTCACGGGGGTCGCTGGTGCCCATGTCCAGCAATCACTGTGCGAGGGGCGGGGTACACCCTGGACGGGTCGCAAGTCCATCACAGGGCCACATAGAGACAAACGAGACAAACAACCATTCACTCTCTCACTCACACCTAGGGACGATTTAGAGTTACCAATCAGCCTAACATGCATGTTTTTGGACTGTGGGAGGAAACCGGAGTACCCGGAGAAAACCCACGCATGCACGGAGAGAACATGCAAACTCCACCCAGAAAGGCCCCTGGACCGGGGTTTGAACCAGGGACCTGCTCGCTGAGAGGCAGCAGCTCTAAGCAATAAAATAGGTTGGGGAAAATATAAAAGTTGGAAAAAAGCTTATGTGTACAAAACTCAAGTAAAAAATTAAGTTAGTGTTTGAAAATTCTTTTTATCTTTCATTTCAAGAACATTTGCACAATTCTACATATTAGGGAAAAATTTGTTATGTAAAATAATACTGGAAAGTCTCACAAGTGCTCATTGAATGGCAATAAAATAACTTATAGTCTAGTGTCTTGTATGTAGAAAATGTATAAGTAGTACTACAGTTTGTTAACTTTTGGTGCAAAAATCCTTGCAAGAATTGATTTAATGAAGAAACACGAAATAAACTTATACTTTAAGTTAAAGTGAAATTATAGTATTATGTATCCATCTCTTACTTTTGCTTTAAACAGTTGGTATATTAAGACCAAGACCAGCTTTGTTTGGAGAAAGTGGCATTGACAAAAAGACAGGCAAAATAACTGGAAGGGACAGAAGTGAAGATGTTGAGTTTAGGAGTGACAAGGATGGATAAGATTAGGAATGAGATAGCCAAGATGGATTGAACAATTGGGAGATCAAGTTAGAGGCCAGACTGAGATGGTCAGTGGGTATGTAAGAAATGCATCTGCCAGAAAAAAAAAGTCAAAGAGGAAGGCCAAAGAGGAGATCTATAGATGAAATTAGAGAGGACATTGAGGTAGTTAGAGTGAGGACAGAGGATGCAGATGACAGAATGAGATGGAGAAGGATGATTCCCTGTCGCTGTGGCAACCTGGTGGTACTGGCAACCACTATAGAAGGAAAAACCAAAAAGAGAAGAAGATCATGGAAATAATATTTACGTTCGATTAGTTTTCATAATTGTATTTTTATATATTTTTATGTACAGAATCACATTTATTTTAAATAAATGTCTGACGTCTCCTGTGGCTCACTTTTTAAAAAATTTTTTTTTTATTCAGGCACTATTGCAGACTACCTAAATCGTACTTTCACAAGGCGGAGTTTGGGGGCCTTCAATCTCTCTTTCCGTCGTACCCGCCATCTTGTTTAGACCGGGGGTAAGATGTTCTCCGTTTTGATGGATATTTTCTCTTTATTTATATCTTCATTCGTGCCCATTTACATGTAAACACGCATCGAGGATGTTTTTGTTACACCTTGTGGAGTTATTGCTGGTTTGAAGCGGTTCCGGGGTGATTTTTATCCGTTTAATATGTTCAGCAGCAGCAGCGTGGCTCTCCATGCGGCCCTGCCAGGCTACAAATTATTGTTTAACACAAACAGTATTTCCATCTAAGACACATACTTTGACATGTATATACTTTTCGCGGGTATTAGTTTGTTTGTGACAGTAATACAGGAATGTTAGCATTGACAAGTTCTTAAAACTTGTGTTCCCGTTGAGTCACACGGGCAAGTTTTAGTTATTCAGCACGTGTTGTATTTATTTTAACATTGCCGAACCAAATCTCAGTAAGCATGTACAGTAACAGTGGGATACAACAAGGTATCTGTTGAAACGTCTTTTTGAAATATTTGTTTTTCTCTGCAGTAATCAGGCGTCATGACTAACACCAGAGGCAAGAGGAGGGGGACCAGGTACATGTTCAGCAGGCCATTCCGCAAACATGGTGAGTCCAGCTTTAAATCTCTTGAGCACACCTGACATTAACATTTAATCATCTTAATACAGGTTATCAAAGACTTCCTGTTCAGCTGACTCCCTCTGCTTCAATAGGTGTCCATACTTGGTTTGTTTTGAACAAATCAAGAAATTCTGTTATTAAATATTGGTTTGGCTAAAAAGTTTTTAGATCATACTGAAGAGCATCCTCTTTATATTCACCAAAAACCAGTAAAATAACAGGTAAACATAAGGAAATTATCCAGGTTGTCCATAGGACAATCGCTTAACAAAATCAGGATGTTCACCTTTACTATAAAAAAGGTTCAAAACAATCCCAAGAATTTAATTTATTGCACTGTATACAAAGTTTACTACCCTGTATATACAAATGTGCTGTCAGCCAACTTGTGGACTGCTAGAGTGGAACTTTCTCAATCTCATCCTCTTCCTTGTCATCAGACGTTGCAATAAAGAGTATTTTAAGGCAGGGAGTAAATAAAAAAAAAAAAACTTTTTCTATATGTCACTTCTCAAAGGTTTTTACATAAACAGGAGTTTACTGTGTTGTGTATATGACAGTAAAAATGCACGTCATCACCTTCAGTTAGCGGGTAGCCTCCTTGGAAAACAGTCCAGGAAATGCTGATTGGTGCTCTTACATTTTCAGAGTTGGGAGCACTGCAAACAATCACCGTGTACCAGACGGCACGACCCGCCCTGCTCTGATTGGGTCAAGCTGTGGTTCTTTATTTGTTGAAAGTAGCATGTGTTAAACCCTGTGTCCCATTGTAAATCCCATTATTAGATTGGAGGGCTTTAAAAAGACCTCAACAAAACGCGTTCCCCTCCACCCCCACTTTTGTTTTTAAAGATGACGTAAATCCATTTTGGCGTGTGAGAACTTGTCACTTGGTTGTCCTCCCAATAATCTTGAGACAAGATGTGGTTGAGGCAGAAATAGATTGTCTCAGATAAACAAGAACTGCTTATATCAAACCCCTGAATGATGTAAAATTGATCATCAGAGTGTTACCATTTCCCAAATCCCAAACAAGATATTTTGTTTGTTCTCTGTACAATTAAGTCCTGTTGAAAGCTGCAGTTAATCTTAAATATACAGAGCTGAAATGTGAGATGAAACCACTACAGGCTGAGGTGCATCTTCGTGTAAATCTACTTTGATCTGTTTGTCATTCTGACCCCAGAACCCAGCCTCGGTCAGCCAGTAGTTATTGTTTAAACACTGTTCTAAGTATTTGTTCATTAAAGTTCATTAAACTCAATGTTTTTGTTCTTTACAGGCCCAGTCCCTCTGTCCACATATATGCGCATCTACAAGAAAGGAGACATTGTAGACATCAAGGTGGGGAAATAAACGAAAATATGTTGAATTCACCTTTTAGTTGAATTTTCCTTTCAGTATACAAAATCAAACCCTTCTGTGGATAGTCTAGTCAGTGTTTGCAAATAAAAGGAAACGGACAAAGTAATACTTTTATTAAGCTGTAAATTAATCAGAACTGAAAGTTTTGCCAAAAAACATACAAACTTTGTAGCTCAATTGCTAAAAGATGGTTGTCTTGGACTGATTTGTGTCCTTGCATCATTTTTGTGACCTTGTCCTTCTTGGTTTACTTCCAGGGCACAGGTACCATTCAGAAAGGTATGCCTCATAAATGCTACCACGGCAAGACAGGACGTGTCTACAACGTAACCCAGCATGCTGTCGGCATCATTGTCAACAAGCAGGTCAAGTAAGTAGTAAGTTTTATTCTGGGACATGCAAGTTTAGTATAAAACACTTTAAAATGTTTTTTGTTCAGGTTTTTGCATTTGGTAGCCGAGAGAATAAACATACCTTATTATTATTATTGTGTTTTTATTATTAATATTAAGTTAGATGCTTACCTTTTTAATGATGGGTGTTGGCTGCAGAAGTAAAGACTTGACAAATTTGCTTTGGTCTTAAAATATATATTTTCCTGCAGTTAAAAACAATTTTATCTAGTGACCCCACCTTCACTTTGCCACCTGCGACCTTTCTGTCTTTGGTGGTCATTCGTGTGGGGGAAATTACTTCATCCTTTAGCACCTCAGCCCAACTTCCTGTTTTGACTTTGGGGTGTGCTGAGGAGACAGCACAGAGCTGTAGATTCTTGTAAAACTCTTAAAGGTGAAGTCGCGTTGTTTTTAATTTAGCTTCTTGACCCGACTGTTTCCTCTTTGGTGTCGTCCAGAGGCAAGATTCTGGCAAAAAAGGTTAATGTGCGCATCGAGCACATCAAGCACTCGAAGAGCAGGGACAGCTTCCTGCAGCGTGTCAGAGATAACGAGCGCAAAAAAATGGAGGCCAAGCAAAACGGCACCTGGGTGGAGCTGAAACGCCAGGTATCATTTAATTTAAGGCTACAGGAAATTGAAAATATGAGCATTTATTACCGATATGTTTGTAAATAATCTAATAACTTAAATAATTAATCCCACTTTAACCCTAATATTATAGTTCTTAACGGTGCGGTGTGTAGTTAACTGGATTTTTCTCTCTGATAATTCTCATTTCCTGTCTTTCTTGCCTCCTCAGCCTGCTCCTCCACGTGGGGCTCACTTTGTCAGCACCAACAAAAATGAGCCGCAGCTGCTGGAGCCCATCCCTTACGAGTTCATGGCATAAAGTGCTTAACGTAATAAAGATATTTGTACACATGCGCTGTGTTCTGTCTTCCTTCTGTACGTTCAAATCTGTGAAGTGTCACGATGAGCCGTCACTCTATGATGATTCCCCTCTTTTGAATGCTTATAATGAAATAAAAAAGCACTTCATTTCACCGGCGGACTGAGAGTGATGAGCATATTCATAAACATTTTTTTATTTTTTTTACCATTTATTGTGTGTAGATGCACCAGTGCTGCAGGGTTCACTGATAGGCTAAGTATACATGAACATTAAAGTACATTAAGGCATACTTATGAATTCAATTACAGTGTCATTTATTATAAATTGTAAGTTACATGTTAAAAACCAAAGTGTTATTTAAACCAGTGTTTGCAGTCTGAAGTGAAAGGCTCAGCGACTAAGCTGCAAAATGTTGCACATTTTAACAAAAAACATTTCGGTTCGGAAATCAAAGCATAACATTACTTGGAAGTTTAAAGTCTCAGAATTTGTGTAATAGAAGTTAAGTTGCTGGTTTGTGTGGAGTTAAAAATGTAAATGATGTAGTAATTTTGTTTAAATACATTCAAGGTGTAAGGAGTTTAAAATTGATTCAGTTTTAAAACCAAAATCTCCTAAGTTCCAATAAATCGAAATGGAACTAATACCATAAAGAGCTGAAGTGTAATTTCCTACTCTAAATGTTTTTTCTAGTGAATAAATAAAAGCTTCCCATAATTGAAAATGTCAATTTTCTGCTTTGTCCACCAGAGGGCGCTCTAAGCATTTATTTGTCAAATTAAAATTTCATGTTTTCCCTCCATGACTAATGGGTTTGTTAATAAAAACCTAATCATTTATATTAATCAGTGATAAATTCAGATCAGATTGGGTCTGATAGATTGTGTCTGTCATTATCTGTCCAGATTTTAAAAATGAAGCAGATTAATTTTTTTTTTTTATGATTCCAGCATATTTGTACAAAATAAAAAATGCTGTGGTGAAAACATGAGAATGTTACTCTATTTTTTAACACTTGTTCAATTTTATCAACTGATTATTTTCATATGCATATTCCAGGATCCATATGTGTGGATTTTTAGACGTCTTTCTGATGATTGGATGGAAATTACTGGTTCAAATGCCATAATGAATTATGGTTTTGTTCAGTCTGACCAGTTATAAACTTTTTGATTGACCTGCTGTGAGAAGTCTTCCCTGTGTTTTCTGGTGTGAAGCCCTCAACGTGTTCTCTTTAATCAGCAAAGGCTGAATGGCTGGCTGGTTATGTGACAAATAGGCTATCTCATCACATCTCAGTGCTTTGCCTAATATTTACACAAATTAGGAACAGTTTGCAGAGATAAGAGCTCAGGAAGGAGAAGAATAGCAAGTGCACAAAAAAAAAACGTTTTTATTTCTAAATATGTCCGTTTTATTCATTTCTCATGATTTTCTGAAACTCGAGGGAAAAACAGTCAAAAAGATAAATATGGATGTTCTTTTCTCCATAAATGGCAGCAGCCACTTTATGTAAACGTGCCGACGTCGACTTTCTGCACCTCCATAACCCCCTCTGGCCCGAGGTCAGGGGATTCAGACACCGGCCTTATCAGGACAGAGTAATAAGTGTCCAACAACCCGGAGAGATAAAACCAGGAAAGGCAGATGGAAAAACAAAATGCAATCAATCAATGAGCAGGTTGGCAGCCAAAGCCCTTAGTATTGATCGGTGGGCTCTGGGATTATTAGATAAGTGAAACCTTATCTACAAATTCTTCACATTTTCTCACCGTTCAGACTAATATTTGGAAAACCATCTTTTAATAAAATAACCACTTTTTTAAAACTTTTAAATCAAAGATTCATCCACAGTAGGGCCTTTGTGCACATAGTCTGACTCATGAAAGTTACTGATTGAAGCAGCTAAAAGACGGAAAGCCTGAACCTGTGGATAAAAAGCTGCTGAGCACTATGAACTCCTTAATCACACCAGTTTGACACACGGATTGAGTGTGTCAGCTCGGAGCAGCTGTATCGACCCGCGCTGTTACACATTAACGACACACACACATGCAAACAGTGGGCCATTAGAGGTGCACACACACCGCAGTGGGTTGCACATGAGGTTTCACATTTACCCGCTTTCTCACCTGACTGGAAATTAATGAGAGGAACATTTCACAACGAGCAATTATAAATATGAACTTTCATAACAGGAAGTAGATTAGGCTGCAGCAAACCACACACGGGCAACATGTGGTCCGAGGGCCAAACGTGGCCTTTTATAGTCTCTCTGTGGCCATCAACAACTACATTAACAAAACATATTTTAAAAATTCAAAGCTTAGCTCTTTATTTCAGTTTTAAACTAAGGTCATTTTGTGTGAAGAAATGCCGCAGTAGCCACGTTTTAGTCGAACTCCGTGGTGTCCATCTTGAATTGGGTTGACTCAAGTCATAGAATTATTATTTCCTGATCAATATCTGTTCAGTGGTTTGTGAGATATTTTGCTAACATGTACGATCTTGTGCAAATTGTGCTCAGAACGTGTTGGGGATCAATCTTGACTACTATTTAAAGCACATGTATCAACCTGAAGGCTCATGGGCCTAATCTGGCCTTATCTGGCGCCCCAAGATGATATTTTAAATTATAAATATTTTTACTGCTTCTCTTTTTGCTTTAAAAAACTGATATTTCATTTAGTTTCTCATGACAGTTTGCTAACTTTAAAGCCAGGATTATTATTATTATTTTTCTGGTTGCAAAGTTAGGATTTTTCAGTGCTCTTTGATTCTGATGTAGAAAGAGCAACACAGGAAGTCAAAGAGACTGATCGAACTGTTGTTGATGAACCTGCAACCAAGAAAAGATGTCGGGTATCTGACTTGGCTCTTGGCTCGCACCAAGCTTTTAATTTCAGTCACTTTAGTTTGCCACCCCATCTTAAAGCAATTAAAATGTGTTTTTGGACTTTTACCTCAAAAGTTAACAAAACAGCAGTTTATTTCAAATTGTTTTTAATCGCTGTTTATTTAGAACTACGAATAATTCATTTTTCTTTGCAGTTAAATAAAACTGCACAATCAGTAAGAGATCACAGAGAAAATGCACGTTTTTGGTTTCCATAGGGACCTTTGAACCTCCTGATTTCTTCATTTTGCTCCAAGTTCCTCACCTTTTCTTCAAACAACCAAACACGAGAGTCCCATGTGTGGCTGCGATGCAAGTGTAGGTGTGACATGTTTGGCTTAAAGGTCAAACAAAAGGCACAAGGAAATCCCACAAATGGCTGTATCAGTGTGTGTGACGGGCGGTGCTGGTTATCAGACGCAGCCCGGTGGAGGCACGGCCATATATGTGGACATTGGGCCAGCTGTATTGATCCTGTCCCTGACAGCGCAGGCGGAGGTGTGGTAGTGGTATGGGCGCCGGATGAGAGGATGATAACGGCGCCAACTGCTCCAGTCTTACCTGAAGCGTGGGAGGAGGGCACCGAGGTGACACCCAGCAGGCTCTCAATGGGCCTCATTCACTAAAGTCAGTCAAAGGTTTCACGTGAGATCACGGCGCGAGCACACAGGACGATCTGCAACGTTTGCTCAGGCAGATAACGACGTTTGATTGCCTGTGACTTTTTTAAAGACAGAGCATTTTCAAAGTAAAAGAAAACTTCTTTATTGTAACGTCACAAAGATGAAGGAACTTGTTTTGGTGCAGATGTTCCAGTGTGGGAAGCAAAAATTTGACTCTGCATACTTAAATTAATGATTTTATTCAAAGTAATGTCTGCCTTTTTTATGTTTTAGTACTTTTTCAGCACTTGGAAATGTATCCTGAATGATGCATGCTCACTTGGAAATATATTTGTTTTATTGTGTAATTCCAATATTTACCTCTTAGGTTTCTTCATTAATGCTGTTGACTTTTCACAAGTTCTTCATATTTGATCATTATTGTCAAATTCTTGTAATTTTTTTCTTTTTAAAACTATTTTTAGTGTTTATGGATTTTTTTTGTCTGCTTTTTGGTTTTATTGTTTTTAAAATGTCCATTGTGTTGCTCTTTGTTGTATGAAAAGTGCTTTAGTCATAAAGTTTGATTGACAAAACAACCAGAACTGGACTCAAGTTGATCCAAATAAGTGCAATTTACATAAAACTTCAACAAATTGTTGCAAAATTTCTTGAAAATGACACAGAAAGAATAAATACTCAACTTTACATGAAACAAATACAAAAAAAATGAATAATGAATGCTACTAATTGATGCAATTAATTAAAAATGAATCAAAATAACATAAAAAACAAAGAGAGACTGGACAAATTTACAAAACAACTTAAAATGAGGCAAAAAAAAATTAAAATAAACTTTAAAAGTACCTAAACTGACCATAAAACACACATTTGGCTTGATTTGATCATGTTGAAGAATCTGCATCAAAAGTTTATTCTTGACCCACATTGTGTAAACATATAAACATTAAATACTCTCATTTTATAAGTCCTTTTTGATTATAACAAACTTCAACTTTAAGGTTTAGTTTCCGGTTTGTGGTCTAGACAGGATCTCTCCAGTTTCTGCAAACAATAAATCCCATCTATCAGAGAGAATTATGAGGGGAGCGATAAGATTAGGATTAGGGTGGTAAACTCCGATGGATGCAGACACTCAGTCGCCTTTCTTCCTGCCAGTCCACAACAAAAATCAGCAGACGAGAAGTGAGTATTTTAAAAGCGTGCATCAATGAATGTGAAAGAATCATTTTGGGATGTTTGAAAATAAGTGAAATTATTTAATTTAGGGGCTAAAATCAGTTTTCCTGCAAACTGTATGTCATCTATGAGAGCAGCTCATGGCATAGTCAGTTAAAAAATAAATACAAAGCTAATTTTTCCAGTTTTAATTGAACTGGGCAGGACTCCCCCATTTTTTAATGGTACGTTCCAATAAGATAAATGAAGCTCAGGTGAGTGGGGTGTTTGTGGGTCATTGAATGTCCTTCCTCCTTTACATCTGGTGTCAGAGATGGAGAAGTTGCACAATCAGCACAATTACATTTGCAATTTTCTGGATTGCAAAGCTGCATTCAGTGAATCGTGGAGGTTAGAAGCTCATTTGTGCAAACACACAGGAGTGGTAAGCAGCAAACAATGTGAACGCATGAACATGTTAAACTAAGTGACTCATTCAGTGGAGCTTGTGCTCGAACGAGTCTTGATGTTTCCTCTAGAGACCGTTCTCCTGTAGGAACTGTGACAAGAGCTTCTGCACTCTCTACCAGCTCACCAGCCATGAGCTGAGCCACAGCGGTGAGAAGCCTAACAAGTAAGCCATGTTCATCTTTAAAGTTACTTGGAGAATAAACTTTACGAGTGCCTCGAAAGACTTCTGCTCTGCTGTTCAGATGTCTGACTGAAGGGTGCTCCGAGGCCTTCGTCACCTCCAGCCACCTGGCACGAGTCCACCAGCACCAGGAAAAGCGATATCAGGTAAAGCAAACCCTCTTTGCTTTTATTTATTGTGCAATTAATGTGAAATAAAATTTCCGAGGTGCTTTTTACTAGTGCGATCGTGAGGGGTGCGAGAAGGATTTCAACAAGAGAAACAAATTAAAGGCTCACAAGTTTGAACATGGAGATCCTCTGCCTTTTCTGTGAGTCTATGCACTGCAGATAATGGTAAAAAAATAAGAATTGTTTGTTTATTTTAGTATTTCAAACCTTTTTCTTTTGGATATAGTTGTACTTTTAATGGCTGTACAAAAGAATTTCCCACCCGAGGAAAACTAAAACATCACGAGAGAGTGCATGAAGGTTAGTTGGTGTGTGTGTGTGTGTATATATATGTATATATAATCGGATTAAAAGCCCTACTCTTGGTTCTGCAGGTTACCCCTGTGACTCTGAGCTGTGTCCTTTCTGTGCAAAAACGTGGTCAGAATATCTGAAGCACAGAGAAGAACATAAAGGTACGTTGTTTTCTGCACCAGCGAGAAGTCTTTTTTTTTTTTTACAACTTCTCAACAATTGTCTTCTCAGCCAAGACGGGTGTGAGCTCTCGGGATAAAAAGTACTACTCGTGCACCAGAGAAGGTTGTGATAAGAAGTTCAGTCGCCTCTTCAGACTGAAGGACCATGAAGTGGGAGATCATGAGGGGCAGAAACCTTTCAGCTGCGCCTGTCCTGGCTGTGGGAAGAGCTTTGCTGTGAAGGTATGGTGATTCACTAAAAACAATTAAATACACAATCTCTCTCTCTTTGTATCAAAGTAGTTTCCTGTTGAGATTGTGCCATCCACGGCAGATTACACATTATTTAATGTGCAACAAAATTTGGACTAACTGCATTTCACAGCATGAATTAAATGGTTTCTAATGGTTTATACTGAAGGTTTTTAACAACATTTTATTGGCCATTGATGCAGGTGATTTTGTGCTGCTTGTCCTATTGGACCTTACATCTGCTTTTGACACCATCAACCATGGGATCCTCATTTCTAGGCTAGAGCAGTGGGTGGGCATCACAAGGGCAGCCCTTAATTGGTTTAGGCCCTACCTCTGACAGAATCTTTTGTTGGTATCAAAAATTTCAGTTCAGCATCAGCAGCGCTTCAGTGGGGGGGATACCACAGGGGTCCATCCTCGATCCCCTTCTCTTTTCTTTATATCTGCTACCACAAGGTGTTATTTTCTGCAATCACAACATTCCCTTTCATTTCTATCAAATTGAATCTGTCAAATTCTGTCAAATTTACTTCCCCCTGAGGCACAGAGGCACACGCTCTATTCAACCTCTTCTTGACTGCCTGGCTGACATCCGGGACTGGATGGCTTTAAACTTAAGTTTCAATGAGAAGAGGTCTGAAGTCATCTTGTTCCATCCCAATGGCACGTCCATGAACCACTGCATTGACCTTTTCTCTCTAGCTCTGTTAGAGAAACAGCGTCACCAATTTGGGAGTGATAATGGACCCCTCCCCTGAAACTTAACAGTCACGTAAACATGATTGTTAAATACTGTTTTTTTTTTTTTTTTTTTTTTTTTTTTTTTCCAGCTAAGGCGGCTGTCTAAGCTGAAGCCCATACTGTCCAAAAAGAATCTTGAGTGATCCATGTGTTTATAACATCCAGGCTCAATGACGGCAATGTGCTTCTGTTTGGAATCAGTCAGCCCTCCATTGCACGTCTACAACTGGTCCAAAATGCTGCAGCCCGATTTTTAACTGGTACAGGCCATAAAGAGCACATTACTCCAGTTTTGGCCTCCCTGCACTGGCTTCCCATTCACCTTCGGATCCAGTTCAAAATACTCATGAACGTTTTTAACTAACTGAACAGTTCTGTCCCATCCTATCTCACTGATCTTCAACAGCCATATGTCCCACCGTGCTCTCTGAGGTCAGCAGACCAGATGCTCCTTTCAGTTCCAGAAACTGTCACAATCTCAGAGGTGACAGGGCTTTCTCTGTTGCAGGTCCAAGACTGTGGAATGAGTTGCCACTGCGTGTCAGACAGGCTCCCACACTCAGTCTTTAAGTCTCGCCTGAAAACCCACTTTTATTCCCTTGCCTTTGACGCAGTGTGATTTGTTTTGATCCAGTCTGTAGTCCAGTGTTGTCCATTTAGTTATCCACGGCTATTTGTATCTTTTTATTTTATTTCTTGTCCGCTGTGCTTGTATGTTTCTATTGTACAGCACTTTGGTTGGCCTTGTTGCTGTTTTAAGTGCTCTATAAATAAATTGGTATGGTATAAACCTTTTTATTTTCCATAGCAAATAAAACCTAAAACTTAAGTTTAAGACAAATGACTCGTGTAGCTAAATTCTGAAGAGTTCATGTGGATCACCTAATGTGACATTAAAGATCTAGCTGCCTTTCATGCCAGAAATTTAAACAAATTACTGTATGCCATATGGAGTTGGATATTTTGGTTAAACTTTAAAATTGATATTGAGCATAATGTTAAATCTCAAGACTTGATGAGTCAGAATGTGATGACTCTTAGCGACTGCATCAAAATTTAGCTCAGTCTCTGTAAAATTGACCAAAGTTTTGTTGGCTAATGTTAATTATCTGTGGTGGCCATCTTGAAAAGGGGTGACTCCAAAAGTTGTAGCGGGGCATCCAGTGATGAATCTAAGTTTCATTCAGATCTGTCCTCTGGTTCATGAGATTTTGCTAACAGACACACGTGCACAAGTTAGGAAAAAGCAAAATGCAAAACTGCTTAAACTTGGTGTCCTTTTGATTATGGTTACCGTAATTTTCGGACTATAAGACGCACTTAAAATCTTTTTTTTTTTTTTTTTTTTTTTTTTTTTTTTTTTTTTTTTTTTTTTTAAATTCTCAAATCAACACTGAGCCTTTTAACCCAGGCGCTTTATGTATGAAAACGGACCCGTTCCATGATATCGAGCCTTTATAATCCAGTGCGCCTTATAGTCCGAAAAATACAGTAAGTTTTATAATTGGCGTAGGGTGCGTAGTTCTACTTGTTTTATTTGTGTGAAAATGATTCTAAAATTGTAGGTTTTCCACTTATGTATTTTTAAGGGTTTTAGATGGCAAATTCATGCAAAACATAAGATGTAGCTTGATCAGATGACTATTTTGGGGGTTTAATTGGTAACTGGTGCTACTTTTTTTTTTTTTTTTTTTTAGGAAACCCTGTGGCGACACAGCAAGGTGCATAACCCAGCAAAGAAAAAGGTAAGTTTCCCCCTTAAGCTTCTTACATCGAATCTTGTCACTTATGTGCATGATGCTCCGCTTTCCTTCCAGAAACATCCTAAAAAGAATCAAACGGTCACACAGTCTGCTGCAGCTAATAAAGAAGAAACCAACGGTCTCACTCTAAAGCTGCAGAATACAACTTTAAAGGATAAGTCTTGAGGCTGCCTCACCTGTCAAGCTGTTTAACACTAAAATAATTAAGTATCTGTGCTTTTTGGTGCTTAAACCTCATTAAAACTCTATACTAGCAATGTTTCCAATTTAATGACACTGTACACTCGGTCTTGTAGTGTACTTCCAAGCTCTTTTCCTTTTAAATCTTTAAGATAAGTTTTCTACTTTTCTCTCTCAAACCTAAAGTACTGATGTATTTTTAAAATGCTCTTTAAAAATACATTCAGGACCATCCAAAGTGGGTACAGTTCACTACCTTGAGCCTGAATGTGTAAAAATACAAGAATCTGAGTTTGTTTTTTTTAATTGAAGTTTAATGTATTAAGTTTAAATCTAATCATAAAAATACCTATGTCTTTATACTAATACTTACAGTATCTCTTAATATTTCTGCACTCGCTCTTGTGCAAGGTGGTGCCTTTTTCTCTCCTTCTGTTCTCCTGCCTTTTTTTTTTTTTTTTGCTCTGCATCAGAGCTCCTGTTGCACATCTTTCGAAACGAAAAATACTGTCATGGATCTGGTCAGCTGGACTTTCAACGCAATCTATAAAATATTTTCAACAAAGCGACAGTCCTGGAGAGCCCTCATGCCCTGCTGAGATTCACGCAGTAGGATACATCATGGATTCGTGGGGAGTTTAGGAGTAGTTTAGGTCTTTCCATTTTGTCTCAGGAAGACGCCGAAGATGTTTATACAATTGGATTCATGATAGCAGGGTTTCTGCTTTTTGGCATCGGCCGATTCATATGTTATCTGCTATTAAAGAAGATGGCGGCAGCAGTTTCGTCCTTGGCAAAACTACCAAATCTGTGTGAAAGTTTGGTTCATGCTTTGAGTACTCAAACTCGGCTGACTTACAAGCTAAACCATAAGATAAAAGCAATTTGTGAAAATCGCAATTTGTGAAAATCACAACCCACCTGCGGCTTCTGGGACTTTCCAGCATGTTGGAGACAACATTGGAGGAGGCTCGTAAGCATGAACCAGTGGAACGCTCACAAATCTGGCCATTTTGGATCTTGAAAGTGCCAGCAGGACTCGATGCTGACAAGAAAACAGTCTGCCTGGAAAATAAATCAACAATTGTGCCTTACTTGAATCTGACTTCCCCCCCCCGGATGTCCTCGGAAACGGGCCGACTTATCAAATTTCTCCTGGGATACATGTGTAAACTAAGGAAAAGCTTTGTTTATCGCAACCACCCCCCAAGAACTTCTGTGAAGACTTATCAGAATTGTGCTGGCCAACATCTTATCAGGACTATGGTCTATCTGGAAATGCTTCATGGACAAATCTCACCGTCTTGCTGTCAAATGCACATGTAAAGTGTTTATAAATGTGCTTGTTGGCAGTTTTTTGATGTCTTAGTGTTCTGATAGGACAAGGTGTCAAGAGATCTTTTTTTTAAAAAATTTTTATTACCACTATCCTATACTCATGGCTTTTTACCCTTTTTTATCTAAAAATGTATTCTGGAAAAGGATAAAAGGCTGCGCTCCAGTAGCAGCAGCAACGTGCAATACGCCCATCTTTCGGTCGACCGTACGAACATGATCTCACTGTATTTCGGTATAATGATAATAAAGCTTATTCTGATCTGTCTGAAGAAAATGATGCATCTTCTAAAATAAGTCACTTTAAAACTGCTTTTATTTTTAAAAATAAAATTCTACCAGAACTCGTGTACTTTGTTGCCTCCACCCTTTAAAACAAACTTCAACACTGCATGAAAAAAGAGTCGTTCATCCTTAAAAGGAAATGTTTATTACAGAAAACACATTCGCACGTGTATAAAAGACCAGCTGATGGGGCAGCTGGTTGCCATGGTGATATCTGAGGGCCGACGAGCCCCTCAGGATGCGGCAGGTTTCGAATAAGGCCTGAGGCATATTCAAATGGACACATTGCAGCAGAACATCTGGATTAAAGTGATTTATATCCTGTATAAAGGTTTAGACAGTTTTGTTTTTCTTCCCACCTGCGGCGACATCTCCGTCTGAACACAACCCTGGATTCTACAACTGCTCAGTGAGGTGATTACATCACGAGTCGCTTAGTTGCAGTACCGTTCTCCCAGCGGGAGCAAAGACAACATGACCATATGAACACAGCAGTGCTTCATGTGAGTGCAGTCTGTCGAGTGACGTGGCACGATCTGGATCAGTTCCTCAGGCTTGGTCCTGCTGGGTCTGCATTTCTGAATGCTTTTGGTCCTGGATTAAGCCCGATATGGAGCGATGTACAGTAGCATGTACCAGTTCACTTTGGTCAAGGTTGTTCCACATATAGAACACTCTGGGTGGACTCAGCGGGGCGGGCCCAATGATTTGTGTCCTGGTTATACTAGACTGCCGGGCCAGGAGACCACAGTAAGGGCCACCCGGCTGCGCTGCTCTTTCAGCATAGGAACCAGCGCCGAGTGGCTCATCCCTGCTGTCGACAGCCCGTTAACTGCCACAATCATGTCGCCACACCTAAAAGGACACGGAGTGATGGGTCAGCTGGGAGTTTTGGGATTATAATAAGATCGTTGGTGAAGGTAACGCCTCCAAAATGCTAAACTCTTCTGCTCCTAACGGATCTACTAAAACCTTGTCTGAATTAAGAAATTGATTCCTTACATGAATGCAAGACAAAGTACAGAAACTGAATTGCTCACTGCTTCGAAAAGACTGAATTAAAAGACTCCAATTTTAAACTCCTAAAACACAAGACTGCAGAAAACTCTAAAAATCTAAAACTGGAATCTTACGTAATTTGTCTTTTTCACAGTTTTTGACAACATTGTCTTACCTTGAAATAAGGTTCGACTATGAATGATAATTTACTTTTTTCATTTATTAGCGAAGAACAATACAGAGTATCCCAAAATCTATTGAATTCCTCAGGAAATAATGCTGTTCAAATGAAATGTTTAAATTGCTCTCATATTAAGCTGTAACATCAGGCTCATTTTTCATAAACTAGAGATATTTAATTTGCAGAAAGTCGCGAAGAGCTGATCACTCACTTGAGGTGGCCGTCGTAGTATGCAGGCGTGCCGAGGACGATGGTTTTGATAAAAAACGCCTGGTTGCCATGACTTTCCTCGTATCCCCCGACGATGCTGAAGCCCCAGCTGCCTGGGTGGCTCCTCCGCAGCACGATCTCATGGCTGCTGTGAAGGTAGCTGCGCGACGAGAGTAGAGAGAAAAAGCTGACAACCGCTGAGGTCTCCGTTTAAACTTCTGCGTCAAAGCAATCCTCACCTGGGTAGGCCCAGCCACATGACCCACGAGGGGGACCAGTTGGCGTCAAAGTCGCTGTCGTGAGTGTGAGGCAGCAGCTCGTCGTGGTCATGCTCCTCCACCATGCTGACCTCCAGCACCCGCAGCTGGACTGAAGGCGAAGCGGCGCTGGCCTTCAGCGTGCCTACGGCCTCGCTGTGGCTCAGGTAGGTCAGGTCCTGACTGTTGATGCTCAGCAGGACGTCACCTGACAGAGGAGGCAGGAGGTTTCTGACACAATGTTCAACTAGTCCTGTTATGGGCTTAAGAAACGACGCTCACCTCTTTTGATCCGTCCGTCCCTGGACAAGCAGCCGTGTGGTTGGACGCTTGTGACGAAGATTGGAAGCTCGCCACTCTTACTCCCCCGCCCCCCTGCCACAGTCATCCCCAGGGACTCATGGGACTCCTTCTTCACAGTGATGTGTTTCTCCTTACACGTCACACACTGTGACAGATCCTTGGAGTGTATCATGAAACAAGCACTATTTAAATGATAGGTTGTGAACAGGGTGATAAAAACAAAATCCACACAGGTGTACCACAAGGCTCATGTCTCGTCCCACTACAGATTTAAAGTTCTAAAGTAATAAGAAAATAAAATATTAAGTTTACTTTATCACAAGCCACATTCTTCACATGAAAAGACACACACTCACTCTGTGTGTACTGGTGCGGGACAGGTGGATGGGTACAGGACTCGGAGTGGAGCTGTGATTAGGCAGGAAGTGTTCAGGGCAGTAAAGATCTCTGGTTGAGCTGGATTTTGGAGGGGGAGGTGGAGTTGGTTTTGTGGGTCGACCAACAAGCAGGTGGACTCGCTCTCCGCTGGCCTGTAGACGAACAGTTATCGGTGTTATAAAGAGAATTGTAACGTGACAACATGTTGTGAGAATAGGCCCAGAACGGTCCAAATGTACCTGTATGATCTGAGCAGCCTGCTCGGGGGTGCCGTGTTGAAGGTCCTGCTCGTTGACTGCCAGCACCCGGTCGTTGCTCCTCAGTCTGCCGTCCTTTGCTGCCAAGCCTCCATCCAGCAGATCCAACACAAACACTCCTGACTCGTCCGTCCGCCGCACCAGCTTGATACCGAGCTGCTCCGCAGAGTCTCGCTTGTGGAGCGTGATTCTCAGCGTGGCGGGGCTGGACGGGGTCCCTTCAGGCGTGGAGCAAGGAGCGTGAGGGACAGCTGGCGTGGAGGAGGAGGAGGGAGGCGCCCGAGAGGCACAGCGACGCTCCCGGAGCACGGTCAGCTGCAGGGTGGTGCAGGGCCGCGCCAGGGTGGAGCGGGCAAAACCGTGTGGCACATTACTGATATCCACGTTGTTCACCTTGGAAGAAAAGCATCAAAGGAAAGTTCAATCAGGAAAAAGCACAAAAAAAACCCTTTTCTCTGTTCTGTAATTGTTTAAATTGTGAACCCGAACAGCAGCTCCTAAATAATCAACAACCTGCTTTAGCTTTTTCTTCAGCTGGTTGTTGAGTTGTGTTTATTTCTTTTTTTTTTCTTGAACAGATTAATAGTTTATCACTTTTTTTTTTTGCTAAACATTTGGTTGATGTTACTAAGCTAAAAATAAAGTTAAACATAAATAATTAAGGTGATGCCTTTCAACCCTAAAAGTAGATTAAATGAAGCTGAACTGAGTCAGGATGAGGACACATGACCTTTGTTGTAGGAGAAAAACATTGATTAGTAGAGCGACATTAATTATTGGCAACTACAAAGAAAAGGGTTGAAAGAGGCATGAAATATTGAGTAAAATCTTCCACGTTAAATGCCTGATACTGCGAATGAGCTACTTCAAATGTGCTTTAACTGTCTGGAAACATGTTGGGAATTTGTGAGCGTTAACCAATTTGATGCATCTCTAATTCTTTAATATATCTGAAGAAAATTTTCATTCAACCTTTATTTATACAGGTTAGTCTCATTGAGTCACGAGGGCTCATTTACAAGAGAGACCTGTTGAATAGAATAGAATTAAATGGAATCCTAATGTAAAGCTTAGCAATGCGGGAAAGCCTGAAAGACAATTCATACACAACGTATTTTTGGAGTATAAGGCGCATTAAGCAAAACAAAACAGATAAGTCAAACTTTATTCGACTCATTCACAATAACCACATAAAATTGGTTCAAGGTCAGTAAGCACAACTAGAATAAGGCGCACCGAATTATAAAGCTCACTGTCGATTTTTGAGAAAATTAAAGGCTTTTAAGTGCCTTAGTTCAAAAAATACGATATATTTTTAAATAATTAGTTGTAAATGTGATAAATCATGAGCAGGAACAGTTTTCCCACCTGTAGGATCTGATCTCCAGCCAGCAGCCTCCCGTCGCGTGCGATGACCCCGTCTCGGTACACTTCCTGAATCACTATGTTGATGAGCGGCGTCTCATTCCCACCGACAACGCTGATACCCAGCTCAACGTACGGATTGGACCGGTGGACCTCAATGGTGGTTATTTCTCCCTCAGGAAGAGAGGGCAGCTTCACACAGCCTAACGGACGAACCAGTCGCATTGATGGATACAAGGCGCCAAAGACGATTGTTTGAATTTATGATCTGGATTTTTTTCAGGGAGGGTTGTTGTACCTTCCTCAGCAGACAGAGGTGGAGACTCAGGGCAGTCCCAGCCAGAGGAGGTGGAGCTGACAGAGCGGAGAAGATGGATGCAAGGATTACTGAGGGGCCGCTTCACCCTGGGGACCACGCGCTCCAACCCCACCACACCTAGAGGTGGAAAAACACGAACTTTAACCAAAAATCTACCTTCACTGATACTTCCTGCCAACCCAGAGGATCGACTCACCGTCTTCTTCAGTGCTTTCCTCAAAGGCGGGGTTGTCGAGGCCGGCGTCATCCGTCCACGCAGATCCGTTGGTGTTATTAGGTCCAGGGCTCGGCGAGGGCGTTTGGTCCCTCAGGTCTGTCTGTGGGGTATGAGGGGACGTGGAGGGGCTGGTCACCATGGCTCGCTCGTCACCGCTCTCGCATCTTGGCCCGTCCACGCTCGTCTGCTGACTACGAGTCCCAGGACACCTTTCACCAAGCAACAGGTGTCAGTTTGTTAGTCCATCTGACGCACAAAGAAAGCCAGGTTCAACGTCACTGAAGCTGAGCGAGTTTCATTCTGACAGGAAAATCTTTCTGGAGACGTTTGAGAGCAGAGGGAATTAAACCCATTTAATTCTGTAACTTTCACGTATTTTCTTTAAATAGATAATAAAAAGCTCTTTGAGAAAAACAAACAAACAAGTTGCTCACTTAAATAGAAAAAGTTAAAAATAAAACCAGATATAAACTGACTCAAATAATCAATGTGGTGACACCCTCCAACCATAAGCAACAGGTGACAAGTGTTGTAATTGTGCGAGTGAACACTTATCAAGCATTCACACGATTGTGATCCTATTTTAAATTCTTCCGTTCGTTTTTCAGCATTTTTCTCGTTCCATAATTTTTGTGCCATTTCATCAAATCATAAATCTGTTTTTCAATCTGTTTTTGAACGTTTTGTTCATCTCGTTCAGAACAATCCTGTGATGACTTTTGGTATTGGTGCAACTTTAGCTTTTTTGAAATATTTAGCCTTTTCTGCCATTGATTTAATAATAGAATTGAGCTCATTTTACATTCTTCATATCTTTATCTGTTTACAACCTTTTACTGCTCCTTTCTCATTTTGTTCTTGTTCAGCTTCTTTCAGCTAGTGCAAATTTAAACATTTTTCAGCTACTTTCAGCTGTTTTTTTCAGCTGTTTTGTGCTCCATTTAAATTTAATCTAAAAAAGTTAAATCTGGTCCTCTGGACATTCAAAAAGAACAAAACAAAGCAAATCAACAAAAAATGTAGAAACGTTTCGTCTCTCATCCGAGAGACTTCCTCAGTCTGAGGAGCTGTTTTCAGCTCAGCCTCTTAAATAGCACCTTCTCAGGGTGGATCAACCAGTTTTGCTGCTGACAACCAAAACCAGCTGATCACATGCTCAAGAAGGACCATCAGCCTAACAATGGATCATTAGCACACTGATGGCTGTGTACTGTTCACAGAGGGCTGAGTGATACTAGCAATCACAGCATTGTAAGAGGGGGACAGTTGAACCCGGAGGCCTCCACCCCTGTTTAATGATGGACGGTTTCTTTTCACAAAGATGGCCTCCTTTACTCCTCTCTCAAACCATCGTTCCTCTCTGTCCAGGATGTGAACATCTTCATCCCTGAAAGAGTGACCGCTGGCCTGGAGATGAGTGTAGACCGCAGAGTCCTGGCCTGATGATGTTGATCTTCTGTGCTGGGCCATCCTTTTGGCCAGTGGCTGTTTTGTTTCCCCGATGTAAGACTGATCACAGCCCTCCTGACACTGAACAGCATACACAACATTGCTCTGTTTGTGCCGGGGGACTGGATCTTTGGGATGAACCAGTCTTTGCCGTAATGTATTTTGGGGTTTAAAAGCCACTGGGACGTTATGTTTAGAAAATAAACGTCTCAGTTTCTCTGATACTCCCTCAACATATGGAATGACCACTGGTCTGGGTCTGGGTTCCTCCTTTTCACCTGTTGGCTGACTGGAGTCCTGTTTGGGTTTCTTCTCTGCTTT